GACGATGTCTAATCCTTCACACCTCAAAATTAATTCTATTGTATACATAATATAAGCGCCTCTTGGATAAGGCACATTTGGTAAAGTTTATAAGGCTCAGTAATTCAGTTCCAAAAAGGTAGTTGCCATTAAAGTTCAAAATCAAATTAATGAATCTGAGAAGGCGTTGTTATTATAATTTAAAGAAAAGAATTTCAAAAATCTTGTGAACATTTACGATTATGAAGAATAACACAATCACACTTATATAGTGATGGAATATTGTTCTCATTCACTTTACGATCAAATTCAAACAAACACAATTAATCCAAAAGATACAAGATACGTATTCAAATAAATCTCAAATGGCTTATATGAGCTTCATTCATAGGGTTTGGCTCATAGAGATCTAAAACCAGCAAATATACTCATATGTCAACTCTAGGATCGTGGCCATGTGTAAGAAATGTATAAATTATGTGACTTCGGAACTTCTAAAAACTCACAAAGATTAACAACAGCATGTGTTGGTACTCCTTATTATCTAGCTCCAGAATAATTATAATAATAAACGTATGATAAAAGTGTTGATATATGGGCTTTAGGGGCTGTTATGTATGAATTATTTACAAATACTCCTCTTTTTTCAGGTATTTATATATTGATTATGAAGGTTCGACTGTTCTTCAAATTTATGATAAAATTAAAAATTATGAAATAAATGCATAAATTGATAATCTTAATGATCTAGATATTAAGTATAAGAATTTACTAAAGAGTATGCTAAAGAAAAACCCATAAGAGAGAATTAGTATAGAAGAAATACGATAGAAAATAGAAGAACGGGTTTCCATGAGTGTTGAAAGAAAACCTTAAACTAATCCAGCTAATTGCTAATTTAAAGAGTTAAAATCATTAAATCTATCTAAGCCAATTAATATCCCAGGCTAAATTCAAGGCTAAAAGCCTCCACTTAATTTAAATGTCTATCCTAAGAAATAACCTTAATTTTAATAACCAAATAACACTTAACCTCCTATATTGTAAAACCAACTTTAAAATTTCAACCAAAATACTTAAACATAGAACTAGAATTTAAAATAATTCCAAATTCCATCAGAATTTTAATGGTAATAACGTAGGTCTGTGCCAGAATTAGCTTAAAACAGTTCTAAGATAGGAAAATGATAAAATTGTAAATGATATTATATTTCTATAAAATGATAAAATTTTTTATCTTATGAGAATAAACTTAAATCAAGAGATGGTGCATTTTTGACACCAACGACAGCTGGAATTCTAATCTCCCTCGACTTGAACAACCTCAGGAATAGTGATTTCATAAACTAACACAAATTAGTATAACATTTTACAAACTTCCTCAATGTACTTTTTATCATAGGGTATTGCAAAATGCTTTTCTATTTCTTATAAAACATCTTCAATATGAATTATTAGTGTAACTATTTATTCTCTATTATTTGTGTCTGAATTATCTATGAAATCTTTCATTTGTTGCATTTTAAATCCTAAAACTTCTGCATATATTTTGCTTTAATTTGATAATAAATTACTTAATAATGGGTTCATATTTGATAATAACCTAATTCAAATGATTTCTCTCTTCGTATGCTTATTTAATTGAACTAATAAATGTTTTTGAACTCTTCTCTGCAAATTCCTATAAAAGACTTTGGGTTATATTTTTTTATTGATTTTATAATTTATTGATATTCAATATTTTCATAATAATATTAAATATTATTAATATTAATATTCGTTTTTAATTAGAGCAACATCAATATTGTTTTTACTTCTGATAAATAATATTATTTGCACTAAATCAATATATGAAATATCATAGAATGAATATGGAAGAACAGTACTGTAAGCAATCTAATTAACTTTCAATGAAGAACCAGCCTCATTTGAGAAGACTATTGATTATACTATAATAGTTAAAAAAGAAATCCAAAATGATTAAGATGAAGATACTGGACTTTTGTCTGAATAATTGGAAACATGCGAATCTCATATTTCTTCAAATTCATTAACGATCTCAAATTCACAAATCAATTTGGCATAAGCCTAAGAACAAGTAGGCCCACTAGAATAAAAGTTATTTGATAAAAGTCATCAGGCAGAGGATAAGGAAGGTGAGGAATAGAGAAACAAATGATATATTAATAAGTTGATTTAGTAAAGATAAGAATCTGGATAATAATTTGAAAGTAAAAGAGATGAATTAACATCAATTGTTGGAACATTTAGTGAAGCTAAAAAAATTATATCTTCCATTAAGGCAGATCCAACTGCTTTAATTTAATTGAAAAACCATAAGAATAATATATGTAATTATTGAGAAGGTAACATTAGTAAATTAGATATAAATATCATCCATATTCTATACTTTGATTCATTCAACCTATCTCTAATTCAATAAGGAACAAGCCAAGAAAAGTCATTAGAATTATTGACGATTTAATCGATGAGGTTTATCAAGTTTAGAAATTAGAAATGATAGCTGATGATCAAAGAGAAGCTGATTTTGTTAAGACCAAGTAAACTACAATATATTAGCATTAGAACTTGTTTTGAATTTGCAAATACCAGATTAAGTACTAAAATTGCTGAATTAAGAGCTGATGTGCAATATTTATAATAATAATTATTAGAATTAAATAACAATATTGCAATTAATTAAGATTTAGTCAATCTTAAAACCAAAGAAAATTCAGATTGGCAATAATCTTGCAATGATGCTTAAAATAGTGATAATGGTTTGACTGATTACAGAAACCAATAGATTGTAATTATTGATGAGTGCCTTTCATTATTATAAGGACATGACTCAGAAATCGTCTAATTCATTTAGAAATTTGTTTGAAAAATATTAATTATTGGTAAAGACACTAAAAGCAACATTTATCCATTTATGAATCTCTTTAAGGAAAATAGAAATTCTTCAGAGATTTTGTCTACGTCCATATTTAAAGTAAAATATGAAATCAAATATATAATAATACATATGAACTTTATGAATACTCATTCACAATTTAACTTTTCAAGAAAATCCATGCCCAGACCATTGATATCTAGACAGCTTACAAGGGAAAAGAGTTAACCAAACTTTAATCCAATAACTCCATCAGTAAGTTACCAATTAAAACTATTAGACCAAATTTCGCATTTCCACTACTAATTAACAATTGAATCGAGAGAAGATTTAAAAAGCTAATGGCAATTATTTTAGTTAGCATGATGATACAAGTGGAAGTACTAAGATGTCAAAAGCACATACTTAATCTATATTGAAAAAACATGAAATAGAATTTAAGTAGTCTTTATTTAATCAAGAAGACAGAGAAGAAGAACTGTAATTTACATTACTTTGTTAAACTCTTGAAAAGCTATTGTGATTATTTAATATGAAATGATACAATGTTTTTGTTTTATTAGCTTTTTTTATAATAAATAATAATAAATATATATGTACCGATAATACGATTACCCATACTCCCCATCCAAATCATCAAATACTATAGATGATATGGAGCAAAGGCTGAATGCAGTAATTAATGCGAATGAAAAATTGGTACTTTTTTATAACTAAGATTTCATTATAGACTTTACTGTTAAAAGAAAAGATTTAAGAGAATGATTAGTTGAAAGAAAATATTGATATTCTTTACAATAATAATCAAGAACTATCTGAAATCAATATATAACTCTGTGAATAAATCAAAAGGTGTAAAAATTAGAAATGTGCTTCATTACATCAGAAAAACCACAATGAAATGGAGAGAGAACTCACATAATTAAAGGAACTCATAGTTTCAAAGGACAGAGAATTGGCAAATTATTAACAGCACTTCGAGGAAGAGTTGCAGTTAGAAATCACCTAAAAGGATTATGTAAATAATAAAAATAACGTATTAGATTGATAAAATCAAAGGTTTGGAAGAACAAAATTAATAATTAATTCACGAATTGGATTTAGTAACAAAAAAGTTAATAGAGAGCCAAAGAGGATCATTAAATAACTACGATAATAATTACTAAACATAATAATATGAATAGATCATTGAGGATTTATAATAAAAAATTGAATAGTTGAGTAAGTTTTTATCTCAGAAGGATGAAGAATTGTAATAAAATAATAATAAATAATACCTAGTTCAAATAGAATAATTGTAAATAGAGAAGATAACTCAATCATTATAATTGGAAGAATATAAAAATAAAATTAACAAACTATAGTAAGAATAGGAAGAAAAAAATAACATAATTGATCAATTGAAAAAAAATTATAGTCTAAATTCATCTAGAAACGAAATTATACAAAAATAAAATATGATATAGAATAAACATCAATATATTAAAATAGATTAAAATGTTTTAGAATTAAGTGATGATATCGAAACAACTGTGAAGAGAAGAACAAACTTTGATTATCAAGCAGGAAAATATAATTAATCGGGAAAAGGATTTCTAGAATAGAAAAGTCCACGTTCTTAATTTTCAGATTAAGATTCTTATTTATTTTTATGTGAAAAATTATAGTAAGATTTGTAAACCGAAGAGAAATAATATAATGACCTTGCTAATAAAAAATAAATGGCAGATATTGAAAATGATAGGCTTATTAATTTAATCAAGGAGTTAGAATACTCAATCTAAGAAAAATAATTATTAATTGAGCATTAAGACAATGAGATTAAATCTAATTAAAGAAATATCAGGAAAAAAGAATCTGAACACAAGAAAACTATAATCTAGTAGCAAGATGATATGCAAATTTATGAAGATAAATTAAATGCTCTTGAAAATCTTAGAAAAGAAGAACTCAGAATCTATGAATAATAAATTTCTCAAATCCAAAGTTAACTAAAGCAAAAAGACATCGAACTGAAAAAATTGTAAGATTAAACTAAAGATAAGCACAAATTATAAGCCAAAATACAATCTCTGATTGAAGAAAATAAAGAAATATAATAAAATATATAAATAAAAGATTAAAAGGAAGAAGATTTAAAAACAAAGGTTGCCTTGCTTTAATAGTAACTCAAAACAAAGGAGTTAGATAAAAGTTAAAATTCAAATAGAATTTATGACTTAGAGAGTTAGATAATATAACTAAAATTAGAATTAGAACAAAATATTATAAATGCTCAACTTTAAACTGAAATCAATTAAAAAAACGAGTAATAGATGAAATTGAAAGAATTTCAAATTAACAAACTATAAGATTAATTAAAAGAAGCAAGCAACAAATAAAAGGAAATAATTACAGAAAGAGAACTTGAAAACTAGAGAAATTATTAATAAATTGACGAGCAAAATGATTTATTAAGAAAGTAAGAGTATGAAATAAAGAGACTGCAAAATTTAATTTCTTAAAGACCTTTAGAGAAAAATTTGAATATTTAATCTGAAAATTTAGTCTTAAAAGAATAAATTGAGGAATTATTAAATTAAGAAGCAAATTTAGAATAGAAAGTTATAATATTAGAAACACAATTGAAAGGTAAAGATCAAGAAATAATTGTCACAAGCTAAAAGTAGATCTTATCAAATGCAGAATTGCAAACTAATATGAAAAAGTAAGAGGCAGATTTTAATGATAAGTTAATTGAAAAGGAATAATAAATATAGAAATTAATAAAAGAAAATTAATCATTAAATTAAGAGAATGAATAGTTACTTCATAAAATTAAAAATCATGATTCTCGAAATGCTTAATTAGAAATGAAAGAATAATAAGAATTAGAATCCCATAGATTAGAAATATAAAAGAAAATTGATCAAATTCCATTAAGTGATGATGGCACTACTTTGAGTGAATTAAATTCGTATCGTATGGATGAGTTAAAAACCTTTGCATCTTAATTGGAATCACAGAATAAAAAGGATTTAATATAAACAGTATTAGATTAAAAAATTGAAATGGTTTAGAAGAATGATTAATTAAATAATTAAGTTTAAATAATCGAAGAATTAAAATCAAAAATAAAAATGAATGAAGAAGAATTAAAAGATCAAAGAGAACTTGTGGAATCTAAACAAAAATAATTAGCAGAATTAAACAGTTTTAAATAATCAATATCCTCTCTCGAAAATTAATTGAAGGTAAAAGAATAAAGTCTAAAGAAAGCTTAGGAAGAAAATAAAGAATTACAATAATAGAAACAAATAGTAATTTAGTAGAAAAAATAAAATGAAACCCAATAATAAGAATCCAAAAAACTTTAAGATGTTATCTAAAATTAAGAGTAATAAATGAAGACGAAAGATGAGAATTTAAAAAAGTTGTAAGATTAACTTAGAGAATTAGGCAAGAAGAATGAATAATTATCGAAAGATTTAAATTAAAATAAAGTCTTAAAAGATGAAGTTGAGAAATACAAGAATGCTCTTAACCAAAAGGAAGAAGAACAAAAGAACTTATAAAATTAAATTAGTAATCAGAAAAAGTAAGATGATCAAATTAAGAAATTATAGTAACAGTTGGAAAAAGAAACAAAAACTAAAAAAGAAGAAATCGAAAAATTACAAAATGAAATAAATGAATTGAATTAAGAGTTATAGTAAGCCTAATAATTGAATTACAATTAAAAAAAATTAGAGGATTAAGTGAAGAAGCTTTAATAATAATTAGATTAATAAACTGAGAAAAGTAAAAAACAATTATAAGATTCTGAAAAGAAATAATAAAATTTACAAAATCAATTAAAGGAGACAGCTGAATAGTTATCAGAATGGGAAGAAAATGATCTTACAAAGGAAGAATAAATATAAAAACTTGTTCGATAAGTAGAAGAATATAAGAAGAAGGAGGAGATGTTTTAAAAACAAGGGAAAACTGTAAAGGAGCTCTAAGAATAATTAAAATAAGCAGAAAAAGTTAATATAGAATTATAGAAGGAAAAAAAAAATTCATAGGCTGAAAAAAATGGTTAAAAAGAAAATTTAGAATAAGAAATAAAAGAATTGAAAGAATAAATAACCAAATTATAAAAATTGAATAATGAACTTGTTATTTATGAAAATATCATTTAAGTAGATGTTCGCAAAATGTAAGAATTGTAGAGAAAGATAGAATGCTTAGAAAATAATTAGTCATAATAAGGTTCAAAATAAAATATTGAGACAAAGAGCTAAGGCGTGACTCCAAGAAAATAAATTAGGGGAAGTTCAGTCATGAAATAAAATTAAGATTAGATTTCACAGATGACCCTTGAATAATTATAGTAGCATGTTAAAAAATTAGAATAAATAATAAAAGAAGCAGGATTAGGTCATAAAATAAACTGATAAATCCATATATTTTTATAAAATAAGTATGTTATTTTATTCAATTTTTCATTTTATCAACAAACTACTTAATTTTGTCAAGGGCACTTTGAGGTATTTCAGTTTCAAATTCAGCTAATGGGACTGTAATTGTTTCTCTATTTGGGTAGGTTAGCATCTTGATTTTATAAATAAGAAATTCTTTTATTATGTCATTTGCAACGGAAATATTATATTTAGATATGGTAGGTTCAATGCTAATATTCATAGAAGGTTCTCCTACAAAGGAAACCCAGCTACGGCCAATAAAATTTGGTGTATAACACAACCTTAATCGGCCATTTAAAGATGTAATTTTAACTTTAATAGTTACAGGCAAATGCTTTTTAGCCCAGCTGATAGTAACAAAAGTTTCTAATTCCATATAAAAGAACCCTCTAAACGATAGTTCTAAATCAAATATGCATGAATCAGTGTTTTTTTATGGTATAAATTATAAAACCTCTGGGGGTTCACCTCCTATATCTATAAATGTAACATAAATTTCATCTAATTAAGATGGTCTCTTCTTATTTAAAGATCTATATAGTTCTGTCATAAATTTCTATCTGAAATAGATGGATTTAGTCCATTATAGAAATAATACTCTTATTAATTATTTTAATACAAATGTCTCTTTCATTGAATTTACTGTGTCATTTGGTTATCTAGTAAGTTAGCTATTAGATCTAGAACTAATTTTTGGAATAGTTGTTATATTATTATGGAGTAAACTTTAAGTTTGATTGATTTAGATTTCTTTTGGAGTGAATGAGATGTTAGTTTAATGATCAAGTAGACTCTTTACTATTTAATCCTATTATTGATACGTTTGATCGACTAAGAATATTTTAGATAATTATTACATTCATCAATCATTTTCATAGTATGATTAACTACACTCCTTGAAAGAGTGGCAAAAGATAAAATGAATTGAAATTTAGTCTTTGAGATGATTTCAAAATGTTAATCAATGTATTGTTTATATTTATTTTCATATTAGCTTAATTTTGATTTGAGCTACTCTGCTTCCTATTGATATTAGAGATAATTCTATCTAAATTATTATTTCATCCTCTAATAATCTGTAAATCCATCCACTTTACCTGGATTAAATTTTTCAGAATCCTTCAAAATGCAATTGAATAAATACGTGATATTATTAATTCTCTCTTTAACTGATACTTAAGTTTCTTTATACTCTTTATATAGTTTAGTTCTGTCATCAATAAAATTGTTTGTAATCAATTTGATTTAAGCAAATAGATTTTAATAAAATTATTTATCCTTTGGAAAACTCTTTGTGAATAAATCAGTTATCCAAATATCCTTTAGTTAAACTAAATGAATTTTTATTTCATCTGATATCATTTTCTTAATAACCTCTCCAATTTCTACAAAGAAGTCCAAACATTCTCCATCATACTTTTCAAATAAATGAATTTGATCTTCATAAAATTTGAATTTTTTTATCAATTCTTAGAGTTCTTCTTTCTCATTCCTCATTAATCGAGGAGGGTCTATTTCATCCATTGATACTGTTCTTGATTATCGATGTAATAATAAATTTGGAGGATTTGTTTGACTCTAACTTAAATATGAATCATTTAAAGCATTCTATAATTTTAGAATATTTTTAAATGACTTCAGAAATTGTTCATAATTATCATAATGGGTCTGTAAAAGTGATCTGATGACTGTTTGATACATAACAATAAATTATCTATCCCAATTATCTTTAAATTCATTTAATTATTAATTTGTTTTAGTTATTGCAACTTATAATTCCTTTAATTCATATTTAGAACTTTATAATTTATGTTATATTGTAGATAATTATTAGGTCGACAATTTGATAGACATTTCCATTTTAATTAGTTTTTCTGGATTAGTTTTATTTTTTTTTAATTCTCTATACTAGGTGTTGTTAGACTCTAAATCTTTTTCAAGTAATTATTTTTATCCCTCATAATTTTAATTTTTGCGGAACACTTCATCATATTGAGATTGGGTTTAGTTTTTGATTTTCTTAATATTTTTATATTCATCAAGATAAGTTTTCTAAATTGATTGAATTTGAGGTTATGCTACTTTGAGAATTTAGTATCGTTACTATTAGAATATTTAATTGAGTTATTTGACTTACTATTTTATATTATTCCAATGAGGTACTATAATGTTTCGGCCTTGAACTTATATAAAGGAGTTGAGTAATAATTATTATTCATTGGTCAGCTCTTAAAATAATATTTTATGTTATTGAGTTGTATCAATTTGATCTAAAGTTGATAAAGGTTCTTTTTTGGATAATTTACTTAATAGAGAAGCTTAATTTTAAAGGTCGAAACTCTTTTCTAGATTTGAATAGTAAGTTAATAGAGAATCTGTTAAATTCGTAACACATTAGTATTTTTAGAGTAATCCTTTTCTGTCCAATTTGATAAGGGGTAATTTTTAGGAACCGAAATAATTCTTGATTTAATTAAGATAAAGATCTGCTTATTGGTGTATTCTGCTTTTCTATGCAGCAGGCAGATCATCAGTTTACTCAACTTATTCCATGATATCGACTTGGCTTGGCTCATAAGCACTAAGTGATAGCGAGGAATCATTTAGTTTATCAGAGTCATCAGGTATATATGATTGAAAATTAGTAGAATGATTTATCATAGAAGCTATTTATTTGAATCCTATTGTCAATTTAGAGTTGTTAATTCTTTTCATCATGCGATAACGTAATATCCAAAAGAAAATGATTATTTCAATGTAAATTGTATACAAGGTTCCATATAAAAAATAAATGTAATTGTTTTGGTCTAAAAGAGGAATTAAGAAGGCAATTGATATTATCAATAATGCAGTAATTAATTTCATTATTTTATATATGTCAATTAAATAAAAACTATATTAAACTTGGCATAGATTCTTATAAACAAATTTCAATAGTTATTTAAGAAGTGCTCCTACCCCAGGCAAATAAAGGTTGTACAAACATGTTGATATATAAAATGAATTCGATAAGTATGAAAAAGAGAGAAGAAAGTAGAGATTGCAGTTGATTGAATATAAGAATAAATTGAAGAAAAGAGTATTAGAAAAGGAAATAGCATTAATAAAATAATTTGAATCAAGTTAAATTGATTTTGTATCGACTAATGCTTCACTTGAAAATAGCAATATAAGTAAAGATGTCACGATGGATGAATAAAGAAGACAATCCCTTCTTAAAGAATTAGAGGAAATCAATAATTAATTGACTTAGATTGATAAAGAGAAAGAAGAATTAAAGATTTTAGAGAATGATATTGCAGTTTTAGAGCCTAATATGGTAATTCTAAGAGGAATTGAGAAGAAAACTGTATTAACCATGATTAATTATATTGAATTTCAACATAGACATGTTTCAGGTTTGGTATTGAATCCTGAAACAATGAAAAATATAGAGACTGTTCATTATCATGTTATGAATAATCTACCAATTCAAAGAGAGAAACTCTATGAAGTTGTTCCAGAACTATTTTAGGAAGAAATCGGAGAATTGGATGAACATAAATAACGATTAATTTAAGAAAATAGACCAACCTTAGATGTATAGGAAACTAGTGTAATCTAAATTATTGAAAAGAGTAGAATACCTGAATCAGATGATCCCATAGTCACTTTATTGAATGAATAAAGAGAAATGATGATGTTTGTTTATAATAAATGTGTCATTTTTTGTAATAAATATGATGATTGGATAGAAATGGTATATATAAGTTTAAGTAAATTAGAAATTGAAATAAGGGTTTCCAGATATAGATGCTATTATTGAGAATTTGTTACTGAGAAAAGATTTGAGTGGGATTGATCTTGAGGTATATGAAGGATATAAAGAATTAGAAAAAATAAACGATGACTATCATAATCTTTTAGAATTGAATAAAATTAAAATTAGGAAAGAATAAAATAAATTAGAAATGCCTCCTTTTGTTGAATCTCATGAATTATTAAGAAGGGTATGGACAGAAAAATGGGAAGCTCATGTTAAGAATTCTCTCGACTTCTCCGAATCAATTTTAATCCCTCATAACACTTATGAATCAAAATTAGATAAAGTGTTGGCAGATTACAAAAAGCAAGATATCCAAGACTTGATTGAATAATGTATCATTATTATTTAAATTAAATAGCTAATCAAGCATTAAAAGAGAAATTAGGAGGAGATTAACCAGTTCAATATTATGATAGAAAAGAAAAGGATTTAAATTTAGTCAAATAAATATAAATTCTGGGAGATGTTATGCATTAAATTCCATCTCATGAAGAAGAATTAAAAGAATTGTAAAAGAAAGCTGAATAGTTTGATAAATTATAAATTGATGATAAAACCTAGATATATAAAAGTGAAGAAGGCAGAATCTTATTAACAGAACTTCCGAAAGTATTACATCTAAATAATAAAGATCCAAAACAAGTAATTATTATTAATAATCTTAGTATAATTTATTGTTTTGGGCTGAACACTTTAATATTGAACCCTAAAAATTGAGAAATATCTTCAACTTTATACATTACCCAATCCTAGAATAATAAAATAAAGAAGAGAAGCAAAAGATTTTAAAATTTATATATTAATGAATAAGACAACACAGTAATTCAACGTTTATATTTTGAAATTTCTCTTAAAAATAATTCTCTCAGTCTTGGAATTTGTAACTCTCCTTCTTATTCAAAATCTAAGATGATTGGTCCTATTCATTAACATATTATTTATACCTGGAGCAACTATTTCCTTTTTTTTATCTCTTACTTTCTAAAGCATAGGATGCTCAATAGCTTGATCAAGAGTTATTCTTAACTTTGGACTAAATTATAAGCATTTATCTAAAAAATCCAATGCTTCAGGAGGAGCACCAGGGAAAATATCAGCAAAGCCCACTTTAGGTTTCTTGGGGAAACTCTTCAAATATTCAATAGCTTTTTTGTCAGTTACAAAATCCATATCCCTAAGAGATATTAAAATTAATATAACTTTTCTCCTGGAGTTCCAAGAACAGAGAAAATAACTGTCAATTAATCGGTATTAGAGTATGGGAATCCACCCTTTTTGGCAATTGCACTTCTTTCTGGGCTCAAAGGAAAACAACTTGTTCCTGGAAATAGAGGAGCTCTGTCTAAAAATGTTGGGGCATTCTCCTTCATCATATTTAATAATTCTGCAAAGATACAACCTACCGACCAAACATCTATGGCTGCAGTATAATCTTTCTCCAATAAGATCACTTCAGGGGCTCTATACCAACGAGTTACAACGTGACCTGTTAATTCTCTCTTAACTGCCTTTGCATTCAATTTGTTTTGTTTTTGTAGCATTCTAGGCCCTTTTTTATCATCCTTCTTTTTTGGTTCCTCTTGCTGTCTAGCTATTTCTTCTTCCAATGCTTAATCAGAGGCATCGATTCCTAGTATGAGATATTAGATACCTTGCACACTTCTAGCCAGTCCAAAATCGCATATTTTGACAGTGCAATCTTCATTCAAAAGCACATTGGCTGGCTTCAAATCTCTATGCAATACTTTGGCTGAATGCAAATATTTAAGACCAACACATATGTTGTAAATTATAGTTTATATATGTAAAAACTATAAGTGTATTGGTGATTTGAATAACTTTTTTAAGTCACTCTTTTTATAATACAAAAAATTACTTGTGCATATTCCATCACAACGTAAATTGTGTCGAATTTAGGATCACTTGGCTCTAAAATCTCAATAATTTAAATCAGGTTTTGATGTTTTAATTCTCTAAGAATACTGATTTCTCTAAGAATTCTTTTACAATCAATCTCATCGTCAAATATTCCAGTCAATCTTTGAATATTAAAACTTTTAAAACCTTTTAATTGCTACCTTCTTGTTTGTAGATTTTTGTAAGGCTTCTACAACTTGTCCATAAGATCCAGAACCTATTTGCTTAATGATTTCATAATCATCTCCAACTTGCCAATCTGAAAAATTCTTGGGAAGAGTAGACAATTTCTATAGTTTCTGACCTTCTTGCATTGCTGAAGTTTTTAAAAAATAAAATAATTTAATGATTCATTGCATAGAAATTGTGTAATTTAATAACTTAATTAAAGATTTATATAAATGATTATACTTAATTATTTATTACATATTTTACATCTATCTTCTTAAATCAATGAACTCCAATAAAGAACTGCTTGACTTGCATATTATTTATATTTATTAAATCAATTAAGTAATATAATTATGTTAAGTGACCAATAAATTTTATAAATAGTCTTAGCAGCTGACAGTATAATGGTGCACTTTTAATATTACATTACCAATGAGATATTATACTTAATAATAGGTTTATCATCAGCACTTTTTCATGCCATTATATTTATAATTGAACAAATGACAAGAAATCAACTATCGAAGTTGTTGCTCAATATACTTAAATTAGCATAAATACTTATTGTTTCCTAAATGCTATATGAATCTTGGAGAATTTACGTTGGAATTTAAATAGTTTGCATAATAAAATTTAACTAGAAACTAACAAGAATAATGATTTTTACTTTATTTTGCATTCATTCGACATCCCTTACTTTTGCAGATATAAATTATTTAGCAACTGGAATTGTTAGAAATTGCTTGTGTTATATTTTGCTTTTAAGTTTATTTAAGAAACACAATTATACAAGCGATTAAATGGAAGAGATCATAAAATAATTGAGTTCGGATATCTTTGTTTTTCTTGATAATAATTTCAATCCAGAAAATGAATAAGAGAATTTTCAGATCATCATGAATGATCATGTATTTCGGAGTGGAGATGAAAGAAGCGATCGTATTACTACAAATAGGGACTAGAATACAAATGGCATTCAGCCAAAATTGATCGATGAAAAGAATACTTTTGAATTCAAAACAATTTTCAATCACTTGAAAAATACTAAAGCTAATTGGTAAGATTAAATCTATGAAACATAATCTGATTATTTAATAGTAGTTAAGAAAGTATTTTATAATCAAAACATCAGTTCATCTAATTTTCTTAAATGTTTAACTTCATAGTAAGATCATTTTTTCATTCTTCAAAAAAAGTAAAAGCCAGTTTTAATCAAAAAACAGCCTTAAGAAGATAATTCAAAAGATAACATGAGGATTTTGAGTAAGGTCTCACATGATATGAGGACTCCTCTAAATGCTATAATAAACATGTAATTGTGTTTGAAAGATTAGATAGATGAATCTTTGGCTGAGAGATACTTAAAACCTTCTCTTAATTCTTGCAGATTGCTCTTGAATTTAGTTAATGACATATTAGATTAAGCATAACTTTAAAATAGAAAAATTCGTTTAGTATTCAAAAAGTTTAATCTCAAAAAGTTAATCAATAAAACTATCTCAATTTTTGATATTTAGAAAGAGAAAAAAGAATTAATAATTTTGCTAAATTATGATGCTAACGTACCATAATTTATCAATAGCGACAAAAATAGAATTAGATAAGTGATTATGAATCTCCTTAGTAATGCAGTCAAGTACTCGATGGCAAAAGGTAAAATAATAATATCATGTGAATATATGTTGAAATTTTCAACTTTTATACTCTCAGTGAGTGATACTGGCTTAGGAATTAAACCTGAGAATCTAGAGAAGTTATTTTAAGAATTTGCAAGAGTTGAAGACAAAGAAAATCTCGACAAAAATCCTAATGGAATAGGCCTAGGGTTATTAATAAGCAACGAGTTGTCAAGGCTATTATCATCTAATAATTAAGGGATATCTGTTCAATCTTAGTATCAGAAAGGGGCAACATTTTCCTTTCAAATCTTGAATCAAAAGTTACCTGATGAAGATCTTTCAGATTCCAAAATATCAGATGGTGCCATTTAGGAAGTAAACAATTTACCAGAATCACATTTCTTCTAGTAATATAGTTGCAGCTTTAAATCCAAAGAGTTTACTATGCCAATCATTAAATAGTTATCATTTGATAGTTAATAAATCATTCCTGCGAATAATAATTAATCAATTAAGAAGTATAATTTGAGAGTGAATTCATCAAATTTATTATCCTCAAATCGATTACTTCCATTTAACATTGATTGCGAGAAGTCTTACCAAAGAAAATCCACCAATCAATCCAATTAAATTATTGAGTAAACTAATAATTGGTTAGATTAAACTTCTAAATAACCTCCAGTATTAATAGTAGATGATAATGAATTTAACATAATTGTCTTATAATATATATTGGAATAATTGTATCTAACTTGTGATTCTGCTATTTCAGGATTGATAGCTTTAAAAAAATGTAAGGAACGAGCTTTGAGCTAATATAAACTTATATTTTTAGATATCGAAATGCCTGAAATGGATGGATTGGAAACAGCAAAAAAACTTTTAGAATAAGATGCATCACTTAAGATTATTGCCTGCACTGGGAATCGATAAACAAAAGCACAGTTAGAAACCTACAAATAAGTAGGAATGTTGGGAGCCATAGAAAAACCAGTAACCAAAGCAAACTTGAAAGAGCTACTTCTTAATCTAAATACCTAGAGAAATGATGCATAATTTACTCATTACTTTTGATAATTAGTCATTTTATAATAAAAGTTATACATCATTTATACATTATAATCTCAGATATTAAATAAGGTAAGGGATGTACTATGAGTTTAATAATTTGATTATGGTGGTTGGCAATTATATTTCGAAGATTTTAGGAAGTAATAAAAAGAAGCTTGTTTCTATAATTACCTTAATTCCCCTTAAGAATATTATTAATTTAATTCTCAATTTATACACAACTATAATATAATTTAGTTTTTGTAATTTTAAAGCACATTCATTTTTATTGCATTTCTTTTTTATGGATGAATGAGTACTATTGTATTATTTTTCTTTATACTTATTAACCATTCGAACCATATCCTTTATAACCTAATATTTACAATAATGTAAATTATAATAATATTTTTATATATATTACTTTAACTATATAAGGGCATTAATTTTACAATTTTTAATTTATTTTCGCTCTTCTCCTAATCACTATATGAATATAAATGAACATCTTACCAACACTAACCAGATGAGAGATCTTCATTTTGATCAAACATTGAAATAAAACAATACTATGGAAATATATAATGTAATATCAAAATAATATTACTAATATTATGTTTTAATTAATTTAAATAAAAATAAAGACAATCTAAAAATATGAATCATTTATATTCTACTGATGTTCGAAAAAAAAAGCAGACAATTCCTTTATTACGAGTTCGTTAACATCAAAATTTAAGAATTTTAAAGGGGCAATAAATAAATTAGGAAATTTTAACCTTTTAAAATTTGCGATATTATAATGAAGGCATCATTTCTATTGAATTATAATGCTGAAAGTAATAAGTATTAGTAAATTATTAATAAATATTTTTTTAACTGATATTAATATAAAAACGGGTTATTTCAAAAAGTGAAATAAGTTTTAATTAATTTTATGAACAAAATTTTATTATCTTTACTTCTTGTTAGTATTTGTCTCTGTTAAGAGGGTACAAATTATTAAGTATTATAGAAACCCTCATATAACTCGAAAATGGACTCAGTTTAACAAATCTGAATTAACTAATGACTATGGATTTTAACAAATTAACCTGTTAGACTAATTTTATCCAGGTGGGTCACTAATTAAAAATGTGGGCTGAACTATATAAGGACGAGAAAGTTATACATCATGAAATTCGGTTATTGTCCAAAGCTCATAAAATACTAAACTAATAAAGGTTTGATAGATTGAGAAATACAAGTAAGGTTAAATTTAATGATAGACACTTTGCATAGTGCAAAAAGAATACTTGCTGCCTTGAGACACAACACACATAAGAAAGAAAATACAATTTATTAGTAATGGAGAGTGAATGAAATCAAGTAATTGAAACATTCAATTTAATTGTTATAAACATCTAAAAGTATGAATATAAGTAAATTTATAGCTGAGGATGGCAAAAAATAGTGTTGTGACAGGATTGAAAAGTTAATCAACAAATATTTGGATGAGAGAAAACATATCGCTAAATAATGTGGAAATTCCGATGTAATTAATATTCTTAAATTTAGATAACAATTAATATTATTAATGATGCAGAAGGCAAAATTGAAGTCGTCAATAGAAATTGCCAGGAAAGAGAATCTGATGTAAAAAGTGATAGAGTGGATTCTAATGAGAAAGTTATTGTTGGATAATCGTAACAATAGAAGAAGGAGGAACAAAATAGTATTACTGAAAAAAAATAAGAACAAGTTGTTGAAGAACATCACGAATCAACTGAAAGTGTCATAGAAGAAATTGCTGAGGAAGAGGAAGTAATTGGTGAAGAAGAAGTAGAAGAAGAAATAGAAATAGAGGAAACAATCATTGAGGAAACAGTTACTAAGACAACTTCAACTAAAGTTGTGGAATTACCGAAAGATGATAGTAATGAAGTTGTAGAGGGTAAAATAGTCTCAGCTCAAGGTGTAGGAGCATGTGGAGAAGGTGGTAGAACTTGATTATATTAATATTAGAAAAATATTTATATATTTTATAATCTTGTTACGTATAAAGAGGGATCTTAATAAATAAATTAATATTGAATATGTCATTAGAGGACAAATAGCAATTTTTAGTTGATGAAATCATCAATAAGGGATACGATAGTGAGGACTTTACTAAATATATGGATAGAAAGAAAGAAAATGGCGGATAAGATTTGGATGTCTGGCTGATGGATGAATTGAAATAGGCAGTCTTAGATTATCAAAAAATGAAGAATGCAATGATGCAAATCGTTGATGATGATATTGGATTCAAGAAGAAGATAGATTGCTAAAAACTTATTGGCACTGAAATAGGAAACACAAATAATGTGCAAATTTTCATTGAAAAGTATAAATGATATCCAAATTAGCTTCGATAAGAAGGATACAGGGTTCTTTAGTCTCAGTAAATCATATGTAAATTATAGAATTGTTACACAACCATTATAATGGGCTGTCACAAGAAGATATTCAGATTTCGAATGGTTAAGGGAAATCTTAACGAAATAATATCCTGGAGTATTTGTACCTCCTATTGCTAATAAAACTCCAACTAGATAATTCAGTGATGCTTACTTAGTAAAAAGAATGAAATTTTTAGAAGTAATTATTCAATTCCTAAATTTTTAGACATTCTTAAATCATATACTTAATTCAACAATTCTTACGAATGACAAATATTTTTGTGAATTCCTAAGAATGCAAGATGAAAAAGAATTCAAATCCCTCCAAAACGCCTCAGAGAAAGTCCAAAAAACAACGAAATTAGATAAAGTTTTTAGTGAAACAGGATAAATTGAAGTAGCTTTCAATCCTTAAACTGATAATTACATTAGAGCTGCTGGCAATTTAATGACAAGTTTAAATTTAGATTATGATGTGTAAAATTACTTCTTTATTGTTAGAATTATGAAATAATCTAAAAAAATGTTATAAGATTTTGAGGTGGTATCAACAACTATGTTTTAAATGGGTGAGTCTTTTGAAGTGCTTACCAATCATATTAATTAATTTAATTCTTCTGTGTAAGAACCAGAAAAGATCTTGAAATTCGAAGCAGTCACAATTACATTAAATAATATGATGATGATATGGGGTAGAAATTTCTAGAATTACTTGAATTATATCTAAGATAACTTTAGAAATTTCTTCAAATATCATGACAAAGAGATTTCTCAATTGAAAGAACATCTATTGTTAAGACAATAAAGTCAAGCTGAATACTTAAAGTATAAGGAGCGTTTGGATTTGAAAAAGGAAAAGTTTTATTAATTAAAAGAATTTAATAAATGGGAAGTCTCTAAGGAAGTCTTGGATGAACTGAAACTAAATATTGATAATAAGAAATTTTGTTTGAGTGTCATGTTGCCTAAAGAAACATCATAGTAAAATGATTTAAGGGATACATATGGCTATTATAATTTGTCTGCATATAATGAAATTAAGAGGGTCTTTGAATAGAATATTGATATTTATGCAAAGCATTTTATTAAATTTGCTGATAGTCAGGCTAACAATCTGACCAAGGTTAAATCTTACTTTATATTTTTAGATGCATGTTACTTGGGCTGATATACAAGGTAATTTACAAGGATTAGACTTAATTACATAACATGATTAAAAAGTCTAAATTATGCAGTAGCCAAAACCAAAGGTATGAAATTTTATATGCTTTTCATAATTAATAAAAATTCAATATTAATATTATTATGTACCAACATTAAAAGTCTGTCATATTAGAATAAAATTCTACTTCAACGATATCCTACTCTAGCTATTCAAAAGGAAAAAATATAGAAAAAAAAATAGAATAACATTAATAGAATTATATAACTCAATATTTAATACTCTATCCTTTTTTATAAAATATAGTTGAAGAATAAGAAAATATAATCATTACCGAATAGGATTATTAGCAGCTCATTCGATATATATTAGACTACTAGCAATCCTTTAGTAATGAAGGAAAAAAGTTATTTATTGTAGAAAGAGGAGACTATCAGGACGATTTACTATAGTAAGATTAGGATCAGCCGATTGTTTAGATTTTAAAAAAAATAATTGAAAAAAATGTATAACGGATTAAATACTGTTCATATTCTATAAAATTGTTGTCTTTCAGGTATTCATCTTCTAGAATCAATAAACGAAATTTAAGAATAATATATTGATAAACTGGCAATAGAGGATGAAAATTATAGGATAACCTTATTTAATATTATTTCGAATAAAACTTAAAAGACTTTATTGTCACATCAAAAATTTAGTAGAATATTACAAAGTTTTAACATTTTAATTGATCAAAAAGATAATTTCGATTGTTCAGAGTTATTCATAGAAAAAAGATGTAAACCAAAATTAATACTCTTATAAGATTAGTATTTTTTACCTATTCATTTTAAAAACTAACAATAAACAATTAAGGTTACTTCTGAGATTTAGAATATTTATAAATATTTTTTAAAATAAAAAATCATTTAATTTAAGCCAAAGATAATCTTATTAGGAATAGAAATAGATAACAATTTTGAATTTGAAAGCTACTATCTTAAAAAAATCATACATCAATTAAATAAGTTATCTCAAAATTCATTGATAATTTTTCCTATTAAAATGAGTAATATAAATAAAGATAAATATTTTTAAACCCTAGTTTAATGTATGAATGCTCTAAATACTTATAAATAAGCAAAAAAGAATCATATCTAAGATAATGATAGAGCGATGAAGTCAAAAAATTATCTTCCTTATATAGAGCGAATGAGTCAAACTAGTAGGGAAAAATAATATTATAAACTTTAACTCTAAAGTTTAAATTCAATACATAAATTAGAATAAATAAATGATGATAAAAGTTAAGAAAGATTTAATTTTCCAGTTATAACCCCAGAAAATGAAATAGTGTATGTGATTTTATAAGATTCGGAGAGGAAGGAGTTTATTGAAATTGATTCTAACACGAAATACTACGTTTCTTATATGCAAGAATATGTTGATAATAAATTAACTATGTCAATCATTTAAAATGAACAGCTTTATTGGGGTGAAATTAATTTGAATTAGATCCAGATCAAAAATGAAAATGAAAGTAAAAACAAAATATATTTCCAAAAGATTGCTGTATTTTAAAATAATCCAAATTCATCTTTTCTGTTAGATTAATACAAGTTTTATTAAGTTACTTTAGGTGTGAATGAAATTGATTAATATATTGGAACTGTCATTATCTATAATTTTGAAAAAAATTAAATTAAAGTTGATTAGTTTTCAGTTCAAAATGAACAAAGAATGAAATGTCATATAAAAGGTTTTACTGTTATAAAACACTCAAAAACATCATTTTCAGTTCTAAGTGGATGTAAAGATGGAGATCTATATTAATAAATTGGAATCAAATTAGATTTGGTCGAATTCAATTCCCTTAAACTTTATTAATTTTAAAAACAATAAAGCAGATTACCTAAAGGCTATGACAACCCATTAATCGTAAAATTTGAACCAAATTCAGATTAAGGACAAAATTTCAACTAATTTTTATATTTTGAATCGTAAACAAAATATTTTGCTTCTCCTTTTTCACCTTATATCTATAAAATTTTCTTTAGCGAATGCAATTCAATTTGTTAAAGTCAGCCATTCTCAGATATTATGAACGCTCATCTATTTTAAAAATATTCAAAGCTCTTTAGATCAGATTAGATAAACTTAAAATATTAGAATCCCATGTCAAATAGGAAGAAATTTGATTTGATAGTTTTTGACAAAACCTTTGAACGCACTAACTTTAAAGAGTTTAATGATAATAAAGATATTACTTTGCAGAAATACTCTTAATAGAACTATTTGCATTTTAAATTTTAGTACTCTCCAAATTCTTTATTAAAGATAGATTTAAAAATGGATTCGTTCCTTTTACAAAATAGTATTGCCGATTTAAATAAAATATGTCTATATAACAATGTAATATGATTTTTATACTTATAGTGGCTGGAGGATTAAAAATTTCAGTATGTCTTTTTGTATAATAGATTATAACACATCTATTTATTATATTATTAGAAAGACAAGTCAAGGTAATATTCTAAAAGGAAGTTTGTATTTTATAATCAAGAAAATCCAACAGATTACATTCCTTTTGATGAAGTTATGATAAATGATTATTATAATAGTATGATGTGGGTTGTTAGAAAATATTATGATAGAAGTGATCCATATCTTGTTGTTTATAGTTGGTAATGAATATTGTATTAATCTAGCCATTGGATGAGACTTTAAGATATCAAAGACGCAGATATAAATGCCTAAATAAAAGTAAAGATGGATAAACTTTTTGAAATCAACATCCAAAGTAAAGTTATTGATTTAATTGGTCTTGAAGTCCAAAAAAGCAATAATGTATAATTTCAATAAAATTAAGACACTTTTAATTTGTGCCTCAACATTTATTTGCAAAATTCAAATATCAGATATGCTAAACCATCAAGAAAGCATCTAAAATTAGATCTAAAAGGGAACGTTCTTGTATGAAATCTGTTAAGCCGAATTAAATATATGTCAAGACTCTCCAATGATTCTCTTAAATTTGAATGAAAATAAGATTGCTCTTTTTTATCAATATTGTATGGTTAATTGTTTAGATGAAAAACAAGGGCAATTTCAAATAGAAATAAAAGCTAAGATATGGTTTGAAAAAAGTGAGTATAAACAAAATGCGGATAATTATCTAATTTACAATAGTAGTTATGACTTTAAGGATTAAGATGATTTAGAACAGACCAAAGATCAATCTTTAATTAAATTTTCATTTAATTATGAAGCATCCGATACTTTAATTCTAGCAAAAATTCTTTTAGTATAATTAACAGGATCTTCATTCGAATTTTTAATTTTTTTTGAGCAAGAATTTGGTTATTTCTATGTTGGGTTATATCAATTTTGTCAAAATAAAAATTCTATTGATTGCATGAGGATGATAAAATTATCAAAGGATACAATTTAATTTCTGCAGAGCATATCTACAAATAAATACGAAACGCTGTTTATGTAAGATTAATTAACTTATCTAATACATTCAGAAAGTACGCTACAATTATTTTTTTTTAAATATGGAAACAATTAAAAGTAGGAAGAATCTAATTAGAAGTAGTAAGAATTTAGTTAAAAGTAGGAAGAATCTAATTAAAAGTAGCTTCTACTAAATTGAAATTTATTAATATCTATTATTCTCAATATTTATTTCATTGATATTTTTGAAATTAAACTATGTTTATATCAATTTATAATATATATCAATTTTGTATTTTATTCAAATTTGATTATATTATAACCAAATTAATAGTAAATTCATAATAATAATTTGAGTTGATAATTAATTAAGACAAATTCCTTTCTGAAATATCATATGGTTCATAAATAAGCGCAAAATCAAAAGAAGCTAATAATTTAACTTGCAAATTTTATGATATAATAAATAATGGAAAATTAATCCCTGAACTAACATTTATTATATCTTGATTTAAAATAAATCTAATAGAATAATCAATCATTAGTAAATTTGCACCAAATATCTCATCTTTACTCTGCTTTCATCATAGACAATATATTCTGAATTTTGAGTGTAAAAACTTATATTCTTAGTCCTCTCTTATATTTAATGAGGGATTGAATTAGAAACAATTTACCCGATGGGAACTACACATCCATTAGGCATTTTTATTTAAGACATTGGATCAGGGCCTTTGGAGCCAACAGCTTTCAAAGTATATTCAGGTTCTAATAAATATAAATGAATTCGTACTTTAATATTCAAGACAATTTTTATGGGGCTCATTGTATGCATCAATTTAATTCATGCAACTTACTTCACATAATAATAAATATCGATATTTTTGGTACTGATTAGTATTATTTTGGTTCCCATAAAACTAATTATATCTATGATTGATTGAATAATCTTAAGTATAATTATAGCTCTTTGAAAATTGATCTGCAAAATAGATACCTTTTCCAAACATCGCTCCTGTATTTACTGCCCAGGAAGGTGCAACTATAATAATTTAAATATTAATTACTTTTTAATCCTAAGGCTAGTAAACTCATGAAATTGGAAATCTTTGAACCATGCCATAAAAGAATTCTAGGTCCTTGATTAAATTTGTCAAATTTCTACGCCTCTCCTTTTCTTTCGATAGCAAAGATATTTGCAATTGTAACACTTTAAGTTCTTTAGATGTATGTTTATATCATCTTATATTCTAGATCCGACGTATTCAAAGTAAGCATTTTAATATTCAATGCATTAAAACAATAAGTTATAGGATGAATAGAATTTAAATTATAATTTGCTCCAAGTAATATCTTAATAGCTTGTTCAACGTTTAGTAGTAATTCTAAAAGTTGTAATTGTTCATTGATTATTTCTTAAGTTTCCAATAATGGTAAGAGATTTTATCTCATTTAAACTTTTGGAATTAATTCATAATATCTAGCAGACTTGTCATTGATTTCTGAATAATATTATTACAATCTCTTTAGATCGACATCTATTTAATTCATATAGAGATTGACTTCTAAAACTATTTCTTTAAGTTCTAATAATATTTCCTTAGCTTTTAGTATTGTATTTTTGTCTAACTTTTCAATTGGTACAAATCCTGTATCAAATTGATGGCTTTGTAATTCTTATTAATATAATTTAACCTAGGAGAATTGCTCAATAACTTTGTAAATGCTAGTATCTAACTTACATTTAGGATATGGCGATTACTCGCTTAAATCAAAAGGTTCTAAGAGAGATTTGTAGCTCTTGTTATTTTAACACTTAATAAGCTGATACTTTTCTGGCTTTTTATCGAATTCTTCTTCTCCTGATTTTATCAATTTCCAATTATTGCCACCTGTTTTGGCAGCAAATATTTTACAGAATTCCTTAATTGTGGTTTCCAAATTTTCAAAGGGAGTCATTTAAAATTGACCCTGTTCCCCGATTTGACCCCATTTTGTGAACAAAATATAATTATTTCTATTTTTATCAAATAAGATTTGCATCTTATAGAATACATTTTTATGAAAGTTTCTATTCACAATATCAACCTTAGAGAGCAAACATTACCATAGGCCATAATCTTGATCATCATAAACACTCAAATCGCCCTTAGCAATTTTGGCCTATTAATCCACAATTTACTTATTATCAATTTCAGCTTCTATTTAAATATTCTTTTTTTCTAAGAACTATAGAGCATCTTCTTCAAAATCTACTTCATGATCTGGCCATAGTGCTGTGGCTATTACAGAAGTAGCCATTCTTTGTTATCTCAAGCTTCTAGTGTGATGAGCATTATTAGCTAAGAGTTCATCCTTCATGAGTTAAGCATCAAATATTAAAGCGTAATCTAGTGGAGTCAATCCATTATTATCTTTAAGGTTGTAATCAAATATTGTCATTAAAATTTTCAACATTTCAACATTTTCATAGGATCCGAAATCTAATGGCAAGACAACATGATGAATAGGAGTTTTCCCCTCATTATCACGCATTTAAAGCTAAGTATTAAATGAGGGCTGCCTAATCAAAAATTTCACAAATTCTAAATTGTTATTTTTAATAGCAATATTCAATGCTGTTTAGCCTTGATGATTCTATTCATTAATGTCAATTCCGTAATCCACAAATTTTTAGAGTTTCCAAGAGTCATAAATCTTTAAGTGATCAACTAAATACATGAAGGGTTTAATATACGAATTTGTATTTAAAATTTTGAATTTAACATCCATCTTTAACCCTAGTTGCATCATCCTATCAAAATTATAATTTTAGTTTCTTTGGAAAAGTAAAGTGAAAGCATTATTATCTGTATTGTCCATCAGATTAGGATCACATTTTCTATTATATAGGAAATATTCAACTAATAAATCATTATTCTTTGAGATTGCATCATGCAGAGGTAATTTTTGATTGTTATCTTAAACATAAGGACTGATATTCTTTTATTCAAATTATTCTACTATTTCTGATAACAAGTCTGCAGGAACTTTAGCTGAATAAATTGCGAATAAATGAAATAGGTTTTACCCATTAGAATTTAATTTGGATAAATCCTTCTCATTCTTCACTTTCATTAAGAGAGTGAGAACTAATTAAAATTAATTTGCATTAATGGCATCTTGAATTGCATTTACAAATTCATATCCATCACTAATTAATAAGTAGGCGACACCTTGCCATCCAAATTTAATTGCTTAAGAGAAATAACTATATTCTCCAGTTTACAAATTATTATGTAGATGTTATGGGAGATCCAAATCTTAACTAATCTTTTATTGTATTTTTTATAATATCAATCTCTCTCTTTAAGTTATTTTATCAGACTAGCTTCTCTCAAATTGAGGAAGTATCTTTTATTATTATTATTATAATTTCTATTTATCTCTTTTACGAGAATAAAATACATTCTTCTCTGAACCATCATCGCAGGAGTTTCCCTCTGAATATTCATCATCTTCTTAATAATCATCGTCAGACTCATCATCTATTTAGACTTATAGCTACTACTATTAATTTTAAGCCGCTTATTTTACTCTTTCATTCTCATCCTCAATGATCATCAGTTGATCAATTTCAGGATCAGTCTTTATTTCTTCTCTGTACATCTTCTCTTTTTGTTATCTCAAATCACTTAGACTGACAATGTTGATAACCTTATTCACATCAACCTTATTGTCAATCAACATTGTACTGAAATTAGCATGTTTAAAGAAAGAATAGGCTATTGGTGTATTCTTATAAATATCAGGAGTATCAACAGCTGCTCCCATCTTTATCATGTATCTACCTGAAATTGCACTTCCTCTTAAGGCTGCATAATGCAATGGAGATCTTTAATATCGATCCAATACATTAACATCACATTCTTTGAAGGCTAATAAAGATGAGACTGATTCAAATGGATCTATCTCATTTGTTGAAGTAGGTTCATTAAATTTAGTGAAGGAATAAAATAATGGAGTTCTACCATAGATATCTTTTATATCACATTTAGCTCCGAATTTGATCAATTATTATTCCATCTAAAAACTTGCATTTGCATTTGGATTACTGAAATTTATAGCAAAATGTAGTGATGTCCTACCTTTCTGATCTTAATAGTTTGGATCTACTTTGAATTCTGACAAGAAAACCTTTACAGTCTGTAAGTCTGTTTTCTCTACAAATTAATTTAGAGGCACTTAATTCTAATTATTAACATCATTTAATTAACCACCTAAACTTATAAGTTTAACTAAAAGAGCATGCCATGAGTAATTATACTTTAGTGCTATCATCAAGGTTGGAGTGTTTCCATGAGAGTTTCTATCATTAAAATCTAAACCTAACTTTATCACATAATCTAAAAATGAAAATGATGTTTCATCGTTTCTATGTAATATTACTAGATTATGGTTAAAGCATTTAAAGAAATAATGCAAAGGAGTACCAAATTGATCTCTTTGAGTAAGCATCTCATTTGGGAATATTTATAACAATTCCTTGACAAAGGAGATACTTGGAAATGACTCGAAAATCAAATGGAATATATTTGTGTTATTTTAAACTGCAGTTTAGTTGTAACTTCTCTATGTCATTACATTCGAATTTATATTGGCTCCTTTTTAAATGAGATGCTTTAATTGTTTAAACATTTAATTTTAGTAGAAATAACCATCCTCAATTCTTTTCATTTCTAATTAATTTTATTTCTTAACTGAAATTCCTACTTAAACTGAAATTACATCATATTAAAAATATGATGCATAAAGCTTGCAATCTGCATTTTATAGTCTCTTCTGAATTTCATTCTAAAATTACTGCTAAGGTGTTTAATTGTAGTTTGAGTATCCTTAATTGTTATTATAATTGCAGTTCGAAGTTCCAAAATTGTTATTCGAAAATCCGAAATTGCTACTCTAATTTTAAAAAACTGAACTCCCTTAATTAGAAGAAAATAAATTATTGCTATTTCCAAAACCAAAAGTAGTTTGAGGTTATGGTTATGCAAATATATTTTATTGTTATTACTATGGTTATGCAAATCTATTTGATTGTTATTACTATTATCCATATCCAAATGTTGTTTGATTTTAAGGTCGACCAAATAAATTATTTTATTGAACCATAGTATTCATTGGAATGTTTAATCCTTATTATTAAACTTATTGAATTTAACCAACTGTTTATTAGTTCTGAAACAAACCTCCTGATACATTGACTTAATTCTTAAATAAATTTTCTATTACTTTCTCTTATTTATTAGGCATCATTATAGATTCTTAAGTAATTTATTCAGATAATCTCTCTTCAAATGTTTTCTGTGCTTGCTAACCTTCTTATAATAATTCTTTTTAAAACTTATATTTATACTCATTTTCAATGTCTTAAAATATTTCATTCTTGGCTTTCACAATATTAGATTAAAACTCTTATTCAATTTTTGATGCAATGGATGTTACAAAAATCTAAATGACCTTTAAATGAGGTACAAATCCTTGAATATCAGGTTGGTGAAGTAGAGATGGATTTATCTTATCTAAAATTATTTAGAATAGTTAAATTCCAAGGTCGTCATAAAAGTACTGATTTTCAATCATAATGTGTAATAATGTTTTATCTTCTCTATTTACTATATTTAAATCAATCTAATTCTCTTAAAGAAGTTCAAGGCAGAGCTTATAATTCTTTTTAGACAACAATAATGAAAATGGGGTTAATCCATTTTCTTTTTCCTATGAGTTAATATTAGCTCCATTTGCAATTAATAATTTGATTAATTTATCTTATATTTTTGATTGTTAACCATTAATAGCATGCAACAAGCTAGATCTGCCATCCTTATCTTAACTATTTATGTCTGCACCATGGTCTATCAATAATTGAATGAGATCAATTAATAAATCTGAGAAGGTGCATGATAAGGCATGTTACAAACAAGTTTTACCGAATTTATCTTATATGTTGATATCAGCCTTTTTTTCTGCAATAATATACTTAATGAATTCAAATTACTCAACTGATTAATCAAACTACTTGATTAGCCCAGCGACTAAAGTTAAGCCATCATCATCAATACAATTTACATCTGTACTTTCTAATTTCAACAATGCTTTAACAATACCTATATGATTTTTTGCTTAAGCTACATTCAAAGGTTTCAATTTCCAAGAGTTGAATTCATTCTAATCAGCTCCAGCCTCAATCAAAGTTTAAATACAATCTAAAAAGCCATATGCTGCAGCATGATGAATGGCATTATTTTTTGAGGAATCACTAATTTTAAAGTCTGCCCCATAATATAGCAATTTAGACAAAATGGCCAAATTTCCATTTCTAGCAGCCATAATTAATGGTGTTCTTCCAAATTTATCCTTAGCATTGATTCTTGCCCCTTCATCTAACAAATATTCAACCAATTCTAAATGATTATAGGCAGCAGCATAATGCAAAGCTGTCATTCTGTTTCTTCCTGCAAAATTAATCAACAATCCGTTTTCAATTAATATTTTTACACATTCAACGTGACCATTTTAACTAGCAAAATGAATTGCAGAATTGCCCTCCTTATTTTTTGCTTTCAAATTAGTATTTACTACTAATAATTTAACGTTATGGGAACGACCATATTTAGCTGCTAGCATCAAAGGAGTATCCAAAAATTTATTACCTTCTCTTGCATCAACACCATTTGCTAGCAAATATTCTAAGCAATTTGAGGTTTAGGAGACAGCAGCATAATGAATTGGCTTACTACCATTTTCATCTTAGATATTGTATTCCATTGTCTACTCCATAAAATACTTTAGGAACTGTTCGGATGGATTTATACATGCACAATGAATAGGAGTAATGAGAAAATCATTCTAGGTTTTCTTAGTAATGGATATCTTTTTTATTTAATCTAATTTATAAGTGCTGAAATTATCATCTAATGCATCATGATGTAAATAATTAAAGCCATAACCATCGAGGTTGTTTGTTAATGCATATTTGATCAAGAATTTAGCAGACTTTATATTACCACATCTAACTGCAAAAGCAACATTCTCAATTAAATAGTGATCATATTTTGATGATTTTAGATAAATGAATAATTATTCATACATTTCACAATTTGTTTCAATCTCTAATAACCTTCTACATACTTAATTGCTATCAAAATGATAATTTAGATCATAAACAAATGCATTGTTTCCTTCTCTATTTCCTCTACCAAGAGCAACCTTTCTCAATTTTACCCCATAAGCTTGTTTATTATTATAACCTGTGTCTATTTCTTTTAACTGGCAAGGTAAATCTGCATAAAATCTATTTCTTTTCGTTGCATTTTACAGAAAATGAGTCAATAATTGTTTATCTTATCTTCTAAATAGGATATCAAATATTGAAATATCATATTCTGGTCCCCATCTATCATAATAATTAGATATTCTTTTGGCTTCAAATAAAATTTAATCCATCAGAGCCTTATTCCCTGTATTTGCTGCTCTTATGATTTCTTTGTTATTCATTCTTGTGCTATCGTAATCAATAAAATGATCTTCAGTTCCTTCAAATTGAGTACTAAAACTCTTTAGATTTTTAAGATTTTCATTCATTTTTCTTTTCCTCTTTTTTCCCTTTTTCTTGTCTTTTTCTTCGGTTTTTCTAGATTATCTTTATTTTTTTGGGACAGGCTCAGCTTCTGCAGATGAACTTTGTTCACTTGATTCTTCTTCATATTGACTAAATTGAGATTCTACTTATGTTTTTTATTAGGCTGATTTTCTGGCTTTTTTTTTAATTGGTTTATCATTAGACTCCTCCTCATCATCATCAAATTTTTTCTATGATTATTTGACTTTCTATTTCAAATCCTTAATTAAGCTTCTCTGACTTTATTTATATATCTCCATGTCTACTACATAAATAGTTTCATCTGAATGAATGACTGATATTCCTTCGATATCAACCCTAAAATATATGTACTATTTACCATTTTGTCTGCGAAGGAATTGTTGTGTATCCATTACATTTATATTATTATTTACTTTTCTTTTTCTTTTCAAATGGTACCAATTCGGTTACATGAAATTCTTCTTCATTCTCATTCCAATCCTAAAGTAGTTTGTATAAGGTGAATTCTGTTTCAACTTTACACAATATAACTTAGTCTTTTTTTAAAATCTATTCTTTTTTGGCGCGATTGCTTCTTAAATTTCTATTCATAAAATTTAATTTAAAATTATTTGAGAATATGCATAGTTAAGTTTCTGATGATTTTTTATTAATTTCTGAATCGACATTATGATAGATTTATAAGAAGATATTATAAATCTATAATTCACTATTATAAATTAATTGTATTGATCTTATTAATAGAAGATTATGTATTTATTAACCCTTACAAAAATTATTTCACAAAGCCTGTTGGATGATTTCGTCAATCGTTTTGTCTATTGTTCTAATATGGATTATGAAGGATGCTGCCTTTGCTACTATATTTAAGTCTGGATCAAGAGTCTTTGCTAAACCCTCTAATACAATCATGTTTGTCAGCAGAGCTGCAAAATGACCTTCAATGGACATTCCGTTTGCTCTCAAGATTTCCAACATAGATCTCAATACCTATCCTATATTCATTTAAGCTAAAGGTACTTTACAAACATTTGTGAATAAATCTTACATTTCTTTCATAAATTTATCTTATACTTTTTGTTCGATTTATCTCTAGTTATATTATGCTAATTGCAACATTAGCTTTCCACATTCATAAGGTTTTCTCAAAGTTACAAACATAACTAATTTAATGAATGATGCGCGATCACTCTTATTTAAAATGGTTATCATCCCAGGGTCTAGAAAGATAATCTAAACATCCTTTCTTGTTGAACCTTAACATCTCAAAAAGGTATGAAACAACCTTTCATCAGACTTTTTTTCTTATTTCAATTTTAACATCTATAAATAATATAATAATCAATACATTTCCTTGATCCATCGTCTATGATGAAGTCTGATATTCTGCTATCTTTGTTAGCCCCTTCTCTATTAAGTCATCAACAATTTCATAGACTGAATCTTGAAGAAACCATAATTGTTATTAAACCTTTTCATTAAAGGTTTTAGGAACAGGAAGGTCTTTAATTCTTATCATGATATTGCCTGCATGACAATCTGCGTGAATAAAGTTATCATAGATCAACATTTTATAAAATGCTTTCAAACCTAAATTAGCTAGAGCATAATGCTCTTCTGTTCTTTCCTGCTTCAAGAATTAGGTTAAAGGTATAGCATCTTCATAAGTTTCAGTGAGGATGTCTGCTGAAATATATTCTTCAATTGGCCTAGGAAATATGACATGGGGATTATTTTTAAACTTTTCACAAAAAACCTTAAGGTTTCTACCTTCAAATCTTAAATCGGTTTGATTCACAAGAGTTTTCTAAAATTCTTCAAATGTCACAGGCATCCCCAATTATTTGATTTTCAAAGTTTAACTAAAAAAATTTGCAATCTTATATAAAATTCTTATATCCATCACTAAATTATCTATGATGTCTGGATGCCTTACTTTAATAGCAACATATTCTCCATTTAATTTAGCTCTATGAACCTGGGCTATTGAGGCTGAGGCAATCGGTTTTTCCTCAAACTCATCAAAAACATCTTTGATTTTCTTTTTAAAAGCTTATTCAAATTATTAGTTAGTCTTCTCCAAAGAATGAGGAGGAGTATCATCTCTCAATGATTCTAAAGCCTTAATTATCTCCTCTCCGAAAATATCCCCTCTATGACTGGCCCATTGTCCTAATTTTATCCATAAGGGACCTGCTGATTACAGAGTGTAAACCAAGTACTTAAGCCAATATGGAAACAAGTAGGCCTTGAATATTAATGAAAATGGCAAAGCAATGGCCAAAGGTAAAAATTTTAATAGCAAATGCATAAATCTGATCTTTCTCCTTAAACTCTAGATCATTCTCTGAAACAAAGACAGTTGTTTTGAATTCTTCTCTCCAAAGTATTCTTATGTTAAAGCCTTGATTAAAAATGTGAATTTACTTCAGTGTCAGGAATCTGATTGTACATCGATGAAAAATGCATTTATTGATACCTTTCTCTGCCTTGCCTATATAAGATATATGAGAAACCCGCCCCCAGGCCAAGCCCTATTTTGGTTTTGGTAAAAAAGGGCTATGATTTATTCAAATGTGTAAATGGATATTTAAGAATTTTTTACATATAAATTTATTTAACAATCATTTAGTTAATTCAGAAACTGATTTCATATTAATATATTATTCCAATTTGCCTATTTGATTATCGAGTCTCTAAATATATAGTTACTTATCTTCATTCATATAAATGTGGTGTTCCAAAATAAACCATCCACATTATTATAGAATTTAAGATAAATAGTATTGACCAGCAACCTTGAACTCTTTATTGTACTTTTGCTATTTCTTCTTCTTGTCTTGCTATCAAAGTATAAAACCATTATTCATACCTTCATCTGTGTTATCACTGGTCTTATCCAATACTCCTCAGTAATATTTAGTAATATACAGTGTTATTCGATTGATTCTTCATTATAAAGGTCTATTTTAACAAATTACGGGATGTCATTGGCACCAATTAACGAAAAATTTATTGGAATTTTATAGTTATTTGAATCATAAAATATTTTGTTTGTTCCTCCAAAATTCAATTCTCTCAATAGAATGCCATTTGATTTGAACAATTCATCATCATCCTCATCAAATGGCTTTAAAAATGTTTATAACGTGAATGATTCTAAGAGTTTCTCATAGAAATAGATTTTATCTTCATTCCTTAGTAAGTTATCGAAACTGATTCCATATCTCTATTTTAGGAATTCATTTGTAATTTCAAAACATCCATCAGCATTGATTTGTTTATTCTAGGGAGCATGACTTAAATAACAATTTCGTAGTCTCACCATACATTTTCCTTCTTCTAATAAGACCGCTTAAATCTACGACTTGTTTTCATTAAATTAAATAGAAATCTATTAAATTTAAACAGTTTTGTTAACTTTAATTTATTGAGTCGAATGTATATTCTATAAATTAAGAAATTATTCAATATATTTGATCTATTGATTGATTAGTTATATTAGTTTTTACTTATCTAAAATTTAAACACTTGGCAAATAATAAGTATTATGAATTGAATTCTTAGAGGATTCTAATATTTATATTTATTGTGAATTGATCTTTGATAAATATTATAATATTTCCTCCTTTTCTTACATCTCATATTCATCTAGATTTTCTTATTTAAAATATGATTAAAAAGTAATCTAGTCATATCTTATATCTAATTATATGATAAAATCAGCTTGAGAATAAATAGTGACTCTAAACCACATTAATCCTATGTTATGAATCCACCATTAACAATTATCATTAAGAAAAATGATTTATTATTCCAACAATAAACCTTAAGGTTATGGCCAAATTGCAATTTTAGTTTCATTTTACTCAGACACAATCTGAACAAATGGTACTATCAAATATTGTATAAATGTCTTAAAATTATTCAAATATTTTATTGGATAAGGTAGTGTATGTATATATTAAGTATATTGCAGAAAGTCCTGCAATTAAGAAATTTCAATGAATTCATTCAGTATTTTATCATTTATTTTTGCTGATAATTTCAACGTTTATTACAACTATTAAACTTCAATTTATATATTTTCTTATTTAAAAATAAAAGAAATATTCTATAATAAGGGAATATAGATCATTTATCCAGTGAAATTATCAGTAAAAAAAAAGCATTAATGATCATCTATGCTATTATTATAGGTAGTATAGTTTTTATCTTGATGAAATGTCTTATTCATTTATAATTTGAGCTATTGGTTTTACTCATTTAAATGTTTAATCTATTCTAAATGTCGAAAATGCTATTCTTTTGCTTCCTTGATATGTACTTATTCATTATCAATAATTTTAATTCTTAACTAGTTTATTTCTTCCTACAATAATTTGATCTACTATTTCCATTCGTAACCTTGCTTTTCAAAACCCTATTTTTCTTTTTCAATTTTATTAATTTCATTTTGCAAATGTAAATATTTCTAATCTAAATCAATTTTACTATTAGACATTTGATCTTCTTATTACTTTTTCTGGAAATGTAATTGCACTTGTTATTCAACTTTATTTGTAATAATTTTTTCCAAATTTGAAATAGATGTCATTTTAAATGATTTTCTTTTCTTTTTTGTTTCAATTGTAGTTTCTTAATCATCCTCTATTTTACTAATTCGTTTAATTCTATAGAACTTTCCTTTGTTTATAGAATCTTCATTTGTAGTTTTCAACCTTGAAAATGCTTTCTATGGAGTTTAAGAGTATATTTCTTAGAATTCAACAATTCTTGGTAAATCACTTTTAAGAGAATCCAATAATCTCATAATTCTGATAGTGGTTTATTTTCTAGAGGCGAACTAATTTTAATTCTATTCGTTCTGAAATATAAAGCTTCTCTATTGCAAAGCTGACTTTTGTGAAGACAGGCCTACAATTTGCTTATAAAAAGGATGAGTTATTCCAACATATTTTACTAGGAGTTTTTTAGAATTTTCATAGAATATTTAAGTGCTCTTAAATCTAAATTACTATATTTTAATACCCATTTTAAAGTAGTTTGCTTTTTCTGCGAATTTTAGCCAAATCTTCGAATGTAGCCATTTCGTAGGATTTAGCCAGTGTGATGTAACCATTTATCAACAATACAGCCTCGGATTAGTTTAGTTAAGAAAAGGCAAACTTCTCATAGAATTATAAAGCCATTTCTGCTTTCAAAAAGGCTTTGCTATGTAATCCCAGTTGGTTGTAAATTTTTGCTGAATTTATAAAGATAATAAATTAAAGCGCATTTGGAAGTGTTTTGAGTAATTGCTATTTTACAAATCGTAAAATTGATTTGGATAAAAGCTCATTTCTAAATAAATGTGTTGATACTTATTTAATAATGCTGCAATATTGTTGAGACAAATTGCGATAACATTTATGGAATCAGGTTAGTTACGATACTCTTATATCAATATTTCATATTAATTCAACATTTATTCCTTATCAGATAGGTGAGTTATTAGAGATAATCTATTCATAATTTATATTTATAAATAAGTTTTTAAAGGTATTAAATTAACATCATCAACCACAACCCAAAAATCTAAGAAACCAATTCTTTTATCCTTTGATTTCATCGATATCTTTGGTCTATTCTGGCTTGATTGGGCTGTAGTTGTTTGTATAATCATAAGTAGATTTTCTTTTAGGTTTCCTTTCTTGAAATGTCACATGGACAAGAGAGAATACAGAATTTTAAGTCTCCTCCAATCTGAGGTCAATTTAATATGAAGGGAGATCGGTTTTAGGTCTTCCATTCTTTTTAGCTATATAAGCCTCATAATTTCTAGGATTTTAATCTATTGGGTAATCCTTGCTGGCTACTTATAAGACACGGCTAATTGCAATTACTAGGTCAGTATGAGATGGTAGATCTATTACTATATCAATGATTTATTCTTCATTAGATATGTAGAATCTATATGATTTTGTAAGTTGGTTAAATGCTTCTTTCAAAGGACTGATTAAAGATTTCTTAACTTGTTATTAACCTGATGTTTTTGTACTATCAGTGCGAGACATTAACTACTAAATGGAAAAATGTTTTTTATTTATTAGAGTTTTAAACTCAGTTAAGATTTTATTCTAATTTGTTCTAAGTATGCCATAATAATATGAGAGTATATTAAATAATATCCATTAAAAATTAATCACATTACACTTATTTTATCACTTAAATATTCTGAACCTTTTCCTTATGCTCTTTTGTTCTCCAAGATATAAATTCTATCTTATAACATTTTATTCTTCTTTTCCAATTGCTCCATATTCTTCCCCATTTTTATTATACGATCCTTTGCTTTTTAAAATACCTGATAGCCATCTTTTTAAACTAACAGTTCCTTCTAGAGTTCCTATTCCTGTTTTATTTAATTAACTATACATATTATGCAGTAAATTACTTTTTTAATCGCGTTGTTTATCGACTCCAAAAGTCTTATCTACAAATTGTTTGAGTCCCAAAACTATTTGTGAATTCTGAGACTCATTTTCTAATTACGGGATGATGTTGAATAGATTCTCTTTAATGGATGCCAAGGTAACTTTTAATTAATCTGTTTCTTAATAATTTTTTTTTAATTCTTCTTTTTTGTGAATTAACGTAATTTATAATTCGTTATAAAGTTACTATTGTTATTATATTTATTCTTTAAGTTATCTAATCTCATCATCTTATTCGTTCAATTATTATTTACACTCTTTTAGCTCTGACTCTTTGTTTATTATATTCTAATTTTGTTGCTAAACTTATTTTTCTAATTCTAGTTTAACTTTCTTCTCCTCTTCTATTTTTTCATTCTACATTTTTATTTTGCATTCTAAATTCCCAATCTATTCTTAATAATTCTTTTCAATATTCTTAGTATTTTCTCTTGTCTCAAATAAGAGTTCATGAAGTCTTTATAATTCATTCGACTTAATTTCTACTTCTTGTTAAAAAGCAAATAGCTTTTTTCTATACTCTTTAACTTCATCACTTCCAAAATTAAAAAATCCTTTTTTTGGTTCATTCATCTAAAGGGTTTTTACTATAGATTTACATTAAAAAAGTCTAACTTTTTCTGTAATTCATTGTATTTTTCTTCTTTTTCAAGTAATTCTTCGCATTTCCTTTTAAAAGCCTATTCGGTTTTAGCTAATTTCTGATCAAGTAATGTTTTTTAGTTATTTAATGTATGACATTTCTCTTCAAATTCAATTCGCTTCTATTCCTCTTCTGAAGCCCTTCTTTCCTCTATTTAAATTTTAGTTTTCATCTACTGGAAAGCCGTGTTAAGCTTTTTCTTGTTTTCCTCTGAATTTAAATCCATTTCATATATATTCATTGTATAATTATAATCATTTCTTAGATTTCTTTTTCTTGCCTCTTATTTTCTTCCCTGTGTCAGGTATATTGGCTAACAAAACCCCAGGCTTAGGAAGTGGTACTTTTTGAGGATTCAAGTGTCCTTGAGGTATGACAATTGATTTTTGTAGGATAGTGATAGGCACGAACCTTTTTTCTGAAGCCAATCTATTTTTCAATACATTAATTTCACTAATCTAAGTTTATTTTACTTTTCAATACTTATTTATCAATATCTGATTTGATACTATTACTTTTGAATACAGTACTAAATTATTTCGAAGGTCTAGCACTTCTGAAACAGCTGGAAGACAAAGAACGATTGTTTTATATGTTATCAGCCTTAGGGTGATTAGATACACCTCCAGGCAACCAGCTCCCTCTCGCTTTTTTCAAGAAATCAAGTCTTTACGAATATATTCTTTGTTCCAAGTAAGCATTTTTAGATTAGAAATCCTCAGCCTCATCATCCACCTAAGTAGGTAAAACAGTATTTTCAATAATTTTAGTAACTGGAATGGCACTTTACACCATTCTGCCTTTAGGATAAGAGGTTTTATTAAGATAATTTGCATAAGCTTTCTCTTCAGCAAGATCCATCTTTTTAGATTCATAGATATCCGAAACCTTGATACCCACATTCGAGAATTGAGATCCCATAGATTATAGCTATGATTATCACACATTCTTATACATATTCAGATTAAAGTATTATCTCATCAATTCTACTTTTGTTCACTGCCCAGTCTTTCATAGATTAAACCATTTCAATATCCTCCCTTTGCTCTTTTATTTCTTTGATTCTTTATTCCTAATAATATTGATTGAGCCGTGCTGCAGCCATTTTATCTTCTAAATTAGTTGGATCATAATTGTGAAATGTTCCTTATAGCTCTCCAAGCCTTGAAGATTATCCAATCTAATAAGCTAGTTCAGTGTCTTTGTCAGCCTTAAAAGTCTTATTTTCAGGTGCGATACTAATATACTTATCTCCTCTTTCCTTCTTCTTCTTTTTTTTAGTTGGAGAAATATCCTTTTACGACTAGATTTCTTTTTATGAACCGTAGACTTTATCAGGAGATTGCTCTTCATCTTCTTCCAATTCTTATTCAATGCCTTCTATTTTGTCTCTATCAGTAGGTTTATCCGCTTTGAGAGGAGACTCCTCCATTTGGAATTATCGTTTAGTACTTTTTTACTATTCTTCAAAAGTTTCGAAAACTGGTAAATTTGCATCGTACATCCAAGAAGACTATTGCTTAATAACAGAATATTATTAATTTGTCCTTGGTCTTGATAATTTATCAACTTAATCTACCATTTTATAAGTGGATTATGAAGTATAAGGTCTTGAATGCTGTGAAAAGCCCATTATTCCTGGAGTAGTGCCAGGTCTTGTACTTGTGTCAGACAAGAGATTTTTCCTGTGATAGCTTTTCACTCTGTCTTCAGGTGGATCTATATCTGGATGCATCGATCTATATTTCGATTTGTAATCATCAATTCCAGATGCATACATGCTTTCATTATAAGAGATGGGTATATCTTAAAAAGTCTATAGGATTAGAAATTATAGGTTACATAGTCTTTCTTTTCAATTAAAGATTATGTTAATTATTATTTTTATGATTTTGGTAATTAACGAAAGAACCAATTGGAGACTTTATTTAAAAATTCTAGTTACTACTACTTATTTCTAGTGCTAACAACTTCAAGTAAGGAATTCTTTAATTGTCTATAAAGGTTATCATACACAAAAGGATCTTTTAATTCTATTTATTATGATCGATGAAGTGTGACTCTTTCATTCCAAGTCATTATTTACTATTTCAGCATCTAAAATATTTGATTATTATTCAAGTATCCAGATGTTAGTCCATCTAACTCAATCTTGAAGAATTAGTTATATAACTACAATTTATAATGTAGGACGTTCGTTGAGTCTGTTAATATCTTCGATCTTATATCCTGTTCTTGAGAGACGTTCGTTTAATTGTTGATCAATGGTTAATGGAGGCTAGACAAGAGGTTTACCATTTAGATAAAAAGAACTCTCCATTTTCATTTTAATTTATTAATTAATATTTCTTATTGTATTTTTATCTGATGGAAACCCTACAATACATGATATATAAAATCATTTCTGTGGTTATTACCATTGATAGTTTTGATACTGTTGATATTAAGGGTACTGCTGATATTGTTGATAATCATAATATTGATATTGATAATAAGGATAGTATTATTGTTGATTTCTTTGTTATTGCATCTAATATTTGTATTGTCTCAATGCTTATTCTCTTTCATCAATGACTGTGAAATCATTGAGAATACTCTTTTTGTCTGCAAACTCCTCAAAGATTTTCATCATTTCTTTTCCTGTTTCCCAGTTCAAAAACACCCCATCTCTTGATCGAGTTACTTCTACATTATCACTATTAATGAATTCTAATTAATTACCTATTTTTCAGATGCTCAAAATGCTTGTTAGGCACATCCTTTACATACAACCATTAGACGTTGAAATGGCCCTTCCATTTCTTGATTTCCCACCAATACTGAAAACTTTCTTCCTTATAGCCTGAAGTCAATTTGGCAACTCCCACAAATTATCCACTTCTAACAACGCTGAAAAACAAGTAAACTGTTTTGCCTTATTCCTGAGCTTCCAAGAATTTGGCATTGAGTTTCTCATTATTTTCTTTGCTTGATGTCCAGATGCCATATTTTATTGACTAAAAATAAATAGTTATTGAATCCTTTACTTTATGGATATCGTCATCATTATTACTACGAAGTATGTAAGCATATGCCTCTGTATCTGCTAAATTTCTATTCGCTTGATTAATTTGTTTCAAAGCAGGGATTAATTTAGATGCCTATTCTAAATTAGTATAATCTTGGCATGATATGTATGGCACTTTTAAATCTCTCTTATTTCTGACATATGGTTCATAATGATTATTCATTAATTTTTAATCAAATTTAAATAATCAATTAACAAATAAATACACCTTTCCATTTTCATTAATATAGATTTGCTATAGTTTTAAAATTATTTTTGATAATTAAATTATACAATATTTTATGAGAAATTCCAAAAAAACCCTTCTCGTCGTTGGTGGTGGTTTTGCAGGCATGACCATAATTACTTAGACCTATAAACAATTCAACATCGTCTTATTGGATCAAAAATCATATTTCGAAGTACTAATCCTATGTCATCTCAAGTTCGTCCCCTCAGTCTTCAATGCTTTCATTCATCCAGAATCCATTTTCGATCTAACCCTACAATTCAAATAGAGCAAATTTGGAGTCATCTTCATACAAGGCAGATTAGTATTCTATCAATAATAACTCTAGACTCACATTGAAGAGAATATAGCATATTATGAAGGAGGCAAAATAGAATTTGATTATTGTGCCATCACTATTGGTTCCAACTACACATATCCTATTAAGTCTGCGATACCTAAACTATCAGATAGATTTATTGAACTTAAGAAAACTCAATAAAAGATCATCGATTCCTAAACTATTCTTATAATTGGCGGAGGTACTGTGGGAGTAGAATTGGCTTGTGAAATCAAAGCATCTTATAAACAGAAGACAGTGGCTCTAATTACAAGAGGGAAAATATTGTCGACCATGCCTAAATCTGCTTCTGATTATACTAAAAAAAGAATGTTGGATCTAGGAGTTGAAATTTAAGAGAATTACAAAGGACCTTCCTTAGATTCGAATTTTGATTTAGTTTATAATTGCAAAGGTAATACTTATGACAGTGTTCGTCTTAATGACAATTTTGAAATGTTTGATCCAAAAAAACAAATTTTAGTAGATGATTTCTAAAGAACTAGAACAAATTAAAACGTATATTGTGCTGGCGACATTTGCATAACGAGCCAAAATGAAACCAAAACAGCCTTTTCTGCTGAAATGTAAGGAGAAATTATCGCCTATAATTTGAAGCATCCAAATAAACAAATTAAATCATATTGGATACCCAATACCTATATTATATCTTTGGGTGGATGGAAAGCAGTCTTTGTATTTGAATCTTTTAGTTTTGGTGGCTTTCTACCTTACCTTATGAAACTCTTCATTGAAGTTGTTGTAGTCAATGATTTCAGAGGAATCATTGGATTTAATACTCTTCATTAAATCATGAACTATTTTGTCTATGTGATGCTCTATATCTATATGATTTTGTAATTGTTGTTTGCTATTGCTCCCTTGGGAAGTAAAATTAAGTAGGACCAAAGAGTTGAACTTAAAAGAATTTAATAAGAAATTGAAGAATTCAAAAAACAATGATTATATATTTCTGTTTCTTTTAGATACATTATTAACATTAATGTAATGTATAATTAAATCAATAACTATTTGCAATTGACTATAAAGTGTTTAGCATATGTTCATATTAAGATTTAAGATCTCGAGAATTTAATAAAAATTATTCACTATTGAGTTTCAGCTCTTCATATTTTCTTTCTAATTGTCTATATTTATCATCCTCTGATTATAATTATTCTTATTAAGATTTGATTATTTGTTCGTATCTAAATTACTAAATTTTATTCATACTTGTTCAGTATACTTGTGTTTGTCGAGTAAATTTAACTATTAATATTCTTTTGTTAATCTAATTCAGATGTTTGCAATTCCTTCTCTTGCTCATATTATTTTAATTTATATAATAGTTGTTAATTTAATTCTTAAAGTCTTTGAGTGTATTTTTTATTTTCTTTTAAACAAGCTTCACATTCTTGGTATTTCTTCTCCCATTCTTTACATTATTTCTTTATTTCTTAAAAGCTTTCATTGTTAAACTCACTTTTTACTGGGGTAGATGTACAATTCTATTGTTTTGATAATAATTCAATTTGCTTTTACTTCTTTGCCAAATCAATTTAAAGAGTCTAAATTATTATGTTTTTTTCTTTGATTTCCTTTTCCATAGACTTTAAGGCTTCTCTAGTACCTGACAATCGCATTTCCAATGATTTTATTTATTTTGTTGTATTTTCAATATTTTTTTGTGAATTCCTATGACTCTAAATGTCAGCTATACTGCTACTTCGTTTCTCCATGTAATTATTAATGGAGTCCTATAAATTATCAATTATTGATTCCTAATGATTTTCAAATTTATAAGGACCTGGTTTGTATGGAGATTCCAACAATCGACGAGGTTCAATTCGATTTGGTTATTCCTCCTCTGTTTCCTCATCAATTTTACTCAGTATTCCTTTTTCATTTCTAAAATTTGGATTTACATTTTCATTATCATTCTCATTATCCTCTTTTGATCGTTTTTAACTAAATGAAAATCTTACTGCCTCCTGCCTTAACAATTATTATAATTCTTGTTCCAGAATCTTATTCTCTTCTTCTATCTATTTCAAAAAAGCAGAATTCATTTAATTTTTAAATTTATAATACATATTTCAAGACTCATTCATAATTCATGCTTCACACATCAAAAAATGAAATCCCTGTTTATTGATGATACACAGAAGGTAATCATTTTAATAGAATATAGATACTATAGATAATTAATACTTCTGATATTTTCTACTTATTTTTATGAGAAGTAGCAGTTTAGAATAGATTAACTATTAATTAATAAATTGTCAATAATGCAATATAAAATGATATCATGAAATAACTTATTTTTTAGGCAATTTGAATATAAATGGTTGATTGACAAATTTATAACTTTTAGTTAATAGACAACAGTTCATAAAAGTAACTCCATCTTACTCTGTTTATCCATATGCTTCATGAATATGACCAAAAAGATGGTATTTAGGTTTAATTTATAAATACTCTTTTTAACAATGCTTCATCTCCTACATTCTTTAGTTATCCTTAAATATTAGCCTGATCGCCATGATTCAAAGGAGGGCCATGGGTAACAATAATATCACTATCTTCTTCGATTTAAGACCAAAACACTTCAGCATCTTCACTCTTCAATTAAAAGGCCCAAGTATGAAACTCTAATGAATAAGGACTACCCCAAATCTTAATGCCCTCAATTACAACTGAAGAATTTAATAGATATATGCAATTATCTTTTAGTGTCTATCGCAATTCTTCATCATTAAAATTCAAGCCTTTATGATGATATTCTTTTAGTTTTGATTGATAGGATTCTTTATCCAATGATAGATCGTGATTACCAGCAATAACAATTTTATATTTAAATGGCTATTTAATCAACCATTAAATAAAAGCTAGAATTTCTTCTTTTGAACCTTTTTTAGTAAAGTCTCCACAGTGTATTAAGACATCTCCTGGAGGTAGTGGAACATTCTAACAATGAGTATCACTGATACAAACAAATGTTAAGTCATTCTCCATTTAAAAGAATTGAATTTTTTAATTATATATTACCAAGTAATATTGATATTACAAGTTGAGGATTTATTAAATTGAAAAATAAAATCTCTGATGAATTATATTCAATTTTATATAGGTTATCTGATAGATGCAATTGTCCAAATATTTAAGATTTACAATTTTATTCAATGGTTCCTTATCTCATACGCAGTTAAATCAAATAAAGCATGATTAAGATTACCTAATTTATAAAAATCAAAATAATTTATGTATTATTCGTTAAAAGGGATTAAATCAACTTTATTTACTTAATGCTTAATTTAATTGGATAAATAAGTTATGTTAATTAAGTATTAAATATCGTTTTACTAACTGCAATCAAATGTTAAGGATAATCTAATTAAGATATAAAAATGAGGGCCTTTTTCTTTATATTTAACAAATTTGTATTAATAATATCTTCAGATGATCATTTTAATCTTATTATATGTATTGTAATGTAAATGGATTGTAATTTAATAAAAATATTAATTAAAACGAATATCCAATATAAATGGAAAGAAGAGAAGATGATGTACAATACTTTAAGGTTGATAAATCAAATGGTTAACAAGACAAAATTATTTTAACTCTATTTTCAATATTCATGAATGCTTTAATTGGAAGTCTATTCTTTTATTTTTCAACTCATGAAAATAAGTATGGTACTTGAATTTAGTATTCAAAGGTGGTGATTAATGCAAATATTTAAGACCATGTGCATTTTGGTTTTCAATTTATTGTTTTTTTAGTCTATTTGCTTGGATGTAAAATGAAAAATAATAATTTAATTTATATTTAGAGTACTAAATCCATATGCAATTTATTATAAACACGATCAAATTTTTGATTATGCAAACATCGTTGAGGGATCCATTAAACTAGTTTTCTTCATCGTATTTTGTGTAAAAATACGAATATTAATTAGATTTCATTCATAATTTCAAGTCATTGTGGGTAACTAGCAGTGTTAACAGCAACATACATTATTTTCAATGTAGTTGTGTTCCTGATATTATGTGGATTGACATATTTCATTAAACCTAAAATAGAAGAATGAATTTGATAGTTAATTATATTTAATTTATGCAATAATAATCAATATCAGATTTCGATAATCTTGAACAAGAACATTAGTTGATCGATTAAGTTAATCAGAAGTCAAAATCAGCAAAGTTTAAATAGTATAAATAGGGATAATATTATGGAGACATTCAAAACAATGTTCGACACGGATATGGTATATAGTTTAACTATTTATTATATTTTTAGGACTAATGACTTATCAGGATAGGTATTACATTGGGTTTTGGAATAATGATAGAAAGCATGGGTTCGGTAAGGAGGTATTAGACAAAGGGGATTAATATGAAGGTTAGTTTGAAGATGGAAAACCTCATGGTGAAGGTACCTTGGAAACTGCAAATGGGGTTTATTCAGGTTAGTGGGTCTAGGGAATTAAATAGGGTTATGGGAGATGGAGAGGGAAAAACAAAGAGATTTATGCAGGAGAATGGAAATTCAATAAGGCAAACGGATATGGAAGATATGATTATTAAGATGGAGGGTGGTATGAAGGTGAGTTCAAGAATTATCTTAAATATGGTAAAGGAAAAGAAAGTTATGCCAATGGAGATTTTTATGATGGGGAATTTATTAATGATAAACCTGATGGATTTGGAGTATATAGATGGGCTGATGGTTCTTCTTATCATGGTACATTTTGTAGTGGAGTCAGACATGGTAAAGGCTATTGGTTAAAGAATGGAGATCCTCAGAATCACGAGAGTTATGATGGGGAATATGTTAACGATTTGAAATCAGGACATGGTGTATATAGATGGCCAAGTGGAAATGTGTATGAGGGGGAATTCTTCAATGATCATAGACATGGATTAGGAGAAATGAGATGGGTGGATGGCTCCTTTTATAAAGGTTAATTTCACAATGGATAAATGTGTGGCCAGGGGGAATTGAAAAGAAACAATAAACCAATTATTTATGGTTACTTTGAAAACAACAAACTAGTTAGAGAATAAAAAAAGAAGTAAATTCCTAAAACCATGAATCAGAGTTAAAACAATAGTTATGATGGCAAAAGGAATTATTTTTCGCTTCATCAATCTTTTAATCAATTTTAGAATGCCTAACAAATTCAAAAATTTCATTTTAAATCTGAATCCATTGAACCCATTATTAGATAATTCAAAAGGGATTGCAATACTTCTATTGATGACATGCATAAGAGTGAAAATCAAGCCAATTAAAATAGTTTTAAAATTTCAATTGATTTAGATGATTCTTAAGGAATGAATAATTAACCCAAATTCAAATCATTAAATACTACAAGTCGTGCTTTTTAAAATCAACAGGAGAGTTTATTATCAGTTACAAATAGAACCTAAGCAACAAAGAAAGTTATCATTGATAGTGTTAAATTTAAGAGAAATTAAATCTCTTTTCGACTCTAATCATTAAACCAATCTACTAGATAAACACAAAATTCTCTACCAAAATAAGGAGCGAACTGATTTGTAATATATATATTTTTCTAATCATTTTTTCCATAGTTATGAAATGAATTGAAAATAGACTTCACTAAATGTTAAGAATTAAAATTCAATTTTATTTAGGAATTATTTCGAGATCATATTGAAACTCCATTCTTACTAACTTAAATTCAAATTTAAAAGGAAAAAGGAGGGGAATATTCGAAGAAGATAATTTAATGATAGTAATTTTCAACCATCTCTCCTTTAAACAGATAAACCATTCCTTGATTAAGTTGCACGAATTTCTTAAATGTCTAATGTAAAATTTTTCTTTTTATAAACATTTTTTAAATCTCCTTTAAACTTCCCTTTTTACGCTTGCATAACGTTTTGTAGTTTAATTCATAAACACATTCAGATCCTATAGGCAAAAAAGTTCATAAAATATGTTATTTTATAAACTCAAATGTTGTTTAAATATATTCTTTTTAAATAACCATTCTATTAAGGTCTTATTAGATGTGAGTTCACAAATTTATATAATAATACTCGATGGATAAATAACATAAGTCAAAATTTTTAATCTGAATCGTCAAAACCCTTGAATTTTGATCTTTAGTGTTCAATTATTCTAGTGGCCAAAACCTTCTTGTAATTTAAAAGCATAGTTGGGCTTTCTTGGAATGGAATAGACTCAATTATCCTTTTTTTATCCATTTATGTCACTAGCACGGTCTATGCATCAAAATTCATTGGATTATTAAATAATTATTTTCAATCAACTTAGATATACACTTAATTAACGCGAATAAACCTACGCGAATATAATTATTCCAATTAATTTAAAATCTTAATAAATCAATTTGAAAAATTAAATTCTTATAATAAGGTATAATCTAGACCTAAAATGAGATTATGTAAGTTTGATTCATTAAATAGGATGGAAACCTAACATATCTTCATAATAAATTCATAAGTTTTTTCATTTTTGTTGGTAAGAATATAAATTATTTGAGAAGAATTAATTGAGATCTAGAATTAATTTTTAAGTCATTTGAATTATTGTATTAAGAATTACGTAAACCTAATTTTAGACAATAATTTTTAAAACAAATATATATTTTATATATCTATAAAATAAAATAAATAATTCTCAAAAACATAATTAAGGATATTAGAAATGAAATTAATTTTCTCGGAGTATTTAAAAGTTCAAATTCAAAATAATAAGAGAGATCATTAATTATATATTATTAATGCATTCCCCAGCCATATTGGAGGATGCAATAGTATATAATCAAAACTTAATTAAAGTGGAACAATTTCATCGGTTAATGTTGACTTTAATTTCAATCTATTGGCTTCTCAAATGATTCAATATTTCTATTCCTTCAAATTTTTGATATTTATTTAATTATTTTATTTTATTGAAATAAAATTATATTTAACGATGAGTTCAACACTTAGAGCTGACTAGATTATTTACTTTGGAACTTCAAATACTCCATAAATTCAATGTAGATTTCATGAGGACTATTATATTCAAAACTTTTGCAAGAAACAGTATAAAAATATATATTAATTTAGAGAATGCAGTTTACCTTTGTGTCCTGAATGTATTAAAATTCATTCTGAAGAACATGAACAAGAAAGAGTAACGAGTGATATTGATTTGTTCTCTAATTGCCTCACTGAATAATATAATAAATCATTAGAATATCTTAACCTTTGGGCAGCCGATGTCTAAGAATCCAGCAATTTATCAGAAGAGGTTTAAAAAGCATAAGAAGTATGGCATCAATGTTATAAATTAATAGTTCTAAATCTAAAAGTATCAAGAAGCAAAGAAACAATTTTATAAGATTGTAGATGATTACTTTAAGATGCTTGAATAGTAAATAATCAATGAAACTTAAAAATCGACTCAGGATTTAATTAAATTGGTAAGATCAAGACATAGAATCGAGTATTTGGAATGGAAAAATTAACATGAAAATTTAATAAAACTCAATTCAGAAAAGGTATTGGATATCTTAATTGTAGTGTTTGCCTTTTTTAATCAAAATATATTCAGATCCAAAATAAACCCCTTAAGCAATTTATTAGAGGAATCATTAGGAACATGTTGAATAATTAAACAAATTAAAATTAAACATTAGACAAGTGGTTGTTAATGATAATCTAAATTAAATCCTTGCCTTGTTGAAACAGTATATTTATTTAACCCAAGCTGTATAAGATTCATAAATTCAACAAATACAAATTACAAACACTGTTCAACCTATTGTATAAGTTTAACCAATAGTATAAACTCAACCTATAGTGCAAACGTAACCAATTGTGAATTAAGCAATAAATTAAAACAAATACCAATCAAGAGTTTTATAACCTTTTAGTGCCATTAGAGAGTACACACCTTTATAACCAGTTTTATATCAATAACCTCCAATAATTCCCATTGACCCTCTCTAAATTTATCCATAGCAGTTTTATCATCCAAACCCAGTTTTATAAGAACCAATGCCAATGAATTGGCCAATTGTGCCTCTGTAGTAATCGACTCCCCCTTAAATCATAAGATCCCCCTAAAAGCTTGTATCTTCAGTTGCAGAAGCAGGGATTTTGAATGGACAATAGAGAGAGACGATGGCATAACGATATTATGATACGATGTTAAAAAATGAAATAAAATGATTTATAATATTAATTATTATTATTTACATCATATCACATGATCTCTCTACTATTCATATTTATTGGAGAGAGTGATAGACAGGGAGTATTTGAGTTAATTCCTGTAGAAAAAGTGTGTTTATGTTTACTTTAACGATCCGAAATGACAGACTAATAATTAGTGATTGTTCTAGCTGTTAGAGGAGGAGTGTTCAAAATCATTTGTCTTCTTTTCTTCTTACACAATTTATAAAGATATTGCTATTTAAATGATGTCATTGCTATGTTATTTGGATGATCATATTTTGGTGTAAATCCAAGTTTTGGACTTTAATATAAATCAGTTCCAAACAAAGCTGATCCAGCATCTTTTTCTGGATCACTTTGATACTTTAATTTATAAATAAAGTTTTTTTCTTCAACTATTGTACCAATATCCATTTTATCTTCTCTTTCTTTGCTTCTAATTTTTTTTGGGTTGTATTTAACTTCAATATATTATTTAACAGCTGTAAATTTAGGTTGATTGATTTTATTCACACTGATCATATTCGAGGTTTAAAAAATAGTTCTAAATTTAGTTTTCCTTACGTATTCTTATTGAACCCACAATTTGCATTCTTCAGGGAATTTTAATAAAAATTCTTGTTTATGGATGACCATCAAAGTAGCCTCATTAGATAAGACTGTGGCATTATATTCACAACAACCATCATCATTCATTGCTATTTCTTCTCCCAATAACTATCCCTTTGCTGCTCATATTATATATAATTGACTTAGAATGCATATCTTAGCCAATTAATCATTTATTACTTTTTCTAATAAGATATCTCCAAATTGAATCAAGTAGAAACATTTCTTATATTGTCCATCTATAGTTAATACACAATTCTTCTAAAATTATTCCACATCAAAACTATAAGCTAATTGTTCTAATTATTTTGATGAATAATCTCCTTAAACAGGAAACTTACCGAAAATTAAACTTTTCTTCTCCTTCATCTATTATATAAACTATTATCTAATTAAATCGAAGTCGTCTTTTTTTAAAATTAATAAGAACAAGTCTTCAGTCTATGCACATGCAGTCAATGCTCTTGGAACATTCTCAAGTAAGGCTCTATCTCCAAAGCCATCCCCTCTTTTTAGTATTCTGACAGTTTCACCATATTTGTCACTCATCACTTGCATTTCTTGTTGTGATATCTAGACTTTCTCATTTGTTTAACCTTACACTATGTTAGCCTTCATTTTGTCAGCAAACTTTTTTGAAACGGCAATTTACTTAAAGAAGTTAGTTCCTGAGGTTAAGGTTGTGATTTTGCTTAGGGTTTTACTAATGTAAAATTCATAATTCCAATAAATTACTCTGTTTTCAAGGGAACGGGTTTGATGAAAAAACTTTATTGTTGTTGCAATTACTTTTGATTTTCAGGAGGTTTTTAAGGGATTTGTTCTGGGGTCTGTTATTGTTATGGCCTTTACTTAATTAGAGCCACTTTACCATTAAATATTATATATAACTTATCGTTTGACTTATCTCCTTCTTTGAAGATGACATCGCCTCCTTTAAAGTGCTCCATTTTGAATTTACCACATAACTAAGATTTCAAGGAATTATACATATAACAGACTCTCCCTTTGGGTTCCTTTTAGGTTTTTCTCAATGAAGGCATTAAAATATTATAATTGTTGTAATTTGGAATAGATCACTTAAAGATTGTCCATTGTCGGATTCAAATGGTTATTCAATAACTTTTGGAGGTTGAGATTCTAAAATTATTCTTCTCTATTTATACCTCATTCATAATGATTTAATTATTTTTAATTATAAAATGTTGGACTCTGTATCAACTTAATTGAAAACTGAAACAGATTCTGTAAAGGACAACCCTCCAAGCAAGTTTAAGCAAAACTTCATGCAAAATAATTAAAGATTTTTAAATACTAAAAAGTTAACATACTCCAACAAAAAAATAGCGATTTCCAATTAGAAAGATGCTTGGAAATAAATGTTTGGCAATTTTTTACACGATATTAATCTTAAATAGAAGAAGGATCATACCTCTAAGGAAGCCAAAGAGGTAATTATTGCTAATCTTAAGTTTAGCATCTTTAAGATCCTCTTGTGAACGAAGTGCCAATATTCCTCCCATGTTCAAATAAGCAGTTTAAACTCTAGTTCTATAAGTATTTAGAAGGGGAACAATCGATTAATGAATTATTGAAGGCCATAAGATTTCCACGCTTAGAAGCAGTAAGTAATATTTTTATTTTGTTAGATATAATTGGATGATTAAAAAAAATAAAGAAGAAAACTATCCATTGTTTAAAAAATTAAGAAAATGAAAGCAAATGAGTTGTCTAAAACAACTGATAAGGCCCCATAATTAGACGTTGGAGGTTCAACAAAACAATTGAAAGCCCAACAATTAAGATTGATTGATCAGCGAAGATTTACAGAGGCTGGGAAATTGATGGAATTATATCAAATTAAAATTAATAATAAGGTTCAAGTTTTAAGGGATTTTATTTAGTAAAGAGTATTATTTATTTATTATTACAGATTAAATTGAGACAATAATTAAATAAAGAATAAAGGGAAGAGGAAATTAGAAATATTCATTTCATTAAGACATTTTTTGATATCACTAATGATTACAATTAACATATCTTGGATCAATAAGAAGAATTGCAGGATGATGCTTAATATTATAAAAAATTAGTACCATGCCAAAAGAAATTAAAGTAACTGTTGGTCAATTACGATAATGTACAACCAATCATCAGACATTAAGAAAAGCATTTTGATAGATTTGATTATCCTTCCTTAGGCATGTTAAAAAATTAAATGAATTAATACTCCAAAGATTATTTAGTTGAACTAGAATAGCAGAAACAAATTCAATTTAAAACTGCATTAAATTAGGTTCGGAAACTATTAGAATAGCAGAATATTAAATTTTAATCAGAATTGAGAAAATCTAAAATTAAAAGTAATCAAAATTCAAAATCCCAATCTCCTCTAAATCTACATAATTAAGATAGTTAAAATCTTATAAATTCATTAAGTGATTGTCCACTTGATGTTATTGTTACAAGTCCAAAAAGGAATATTAATTCATATAAATCCTACTCTTAATTGAAAAGTTCTATTGCAGATCCAATAAAGAGGAAGGATTACGTTATTACAAAAAAACCTTTTTATCTTTTTACTAAGTAAGCAGATGGAGATAAAAATTCAAAAAATACCAAGGGATTAATTACAAATTTCGATGTTAAATTATACGACTACATCCACAATCGGAATATTTACACATTAAACAAACAGTACTAAATTTATTGATTCTAGAGTTTAATAAAACACTTAAAAATTTCACACCTTAATAGAAAGTTAATAGGAGTAATAGTTAAATGAACAACTTGATACTTAACTTAATCAATTAAGAAAAAAAAGACTAAAATTACGTTAGCATGGGTCATTAGAGGCTTAGAGAAGAATAAAAACTGAAAAATAACAGGATGAAATTTCGGATGATCAATCACTATAATCAATTTATGAAGTCAATTTGGATGTGTATTATGATCAATCAAATTAATTGAGTAAGAAACTAAGAGAAAAGGGCGATATTGGATTTGCAAAAAGAATCAAGTAACTCATTAGGTTAGAGGAAGTCAATACGTATTAATAATTTGATTATGCATTTAGATAATGCTTAAGAACTAATATACAAAAATTGAATAAGTCCTAAAGTTCTCTCAACAAATGAATACATTTAATATCTCCATTTATTTAATTGTAAGTTAGCTAAATAATATAAATTTTTAAATTATTTATATACCTATGAAAAGTAAAGACATGGATGCTCCTCCACTTAGTGAAGATGAATTAAATGAAATTTACAATTGGGTTGATACTGTACCATTATCCAGACCCAAAAAACACATAGGAAGAGATTTTGCAGATGGAGTTTTAATTGCGGAAATTATTTAACACTATGTCCCTTCCATAATTGATATTCACAACTATAGTTTAGCTCATTCTGTTTAATAAAAGTAATATAATTGGAACACTTTGAATGCCAAGGTACTATACATCCTGATTTATAGGTGTTTAGAAAGATGGGATTCTAAATTACCTAGAAAGATATTGATGCAGTCATTTAAGTAATCCCTGAAGCAATAGAGCGAATCTTAAAAGTGATCCAAGTGAAATTAGATATGTTTTTGGAACACTCAGAACAAAATTAAGTGTAAAAATAAGAAAAGCCAAATGAAATTTCAAAAAATTAAAATTAAGTTAACCATTCAAAACCAGTTGTCAACAATAAATAAAATGATAAAGATTTAGTTATTTAAGATTAAAAGGAAACAATAGAAATACTTGAACTTAAAATATAGAAATTAGAATAATTAGTGAAATTAAAAGACAGTAAAATATAATAGTTAACTTAAAAACTATAATAAGCAGGAATAAAATGATATAGTTACTCATATATCATCCACATAAATTTTAGAAATAATTTTTCTCTGTGTCACTTTTACTACTATCTGTCTCACTTTTTTAAAGACCATTTTCTTAATCAATAATTTATTACTAATTTCTTTTTATATTGTTTTGTAGTTCTTCTTCATCTGGAGTTAGATCCTAAGGCTGATTTTACATTTTCTGAAAAATTGACATCCTTTATTTTTTTATTGGTTCTTGTTATTCTGAATTTTTTGTAATTAATGGAGAACTTTAAGGAGTTGTATTAGGTGTTCGCCTTTATTTTATTGAATTCATTTCTATACTCATTTTTTGGAGTATTCCATTACATTTATCATCTTCCTAATTGGATTGATCAACATTTGAGGTAGTATTGAATGTCATGGTGCTGGATTTATTTGGTCGCCTCTTGGGTTTTTGATAAAAATGTTCTAATTTTTCTAAAGGATCTGTTTTCATCTTTAGACCCAATTATTTGAGATAAGAAACAATAATTTGCTCCTTTTTTATCCATTCATTTTCAGGATGCTAATTACTCATTATTACCATTTCGAAAGAATCATCATTCTGTTGATTTGAAGTATATAGATTTTATCCATCATTATAGTTTGAATTCTCTTAATGAACCTCTTTTTCAGCCATAATTGCGTTTTCTGACGAATTAATTGTTGTTTCACATGACATATATTAACCTATATTCATACAATGTAAAAACTCTTGAATGATGAATGAATTTTAATATATTTATTAATATCAATAAACCTTACACAAACAATGCTGAAAATTACTGCAAAATTCAGAGCTTTAGTGATTGAGATGCAAATTCAACTTGAGTGAAAATAATATTGGATTTAAACACTAATTTTATATATATGATGTCTCCTAAAAGTAAGAGATTTGCCGTAACCGAGACTCAACCTACTTACTAATAATAATTGAGATTGTCAAGAGTGTCAATATTATTATTTTAAAAATTACATTAATTGAAATAATTAAAATTACAAATAATATGGTAATTTTCGAAGGTTTCAAAGAGATGTATTAGAAAAACTCATAGGTCATCTGACGGTTCCACTTCCCATCCAGTCGCTCCAAATCTCTCTTATATGGCGATAAGGGACTTGACCTTTATTTTTGCATTGTTGGGACTAGGTTAATTAATTGAACTATTAATTGTATATTAAGTCTCAGCTCTTTGCTTTCTTACGAGTTTCCTTTATGGATAAATAGATCTTTGAAAAGGGAAAATCAGAGTATCGCTCTACTCCTTCTAAGAACAAGCCGATTGAAAGATCTAAGGATTGCCATAATTAATATTGTCTAATTGTTTCGAGTATTTTTAGAACACCAATTTAGTTGGCATTTGATTATTGTCATCAGCAATCGAGCTACATCTAGTTTTAATGGTGTCGAAAAATTTGCTTTTAGAGGGAGAGGGTTTCTTTTCTGATTCCAATTAACTTTTTGCAAAGATTAAGCTTCGTTTTCTCATTTTAATTCGATCTGATTCTTCAGGCATTTAGTATTTCATCTTGAGCAAGGCCATTCGAGTTGACTTTTTAAGCAGTTCTAAATTGATAGCACAATTAAATCTAAATCCCATTGTTTTCTAATTTGGAGAAACCTTATTGCTTTTCTAATTCATTGTTGAATAATATTTATTTATTTCTTATTGTATTATTATTATAATAAAAATAAAAAACATATTTATGAATCAAATTCTAATAAATCTTATCATTTCATTGACACATTCACTTTCCTAAACTTAGTCTTTGCAACCTATTCCTCTGCTATATTGCGCAAAATAGATTTATTGTGCAACAATTCCAAATTTGTCATTTTCTCATGAGCACTCTTATTTCTACTCTATTCAATTTATTTCTTTATATCCTCTTAGTTTTATTTATAATTATTTTTGATATACTATTATAAATTACAATACATACAAGTTATTTTGCTTTTTCTTTTTATGTGTAATTCATAAGTTCTAATTTTTGTTGTAGCAATAACAATTTTTATTCTTCCTCTTCTGATAACTTCTTTTATTATTTCTGTTGAATTTACAATTACAATTATTGTTTCACTAGATCCATTTTTTCTTTTTCTTTTTATTTCTTATATTACTATTATTATCTATCTTATTCCTCTTGTTTTTTTAATTACTCCAACATATACTTTCCTTCATTCTCTTCATTTTCCTTTTACTTAGTCAATACCTAATGACTGTAATTACTCATGAACTATTTAATTTTGTCATCCCTCTCCCTCTTTTATTATTCTCTCCTTTCATCATCTTATATCAGTTTCTATAATTATTATTATTACAATTTAGTATCATTTTCTTTCTAGAGTTTAAGTTCCTCTTATGCCTTTAATTATTATTTTTGTAATTTACTTTTTGACGTAATTATTCATTTTCTTTCAAAATCTACTAAAATTTATCCTTTTATTGTTATCTTTTTTTATTTAATTCTTGGGATTCTCTACTTATTTCAAACTTTAGCTATTAAAGCATCTCATCATCTTACAATTTTGATTACTTGTAATTTTCCCTTCTAATCTAATAAATATAAGAATTACTTCTTATGCTTTTCTTATTAAACTTACTCATCCCTTAACTTTTTTTCTTCTAATTGCTTAAGTTTGATCAATTCTTTCTTCTATTTTTCAAATTACTCAAACTCCTATTTCCTTTATTGATTCAATTGTGTAAATTTGGCTTCTTTCATTTCTTCTTCCTTTTTTAACTCTGCCTTCTCTTTTAATTGTTTATCTAAATCATCCTTTAACTTCTATCTCAATTAGAGTTCTCTCTATTTTCTTTCTTCCTATTCCTTTTAATATAAAGCTGTATCATATTTAATAATCGCTGCCCATTCATCTTATTCATCATCATCCAATTGATAAACAGATTTCTATTTATTATCAGATGTTAATGAGTCTAACCTTGCAATTTCTATAGGGTTATTCCTTCTCTAAGTATTTTATTGTTCTAGTCCCTAAGTTAGAGCTTTTGTATTTTATTTAGAGTTATTTTCATTTTTTTGTTTATCATCCATATTTTGTAACTATTGACTATTAGACTGTTATTTTAAGGTTTTTATTATAGCTTCCTTTTCTATCTATTGCTTCTTGACTGCCTCTTGTATCTCTGCTTTCAAAGCTCTTACACCACTTTCATTAAACGAAGAGTATTTGGAATTATAATCACGCACATAGCAAGTAATTAACTTATTTACATTTATTTATTACTTCCTTATCTATTGGCTTTTAACCAAATTCACTTAAGAGTTTATTGAGAATGAAATCAGAAATATTGGAAGATTGCTTCTGCTTGTCCTACTTTTTTAATTATCTTGGATACATGTATATTATTATGTAAATTATTGAAAGAATTTTACGTATAAAACTATGAAATGTAAATAATACAAAACTCATTACTAAATCATTAAATTTTCGATGAGATTTACAAAATTTCTTTATACACTTTCTAGAACTTTATTCTAATCCACAACATAATGTCTTTTTTCATTCTCAATGTTTCTGTGTGTAATCTTCATTAAATTAAATGACTACCAGAATTTTATTCTTCATTTATGTCTTTATATGATATTTATAGTCCATTAATTTTTTTAATTTTGATTATATGTCCACATAGGTCTTCTTCTTTAATCTGATATCAATTTACTGATCTAAAGGCAATTTATATATTTAAGGATTCTCAATAGGGTTTTCATCATTCTAACCACTTATCACTCCAAGATCAGACAAAATAAAGGGATTGGTTTTATATTTAATATCATGAAAGATATCTTAAGGATGTATTTTTTTATTTCTTATAAAATCAAAGCATTTACTTTCTGATTTAACTTTTATATTATTATCATAGATTTATACATGAATGTTTTGGAGTGTAAATTTCAACTTCAAATTCTTACGTCGATAAAATTTCCTATTAAATTTTTAGTCCGTCCACTTACATTGCAGAAAACATTTTCACATGTGGATTTGATTCAAAGACTGAGCTTCTTCTGGTAGATGAAACCTTGGATTCATTAATTGTCCTGGGATTGCTCATAGTAGGAGATTCATTCTAGATTTCTTATTATGAAATTGACAATATATCTTAAGGAAGGGGCAGATTTAATCTATTCAAAAGTGGAGTATTTATAGTTTCAGCATAATTTCTGGTGAAATTTTTACTTAAGAAGATTTTGAGAGTATCTGAACTCATTTGACGTAAGGGAGAACTCTCTATCTCATAGTCATAGGTTATGGCTCTTTCATGATAGAATTTAGTCTTGATAAGTTGAAATAGTACTTTTTCGATGTCTCCAAGATAATAATAGCAAACTCCCAGTTTCGAATAAACTTCATTTTCATAATCTAAGTCATTATTTAACCATGAATATTGTAGACATTTCTTAAAGAATTTGATTCCAATCTCATACTATTGCATTTTGATTGAGCAATTCCCAAGTCCAATCAAAGATTTCATTTTATATTTATCCATTGTTTATTTTGCATAATTGGCCATGATTCTGGTTTAATTATGATAGAAGATGGCCCAATCAAGCTATGATGTTGATTCAAGCATGGAGGCAGAAAAACTAAGAGTTTCAATTAACGCAATAGGTGATAGAGTTCCTATGGAGAACGTTAAAATTTGTTATGAAAAATCAATTAGCTAATTGAAATAGGATTATTACTTGGGTTTCTGCTTTGGATTTGATCAGGTCAATCAAATATTTTTGTTACTTGTAAAGGTAAAATAGATAATTTTTTAATCCGATATTGGATATATTCAATATTTTAAAATAGATAACTTATTGCTTGACTTGAGGATCGAATTTCATTCTTCTTTTCACTTCTTAAGAATCAATATTCTCTTGAGTAACAATTAATTATTTCTATTGGGATCTGCTCCCCTATTGAAAGAGTCTGTTTTATAAGGCTGGGATGGCGTTTCTATTGGTTTCTTAAGGAGACTAGTCTTATCTGTTATCTAGACTAAATTGAGAGTCTACTCTCCTTATCAGATCGTTTTTGTTTGAATGAAAGGTCGATCTCACTTTAATTTGACCTCTGAAAGCCGAGCTTGAACCTGAGTCATATTCTGCTTCATTCATTCTATGAGTAAAATATCCAGTGCGTTGTGATGTGTTACAGGTTGTTCCACTTTGTAGTCTCGATTATTGGGATAGTGACTATTGGGATTTTTGCGATTGTTTTATGAGGACATTCTTTAATCTATCCGAGATTATTCAGCAATTCATACTTTTAAGAGTCTGCTAATTTGAATTAGACTGCACTCCTGAGACGTTTTTCTGAACTATCATTGGTTTTTAATTTTAGAGCAGACGAAATTGGTCTCATCCCTTTTATTATATTATATTATTAGGTCAATTATTTATTATTCGTGATTATGATTTCCAAGAGAGCTTTAAATAAAGGGCCTCAAAGTTTCAAAGTGCACATAAGAAGATTGCCTCCACTTTTAAGAGAAGAAGAATTCTATGCAACTATCTAAGAATATTTGAATGACATTGTGATGAAATATTATGTGAAAGGCAAATTGAAGTAACAATTCCATCCATTATAAGAGAGTAAGAAAAAATAGATTCGAGGTGCTATTTATTTTTCAACTGTGATGCTGCCATGAGTCGATTCATCCAAGGATACAAGAAGGTATTCTGCGATGAAAAAGGCATCTATTATTAACCAGACATAGGAAAGGCTTTGCTTCAGAATCAATAGGATCATCTGAGAAATAAACCCAAACCATTGGAAGGCGAATATTAGAAAACAGAACTCTACAAGAGATTTTTGAAGTTTTTAGAGGAGGAATAACTCTAATAATAAGAAATGGAAAACGCATAGACTCAATAATTAAAGGAAGAGCCAATTAATCCAGAAGATAAACCAAAGAAATTTGAGAAAGTTAAAACTCATATCATTATGGAATTAGAGAAAGAATACTAGAAAAAGAAGGAATTGAAGACTTAAATAGACAATTTGACAACCACAAAAAACATCATCAAATTAAAATGCGAAGAGGATGGGAGAATCATTGAAAGAACGTTTGTAATTAAATAGATTATTAATTATAGATTTTCGTACCTAAGGCAAAAAATTGAATGTGAATTAAATTAACAATCAAATATTAGTAAATAATTGAATGATCATTATATAAAACAAAGTCATATTAATCATTCATTTCTTTCTTAGATAACCATCAATCCATTTTAATTTTACTATTTGTATTCCCCCTTTTTTAAGACTTAATTTTCTGGATTATTAGGCTTCTCTTATTCTGCAAACTTTTCTAATGCTTACTCGTTCAAATCCTCTCTACACATCGGGCAAGTCTCATGCTTCTTCTCCACCATCCATTAATGCAAACAATCGGCATGGAATACATGAACACAAGGAGTTACTCTACAAATTGCCCCTTCATCATATTCTATTAAGCAAACAGTGCAAGCTTCAAATTGCTTAGGGTCTATCCTCCTCTCCTTAATCTTTGGATGATGACTTAAATTCTTCCATAGAATCTTCCTCATATAATGATCAAGCTATTATGAATTTATGCCATTCTTTTATCCTCTCCTTTGTTATTATGATAATTATTATTAATTTAACTGAATCTCATTTTAAACTCTATTCCTCTGTCTATATCTTATTAATGTAACTATAATCCAAGTAAGCACTAAGACCACAGCTAGAGAAACTAAGAAGTAAATCAGCATTAAGTTTGTATTCAACGATGAATCATCGGGTGGAATACTGATATTAAAATAAAATTGGCAGGTATCGGGAGCTACAATTGTTATTAAAAGACGCTCAAACCTAAATAGATTATAACAAAATTATACCTATTTAAATCTGGATTCTTATTCAATTCAGAAAGAGGAACATTGGCGTATTTAGATTTTTAATCTGAAGAAAATGAGGTCTTATAATTATTTATATTTGGAGTGGGTACTCCAAATTTAAAGTTTTCATACATGAGATATACAATGATTGAAGAATAATCTGAAATTAGCGTATTTTAAATTCCTACTTCTAATATAATACCTTCTAATTGTATTGTTTATTCAAAGTAAAGATATCCTGTTCCACTTATTGTGACGTTTTCCAACTTTATATCTTCTGGTATTTTTATTGCCTTTTTGGAACAATCCAAATCGATACTGTCTTAATTGCAATCACATGTACCTGAATTACAGAAGCCATTTAAAGGGTAATTGCAATTTTTAGGACATGGAATAGTATCACTCTTCTTTATTCCAATAAAATATTAATAAGTTGTTTCATTCTCCATTTTTAAATTAGTTATATAAAATTTATCACCTGATCTAAATGAATTAGCTGGTATTATTATGTTGTGATAATTCTTTTTTAGAGAATAACCATTAGCATCTATATATGCCGCACTTATTGTTTTGTTTTAGATTGTAGTAAGATTGTTTTTACTTATAGCAAATACCAAGTTGACTTCACCATCTCCAGGAGCTGTGATATACAACCTTTAATTGAACATAAAATTACTCTACTTAAATATATTTCTAAGTGTCAACAGATGTAACTTAAAAGAACATTGTTCCATTTTCTATTTCCTATATCACATCATATAATTGAGAACTTTCCAATTCAAATAATTCTCCATTTTGCAAGTAATCCTAGTTGATATTTATCGTTTATTATCCTAAAGTAGTTATAAAAAAGTAAAATAAAATGAGAATCATTCCTTTTATTAATAATTTATTATCAATATAATTATGAGTTATTTCAAGTATTTCTAATTGAATTCCCTATTCCATTTGATCAATCGTCACCATCCTAAAATCCAATAGACCATCCAAACCTATAAAATCAACTCCATCTTACATTTCTATAAATAGTTTTATTGAATTTGTCAAATCATAAAAAAAGATGATTAAAAATATTAAGGAATTTTAATTAACTATTAAAATTAATTAATCCAATTACTCAATTATTAATATCTCAATTTATTAATTAATCTGATTTCTAAAATTAAAACCCTAGATAAGCTTCCTGAGTTTATTAGGTCTCTATGAAAAGCCCAATACAATTAATCTTACTTAACTCATAAGGTTATGATGCCCTTATTGAAAAAAAAGCAGAAAGAATAGTTCAAATCTTACTGAATTTTAGTTAAAATTAGAATATTTTGGAATATAGTTCAACAATCAAATTAACATAATTAAAATAACGACAATGGTAAAAAAAAACCGCGAAAAATAATTTAATGAGTAAGTGTTTATTTTATTCCAATTTAAAGAAACTCATATTGTTTACTACTCTCCTGTCTGTTAAAATACTTGTGAATCCAAAAAAATTGGATAAATATTTTATTAGATATTTTAGTATAATAATTATATTTCAGTCATCAAAATTTACAACTAAGTTTTAGTTAAAAAATTTTGTTAGTATTTAAGATGAGACAGAGCATGGAAATATTAATTAATTTGTTTGTAAATGAATCAAAGAACACAAGAAATATAACTTAAAACTAACTATCATGAAATTAGCTTACTTGCAGGAAGACCAATCTATGAGTATGAATTAGAGATTATAAACTCAACTCCAGAATTAATCCAAGCAGCTTTTAGATAATATAGACCATAAATTTTATAATTGTTAACGAACTATATGAGTATTGATAATAAAATCTACTCGCCTAAAATAATTGATGGAATTGAAAAAACAAGATCAAACCATTTGGGAACTTTACAAAATCAGGAAGAAGCTGAGTAAATAGTATCAATTAAGTTTATTAATCGATTAAGTGAGAATCATATAAGCAAGAACTAAATAATAGCTAGATTAATAAAGTAAGTAGTGAGAAATCAATTCTAAATGGTTTCTATAGGAAAAACTGGGAGTAAATTATTTTGGAATTCAAAAACTATAAAATAATAAGAGAACAACTTAGAAGTATAATATGTTTATAGTTTTAGATTTGGCCAGGAGTCGAATGCATTTATTAACCAAGTGCCTTTTAAAATTTTAAGCCTAAACTAATAATCGATTGTGCATTTAAAATTCTAAGATACAGAACTGCCTTAGAGGAATTAGACTCATTAAAACCACATACTGAATTGATTATTGGTTAGATTGTGATGACGACCTATAATAAAAAATTTTACTAAATTTCTGGTTTAGAAATAGGAATGAATCCCAAATCAACATTTCAAAATTAAAATGGCGAAGCTATCACTTTTGAGAGTTATTATAGTACAAAGTATAATTAAAAAATCATTCCAAATTAACCTTTATTAAAAGCAATTGTGACTGGAAAAAAGGATGAAAGTCAAAAGGAGATATATTTAATTCCTTCTCTTTGCTAAATGACTGGGTTGACTGATGAAATGAGAAATGTAATTTGATCATATAATTTTTAGAACTTCAATGCAATGAAAAAAATATCAGAAATAACTAAACCATCAGCTGACACTAGAATGAGAACTGCATAAGATTTTATTTAATAACTTCAAGCCACAAAAATTATTAATAAAAAGGAAAATACCTCAAAGGAAGTTTTAAAAGAATGGGGATTAGAGATTAAAAAAGACTGCATTTAAGTCTAAGCTCAAAGGCTTGACCCTGGAAATATGTTGATGGGCAGAGATTTAAAATTAAATTTAAGAGATAGCAATACAAATTTAGAAAGACAAACACAAACTTAAATGTTTTACACCCCTCCATAAAAACTGATTACAGGAATTATTTACAATTCAAAATTTGGCTAATAAAATTTAAAATCCTTTTTATAACATTTTAAATCGGCTTGTTAGGAATTTCAATTTGATGCGTTTTTAACACCAAAAGCCAAAGAGATGTAAAATGATAAAGAAGATGAATTGTCACGACAATTACGAGATCTTAAGTTGGAGGCTGATTAAAATTAATCACGAGTTAACTTTTTAATATTTTTGTTACCAGGTTAAAAGAAAAAGGCAAGGTTGTATAAGGCTTGTAAAGTAATCTCTATGGCTACTTTTGGTTGTGCATCTTAAGTAATTGTCGAAAAAACCTTATAAAGAAATACAAGATCAATTGTAAATAAGATTTTAATTTAATTAAATGCAAAGATTGGAGGAACTCCATGGGCATTGGATGGCATGCCAGATATGTTTACAAATTAACCTACAATGATTTGTGGAGTTGATATTTTTACAAAGGCTGGAAGAAAAAGTCAATTAGCCTTTTGCAGCACTATTAATAGACAATTTAGTAGGTATTACTCTTAAGTAATCACATCTGGAGAGTTTTGTTCACACTTATAATTGTGCTTGAAGGCTGCCTTACTTGCATTCAAATAGGAATTATCAGTTTATCCAAAAAATGTGATTATATATAGGGATGGAGTAGGAGACGGCTAATAAGTAGCTGTATTAGGAACAGAGTTACCGCAATATAAACAAGCTTTAAAAGAGTTAGAATTAAAAGATGTGTCAATTACACTTGTAATATGTAACAAAAGAGTTTCTGCAAAATTTTACTCAGGAGGTTAAGGTAGAGCAGAAAATCCACCTCCCGGAACTGTCATAGATAATAAAATTATTACAAATGAAGAAGCCATAAAGTTTTATTTAATATCTCAATTAAGCAGATAAGGAACTGTAACCCCAACTCTTTATAAGGTTCTTTATTCAGATTTGCAGGGTATAAATATTAAATATAATTTAGGCATTGAATAAACTATTAAAATTTTGACTTTCAAATTGTGCTGGTTGTATTATAACTTTACCGGATCAATCAAAATACCAGCACCAGTTCGTTATGCACATTGTCTCTGTAATTTTATTGGAGATAATTATGATGATAGGGATTAAATGAAATTCCTTCCGCAATCAGATTTAATTCATCAAAAAGTGCTATTTTATATTTGATTTTTATATAATAATTTATTAATCAATGTTAAATATTTGAAAATGAACATGGATTTAAGGACAGAGATTTATTAAATAATATAGAATCTATTTAATACTACATAATATAGGATTGTTAAGAGTGCACTATAAAAGGATACTTAGAGCAAGTAATTAATGATCATAAATTTTAATTGCTCATTTAAGAAAGTTCTATTAAATGGAGACTAAAGAGTTTAAACATTTTGATTAAAGAAGTAATTTAATATAGATTCGAGTTTTAAGTTTTTAAAATAGCTTAAATCAATTGATGGCTAGATTCGAATTAATTAAGAATTCCTTATATAATCAAGAGAAATCAATTAAGGATAAGATTAATCATACTCATAAACTTATGATTTATGACGAAAATCTACAAGGTTTTGATGGATTTAAATTATTATTATGGAATAGAGGATGGAATATATATCAATAAATTCCTATTCAGATACAATAGTAAATTTCAAAATCATTAAATATAATCTTATTTGACGTTAATGCCTAAAATAAGAACTACAAAGAATTTAAAAATAAATTATGCATTCAAAGCTTATCAAGAAACGGACATATACTAAAGTATGAAACCTAGATTATTGTATTACGATATGAAAAAGAACATGCAAAAAATATAATAAGAATTGATATAGGTTTTAGTACACTGTAAGATTTACGATTCTGATTTTAATTGTTAAATAAAAATTAACTAAATATTGATCACTTTCATATATTTATTTTATTTAAATTACATTCAAGAGTAATTTATGAGCCATAGAAGTCTTTCTATTGACTATTCTGAAAAACTGGATACTTTTGGGGATGGGTGTCTACCTGAAACCTAAGCAATGTCATCATTATTTTTGAATTACTTAAAGACTTAATCAATAAGTGAATCAGATTCTTTAAGAAAGTCTAAAGAATTTTTGAAGAAGTTGTAGACTGCTTTTGTAATATTGAGTTGGTATGAGGCGATAGCCTTTTTTGGTTGCATTACAACTATGATTATCAGTTATGAATTCTAATTAGTATACATCGCAATAGGACTATTTATCAAATTATTCGCAATTATAAGATTAGCTAATTCAGCAAGTAAACAAAAAAAGTATGTTGGATTGAAATCGTCAATCACAAGAAAAGTTTTCATACATTTTTTAAAATAGAATATTAATTTTGATCCTGAAAATAGAATTGAAATAAGATTAATTGATCAAATTATTGCTTCTAAACTGACTTTCAAGGTAATTCTTAAGGAATTTGTTAAATTTCATATAATAAGTGTATTAATTATTTTATAGATAACAATAGGGATCTATGTTATTTATTTTTATTATATTCTTTCAGAATTTTAGGGTAACAAATATCTAATTTTCTCTGAATTTGCATTAATTACACTACCGCTTACGCTAACATTAATTGCATTGATCTCAATTTTGATATTTATAGGATTTAACTCGTTAATCAGCCTTATTCATTTGATAATTAGAGCAATAATTAAAATATGTGTTTTTATTCCTCATGTTTTGAGATCTTTATTAAAGATATTTAGAATAAAATAGGAGAAACATTTTGTTTTGATGAAATATATTCACAATTCATTAACATAGAAAGACACTTGTTCGATTTGTCTGTGTTCAATTTAAAATCAAGGTATTTTGTTACCGTGCAAACATTTATTTCACATAAAATGCATTGAAAAGTGGTTTTTCGAAAATAATTCATGTCCTATTTGTAGATCAAAAATTACTAATTTAGACAAAAATCAAGAAGTATGAAGGAAATAGTTTATGATGCTTATGATTAAAATAATATTTACTATATTAATTAATTTTTAATTATAATTTTAAAGTAAATAAAAGATAATTAAAATTTACAATGCTATTATTTGTTCAAAATATGTCCAAATTATTATCAATTATTATTCATTCAATTAAACAATCTGAATAAATAGGTATAATATAAATATTAGAATGAATAAAAATTGATTTTTATGATAAAATTTGATTGGCTAATTTTTGCATCATTTGGATTTATATCCCATATACAACCTCCGCTTTTAAATTATATTAATATCAATTCAAAATAAACAAAAATGGCTGGAAAATCAGGAAAAGGAATCGGTAAAGTAAGTGCTAAGAGACATGCTAGAAAACCAAACAAAGCTTCAATTGAAGGAATCACAAAACCTGCTATCAGAAGATTAGCTAGAAGAGGAGGAGTCAAGAGAATTTCCTCATTCCTTTATGATGACTCAAGAAATGTTTTAAAGAGTTTCTTAGAGAATGTTGTTAGAGATGCTATCACATACACTGAGCATGCTAGAAGAAAGACCGTCACTGTTATGGATGTTGTTTACTCTTTAAAGAGATAAGGAAGAACACTCTATGGATTCGGTGCATGAGTTTTATTTTCATTCAGAATTAATTAATTCTATTCATATTTCCTCTTCCAATTGGTGCCCATATTTTTATTTCAATTTTAATCTAAATTATTAAATTAAATAAAATACCTAAGAAGAAATTGAAAGAATTTATGAATTCCATATTATATCATAAGCTACTGAGCTCCTCCATTTCTATTGAAGTAGTAATCAAATAAATGAAATACTATACCTTTCCTAAAAAATTCTTATATAATTACAATAAAAAGGAATTATAAACTTTCCATATGTAGAATTAATATTTTTATATAATAATAATTTCATATATTATTATTACAATCTTCATTAAAGAATTATTTATTAAACCCAAATATTTAAAAGCTTGAAAACTATAAAATAACATATTTATCGAATTTTTCAATATTTTTATATATATTTGCTATAATATTTTTTCCTTTTTTAGAATATGGTATTTTATAATCAATATAGATATTAGATTAATAGTAATTTAATTTCAAACACTTTATAATTGAATCATTATCAATATAGCAACCTATTTTGAGACTATTCATATTAATTGTAATTATGTAATCTGTGTTGCACAATAAAAAGTGATATTTTCAAAGAATTTAAGAACTTGAAGCTGATGGTTGTAGATTCGCTTTTGAATACTATGAAAATAAAGGTATTGCTTGAAATATATTGTATGAAATTCGCGAAGAAAAAACAAAAATTAATTTTTAATTAAATCTTTTTCAAAATGAAAACCCATGTCGAAGTTTCAAGTTAAAGAAGAAAGGGCAGAAGAGCCTAATTAGGAGCACCATCAAACCTCAGATATAAATTAATGAGCGCTCATCTTTCTAAAGATTTAAGAAAGAAATACAATGTTAGAGCATTGCCTGTTAGAAAGGATGATGAAGTCACTGTTGTTAGGGGTATAATTGTAAAATTGAGCATAGGCACACATAAGGGAACAAAGGGTAAAGTTTCATCAGTTTACAGAAAGAGATGGGTTATTCAAATTGAGAAACTCACCAGAACCAAAGCCAATGGTATTTTAATAATGTTATTGTAGGAATGCCATACTAAATCCCAATCAGAGCATCATAATGCATCATCACAAAACCTTACCTCAATGAAGACAGAAAATAATTGTTAGCAAGAAAGGCATCAGCCAAAGTTTCAACTAAAGGAAAGGGTGAAAAACACACAACTGAAAGCACTAAGAAAGCTGATTGATTTATTAAAATATAGAAAAGTACATTAGAAATATTTTTTTTTTGTTTGCCACATATTTATTTATAAAAGTAATTTATTTATATGTCATTATTCATCCCATCTTCTACACTAAAATCCATTAAATTTTTTTAAATTTTCTAAATTGGGAAAGTGTTTCTCAAAGTTTTTAGCCAAATTCAAGATTTTTGCTGCAACTTCTACTAACTAATCTTGATCTACTTAAATAATTTAAGCAACATCCTTAATCTATGAAATAGATAAAATTATATACTTAACTATCAGCATTGAAAGTAGTTTCTAATTATTCGACTATTTTAAATGCAACAAAAATTAAAGCAGCAGCCAATAAAGTATAATTATTCTTGCCGCAAATCTCATAATCAAACAAAACCATTTTGGAAAGATACAAACATAGTTTTTTTAAATATTTGTAATTTTTCTCAAGTAATTTAGATTCAATAAAGCAATTAGTAAGTATTAGATTGTACAAGTCAAAAAGTGTTCCGCCAACTAGATCAAATCCAATAGTTTAGAGTATGTCACTCTCTTTCTTTTTAATTTGATCAGTTGTTAATTTTTTATGAGCTATTTTCTCATAAACAACAGATAATTTCATGGGATGAATTTCTTCGTATTTGGCAGCAATGAACATAGAAGTGACACCACATAAATGTAGATCAGACACTTCTAATTACTTTTCGCTTTTTGCAAAATAAAAATCCAAGGTTCTCACAGCTACGAAGAATGTTTAATCGGTGCATTTATAAGAGCAGAGTACTTCCACCATCCAGTCAATCATTTTAGCTCTCAAATTGCTAGGAATTGAATGATTTTTCAAAAATTCTTATGGTGTTGACTTTTTCTACAATTATTTTATTAATAATTACTTCTTATTCTTTTAAATAGAAAAATATTTCATCTGTGTAACACTTTTACAGATTTTTATTTTCCTGAATAGTGTGATCGAATTTGGGTTTAATTGAGATATTCTACAATTCTTGAGGGAGAGTGTAGAGCTTGGTTGTGAGTCCCTTGTGTTGAGGCACATTCTCTTTGTCTTCCAACACATCTTGATTCAGGGATCTTTTAACTCTCTCTTAATTAAGCATTTTCCTTCTTAAGTCGTTGTTGCTACTAAGCATCGATTTGTTGATTTGTTGAGTGTCTTTGTTTTATACATAATGGATTTACCTTCATTATACAACATTGTCAAATTCCTTCTTACAGGGTCTCTGTTTTCTATATAGGTCTTGGTAATTCTTCTTAGAGGTTATTGCTATTGATTTTCAGGAACTCCGCTTAGAGATCTGTTGTATTTAATTTCCATTATTTATTCGTTAAAATAATTAACGTCGCGCAAAATTAATTATAATATAAAATCCAGAAAACATAGGAAATAAAAATATTAATAAAATAATCCCTTTTCACTTTATTTTATAAAATAAAATTTACAAGTTCATACAATGAAATAAAACAATGGTCAAACCCCAAACAATGAAAACTTAAGAGTAGTTATAAGAGTCCGTCCACCGATGGCTAGAGAAATTCGGGATGGCAAATTCATCTCAACTGTGTAGGTTGCTCCGGATAATTTATAACTTTGCATATTTGACTATCATGCAATAGAACTTGTTCCTGATGAAGATTTAGAATAATATGTTTCAAATCCATCAAATTACACTCTCCATTAATTTACATTCGATTATGTCTATGATCAAGACAGCACTTAAGAATAAGTATATAATACCACAGCAGCATTATCAGTAGATTCAACTTTGCAAGGATACAATTCAACTATAATTGCATACGGTCAAACTGGAACTGGTAAAACATACACAATGCATGGATTTAGTTTCAATCCTAATTCAGATTAATTAGGTATTATACCAAGATCTTTGCATAACATATTTAATCACATTTAAATGAAAAGTAATTCATCTACAACCTTTATGGTCCGAGCATCATATTTACAGATCTATAATGAAAACATTAGTGATTTATTAAGAGATTCTGCATCTTTGAATATAAGAGAAGATAAAAAAAGAGGAGTTTTTGTTGAAAACTTGTCAGAATGGGCAGTAAGAGGTCCAGCCGAAATCTATTAACTAATGCGTAAAGGTAATGCTAAAAGAGTAACAGCAAGTACAAGAATGAATGATACAAGTTCAAGAAGTCATGCAGTTTTCATTATCACAGTTGAATAAATTGAAGAGAAACCTGAAGGAAAATCTGCAAAAGTTGGTAAATTGAATTTAGTAGATTTGGCTGGCAGTGAAAGAGTCAGAGTAACTGGAGCTACAGGTCAAAGATTAGAAGAATCTAAAAAAATCAATTAATCATTGTCTGCTTTAGGAAATGTCATTGCTGCTTTAACCGAAAATAGAGGTTCTAAACCTCATATTCCTTATAGAGATTCCAAAATAACAAGATTATTAGAAGATTCTCTGGGTGGAAACTGTAAAACTACATTTATGGCTATGATATCACCAGCAATAGATGCCTTTGGGGAATCCTTATCCACATTAAAATTTGCAAATAGAGCTAAAACAATTAAAAATACTCCAATTGTAAATTAGGATGGTGATTAAGGAGCCTTATTAAGAAAATATTAATAAGAAATTTAGAAATTGAAGTCAGAATTAGAGGAGAGATCAAAGTAGCCACTTGAAAATCTGGTTAATGAATTAGAAAAAGAAAAGCAAAAGGCTCTGGAAGATAAATAAGAAGCTCAATCTGCCTATGAATAGAGATCTAAAGATTTATTTAAAGAAACAGAATTAAGAAAATAATTAGAAGAGAAGATTTCAGCATTAAATTCTCAAATGCTAGTAGGTGGATAAAAAATAGAAGAAACACCTCAATTTTAAAGTGCCTTAGAGAAGTAATAAAGATTGATTAGATAGCAATACCAAGAAAAATTAACTGAATTAGAAAAGGAAAGGTAATCTATTGAAGAGGATAAAGCTTAAACAGACAAGTATAAGCAATTGTTGTTAAAATAAAGAGATATTATGATAGCATTAACTAATAGGTTAAATGATAGAGATGAAACTATTCTTCAATTATAGGAAGAATTGGATGTTTATGAAAAATTATAAAAAGAAAATGAGGATTAGCTCCATTCATAATAAATTAGATTGGAATAATTTGAAGAATTATTTCTCGAAAACAAGATTGATATTCCTCTGGTGTTGTAAAATCAAAAATAATTTAACAAGGAAAAGGTTGTAGATATTTAGAATGATTTATAAATTTAGAAATTGGAATCCATACCTGTATAGACATTGCATACTAATTAATAAGTCTAATCTGATGCTCTTATATCTTACGAACTTAAAAATTAGATTGAAATCAACAAATAAATCTAATTCGATTTAAAATTAACGAGAACTGAATTGGAGAGGAGTAAAAATGAAATAGAATAATTGAAGAAAAAATAAAATACAGAATAAGGCACTTTGATTGAGAATGCAAGAAAATCTGTTGATAAAATACTGGAATTATTGACTTCTGAATAGAGTGAATAAAGTTTAGGGAATGTTGCTAAAGAATTGAATTAATTATAGAGAATGTTAAAGTAGGGCATATAACCATCCAGAACTCATGTTAAAGGTCAATACTCTTTTAGTAAATCAACAAGTGACTCTCCAAATAAAATAATGCTAATAAATAAATAGAATGATTCAATGGCCAAATCAACAGGATAATTAGTAAAATTAATGTAGATGAAACCACAACCTAAACAAAATCAGTCTCCTGTTTTAGGGTATTGCATCTATATTAATATTTTAGTTCTAAATTAAAATAAAAACAAAAGTCAGTGGAAGATCTCTGGAACTAAATTTGAGTTTTTAAACATAAAGTCTCTTGATATTATTTTAATGACAATATATATAAAATAGATAAGTTTATCAAAAGGTTACTTTGATTTTTTCACAATCAATTTGTTCACAAATGGTCTTTAATGGATTTTGTTTGAATTTCTTATCAAATTCAGGTATATGTTGACCATTAATATTGATCCATGGAATTTCAACTAGATTTTATGCAAGTGTTATTTTTGCAGCTTTATGCTATAAGTAATTCCCGAATTTAGATTAAACGCATTTTAATGTCCTTTCATAAACACATTCTTAATTTTAAACACATTTTTTAAGGCTTAGATTGATTAATTCCTCATTATTTTATTTTTCTTGATGTATGCATGTTAAATAACGCAATTATTCAATCTGGTCTAATTATTCTAAAACACATGAATCTATTAAATTTCCATAGCATTCTTTATTTCCATGCTAGCAGTTGAATTCATATCCTTTGTTTAACACTAATTTCTCATTTCCTTTTCCGAATGGAATAAAATTAAATTGAACATATTCGTTAATTTATTCATAATCAAGCAAGGTTTTCATCCTTTTAAATAATCTAACAGTATCTGGACACTAGCTTTCAATAAAGATATCAATTTAAGTAGCACAATAAATAGGAAAAATTAAAGATAAAATAATTGAAAACATTTATTTTATTAATAAAAATAACATACTTATTTTAATATAATTGAATTTTAAAGGCTTATGGTTTACAATAAATAAGAAATTTATGACAAGATAACGAAATAATAATAATTAAAACTGTTATCTATAGACATCTTAATTAAGTTTGTCATAATATAAATGGCAAACCAATTCTGGTTATTGGTGTTAAAGCTAGTTGATGAACTTGATCAATATTCCACCATTTACAATCTAGTAACTCATTTTTACATATATTGAATTCTTCCTTTAATATTTCTACTTCGCATCCAAAATAGAAATCTTATTTGCTCCATCTAGATGATGGCTATTAACCAAAAAAGATGATTGATTTAAACTGGGAATTTACTCCTATCTCCTCCTAGATTTCTCTTTTTATCCCAGCTTGAATTGTTTCATTTTCTTAAAGTAACCCAGCAGGAAACGCCCAGGAATATCTAACTGGTCCATTTGCTTCTTAGACTAATAAGATTTGATTATTCTTCCTAATGATAGCACCTACGCCAATTGAGCATTTGTTTTAAGGTTATGTGAATGCAAGAGTAATAGTATCATGATTAGTTTCAAGCATTTAATAGCCTTATGAAATATATTTGGAAAGTAGGAATAATTAAGTTTTAGAGAGAATTATTTAATTATTCATAAATAAAAATATTACTTAAAAATTAGATGATAAACTCATGCTAATCCCTTTTCCTTCATGACTTCCAACATGGTTTTGCCAATTTAAGCAGGTGATTTCACAACTCTGATACCTGCTTATTCAAGTGCTCTAATCTTTTCAGGTGCACTTCCCTTGCCCTCTATTAAATCAATAAATGATAAATTTACTTGACACAATAGCTCCTGCATGTCCCATTCTTCTTTCAGGTGGTGCTGTGATACCAGCAATAAATCCAACAACTGGTTTATTTTTAGGATTATTTTTCTTAATCCAATCAGCAGCCATTTCCTCATTCTCTCCACCGATTTCTCCGATCATAACAATACCTTAATGAATATATTGAGATTAGATACCTTCTGTTTCTGGATCAACCATGAATCTCTCCAAAACATCAATAAAGTTAGTTCCATTGAAAGGGTCTCCACCAATACCAACGACTGTTGATTGTCCTAAACCAGCTCTTGTAGTTTGATCGACAGCCTCATATGTAAGAGTACCAGATCTAGAGACAATACCAATTTTTCCATTTTGATGAATGTATCCTGGCATGATACCAATTTTACATTCATTTGGCTTGATAATTCCTGGGCAATTTGGCTATAATAGTTTATGAATTTAATACTCCGATAACACGTGTTACTGATTAGGATCTTAGAGCATGCTTAACTTTAATCATATCATGTTAAGGAATTCCATCAGTGATGACAACCTTTTCATTTTAATAAAGTATGATACCACTAAGCCAATTTATGCCTCGATGGCTTCAATAATGGCTGAAGCAGCTGTGGGAGGAGGCACATAGATTACAGATGCATCACATCCTGTGGCTGATTTGGCTTCTTTGCAATCCTTGAAAACAGGCAAGCCAAGGTGTGTACTTCCAGCCTCTAAATTTATAGAATTGACGCTTACTCTTAGGTGAAACTCCACCAACCATTTTTGTAAAGTAGTTCAATGCTTATTCAGTTTAGAATGTGCCCTAGTTTAAGATTAGACTGTATACCTAATTACCAGTGATACCTTAGCATATCACTTTGGTATGCTTATTGACCCACACATATGGAGCTGTGGTTGATGAAAATGCACGAAAGATTTATCTGCCAATCATTTATTTTATTTAATCTATATATATATATATTGAATATTATTTAAAAAAATTACATAGCATTTATTAACTAAAATTTAGTGAACCATAAAAAGATGACTAAAAGCTCTGTTCCATCATTTATTAAAATATGTTTTCAGATCCTCAGTTCCATCCCTTAAAGAAATTAGTTTACACTAAATTGAATATTTAAGAAACAGAACGCATTGATATTTCATCGATTTTGTAAATTAATGCAACTATTCAAAAGGGATGCTTATGTTCACAAATACCATGGCCATTCTCTACTAAGAGATGATGTCTTTTTAATGTTGGCCATTAGTATCATAATAAAAAAAAGAATGAAGAAATTGAAACAATAGATTCTAGAGGCCAAGGAATCCATTTTCAATGATAATAACAATAACAACAATAAAAATTAAAATTTGGTTACTCCTATAGCCAAAAAGAGAAAGGTCTAGAAATAAAGAAGAGAATAGGTAGTGGTTGACAATTAATTAATCAAGTTGCCTAATTATTTTTCATAAACTTAAAGTAAAATTATAATTTTATAATTTAGATTCATAATTAGCTAAGGAAGAATCAATATTATTGCCTGGTAGTTAATAAACCTCCTTCCATTCTTAATAATAGATGATGCAAATAGAAGAGGAAGGAATTGCTCCTGAATAGATCTTTGTTCCAGATTATAGAGATTTACTTAAAAATTAAGGTCTTATGCAATAATTACATCAACAGGATGACAATATATTTTAAACAGAGGTAAAATAAGCAAACATAGAAAATGGTGTTGTTTATAATTTGTATCAATAAATGTTAGAATAATTGCACATCAGTATTGATGCTGAAAGTGTGTGTAATGAAGAATGTGAAACTAAATAGAACACTAGAAAGAAAATTAAAGTTTAAATGGATCAAGGGATCAGAAAATAGAAGATTCAAAATTATAAGAGTCAATTTTATGAATTGGAAGATGAAGAATCTCATTTATTGTAAAAACTGGAATCATATCTTATCAATGAATATAAGATTTAACACTAAGATTAACTTGTCAATTAGGATGAAATGCTTCAATAGATTTTCACATGTCTCAATGATTCCAGTTACTAAAATCAATTATTGTCTATGGTTAGCATTTTGAATCCAGAAGAAATCTACTTAAATCAATCATGCGAAAGCAACAATAAGTCAAATGTCTCGGTGAAATCAGTTCTTAGAAGCAGGAATCTAAGTGAGGACTCTATTAAAAGTTTAAAGAGAATTCACTTTGTTGAAGAATAACATTTAGAGGAGATATAAGAAGAAATGTCCAATCACTACAACACTTCGATGTCACTATTTTAAGAGAAATCTAGTTATGACAAGGCAGTGTAATTTTATCATATACTTTGTGATGCTCAATCTTTAACTAATGTGAAGATTACTTAGTTAAATGTTGAAAAGTTTGGACCAATAAGTATTTAATATAAATGATTGTTTTTATTATAAAATGTTGTAATAATAATTTTACTATGACGTGTTTAAGATAGTCCAATCGATGTCTGCCAATTAGATTATCACCACAAATGAAAAGGAAATTTTAAAAAGTCATAATTCATCCATCTATATTTAGATATAATAATAAATCATGATTCAAAGCTTGTACAGACTCTCGATACTATTTATAAATCACAAGAAAATGACAAGTTTGAGAAAATCGTTGCTGAAATCAAACTATATATCAAATCCATGAGACAAAGAAAACCAAAATATTTCAAAAATAAATAAATGCGTGTTATTACTGATGAAACAGACAAAAACATATATGATGATATAATAGCAGAAGTGTCTTCAGATAGTGATTCTATGTCCTGAAAACTTTGATAATTTTCTTTTACATTACTTAATTATTATAATTTTATAAATTTCTCAACAACCTATTATTTACAAAGCTAAATAATTCAATAAATTAAATAAACACATCCCTTTCAACATCTTATAAGTTATGTTTATTCTTATAAAATTATAACTTAAAATAACATTTCCATTAATCTCACTAGTGAATAACTCGCAAAAGAGAAGCTATTATTAACATCTAATCAGTAGATCTACCCAAATTCAAAAAGAATTCTCAAAGACTGATCCGTAGAATATTTATATTGAGATTAATTACATATAATTCATTAATATTTATTTATTTAAATATATGATTAGGATTTATGTTATTTTAATTGAAATCCTAAATAATATTTTTTATAAATTTTTTTATTTCAATTTCTTAAAAATAATTAGTATTTATGAACATTATAATTATTATTCAAATAAGGATCATCATTAGGGATTCTAAATGCTTTTATAAATATTTAACTAATTTTTAACTATTAGATATTTAATGTACTTTGATAATTTTAGGACAATTGTGTTAAGTCTCGAATTAAATGCAAATTATTCTCATAAATTAATATGAAAGTTTGGAATTTTATTCAGGAAATAACTTCTAAAATTATCAAATAAACCAAGTTCAATTTAAACAAAAATGATCTAACTAGTATAAATTTAACGATTAATTATAATCAATTAGGTCATTAGAAAGGAGGAGATTGTTGTACAACTTCTCCAGTCTTTGGATCCCACAATTCTCCTGTATCTGGATCTTGGACCAATCCATCATCAACTTCAACTACTTTTTTAGGCTTTGGCTTCTTCTTTTTCTTATCAAAAAATAGTCGATCATCTTAATGAATTGGCTTTAGAAGAACAGGCTAACCTTAATCGAGAAAGGGACGCATTTAAAAATCATTAAACTCCTTTAGTTTTTAATCTACTGATTGAGAAACGTTGTAAATCAAATAATTCTACCTTCTCCTTTACCAAATTTCTTCATTTTCTCTTTCCAGTTCTTTTATTCTCCTTTATATCTTGTTAGTTTATTCTTCTTCTAATCTTTTATACTTCTGTAATAAATTTGTAAGCATTTCAGACTATCTCTCAAGAAGTCCCAGCATTTTTTCTTCTCTAATTTTTGCTAATGCATCATCCTCATTAAATTAAACAGCAACTGGCCAAATCATTTATTAAACAGGATGAACAATTGGTTAAGGAGGAGGTTGAATAGGCTATACAACAGTTTCCTCAGCCTCTAAATATTAATGTTTGCATAATACCACCATCCATTGGAACTAATTTTCTATGTATTCGACGAGTAACAACAGGTTATTAAAAAGAAGGCTATTAAAACTAAGTAGAGGATTTGGATATCAATCTTTTAGTTGACGTATCTATCAACCCAGGCTATTAGGATGCAAGTAGAACTTGCTCGCTTTGTTTCATTAATGTATTAAAAATATATATAATTTATAGCAATTTGATAATAATAGTATTATTTTTTCTAGAAATATATATTATAATTCTTGATATACTGAGTAAAGGATTTATTAAATTAATTGGTTATTGATTTATCAATGCTACAAAATTTAATCAATAATTATTGTAACATTTCTATACCTTTATTTAATAATAAAATTTTTATCAATCATATCAATCCAAGTTTTTGAATATTGCATCATAAAGAGATTATTAGAATATATCTTAGAATAAACTCTGAAAAATTATAAATATTCATTCATTTTGTAATTGTACATTTTTCTATTAATAATTCTCCATTTATTAATTTGTATTTGTAAACCCCCATTTCATCACCTAAGCATTCTAAAATAACAAATTCAGGTTAAATCACTGCATCTCTAATGATAAATAAGAATTTAACTATTTAATTGATCCATATGACCCACTCATTGTTCCTGGATTTATAAAATATTTCCTTTCAAATTTGCTTATTAAAGATTAATGAGAGTTTCCAAATACTGCAATATCGCATGAACTTTCTTTTAGGAATACACTGATTGTTTCTTCATCATTCCAAGGCACAAATTAATGCCCATGAATCAATAAAATTTTCCATATTCCTATTTGAATTACCTTTTGATCATTATGGATTTCATTATTTTCCTAATATCAAAAGGGAAGTCTACATCATCATATTAGCCTCGAACACAATGAAAATTAGGTGAAATTTACTTTAACCAATCAAAAGTCTCTTTATTTCCCACATTTCCTGTGCAAAGTACATGTTATAATTTATTAACTCCTAAAGCACTAACAATTTTTTCATGAATCTTCTCCATTCTTGTACCAATGTGCAAATCTCCACATAGAAGTATAATCTAGGATTTTAAATCATATTTACATCACCATAATTAGCTTCTTGTGCCATCTATTATATTATTTATTAATGAAAATAATTTCATAATAAATATATGTAAACAGAGTAATCAATTGATATCTACGAGAGTTATTAAAATTTAATGGCTCCTATGTTCTAAACTTCTTCTTAAGAATCTAGTCTTTTTTTATATTAGTTTTTTCCTTTCATTTGATTTTGATTTCAAGAAATAGTTTATTATGAAACTATAATGATGTTAGAAACTATATGAGGAATCACAGTAGAATTACAATAGGATTAATTAATATTTTGTAATTTTTATATATATGTATTCAAATTTGTTCATCTCTTCATAAATAGCCCTTAATAGGTTGATACAATGCATTCCACTAATTTATCGGAATAATTTCCATTCAATTTAATTTACATTTGATTGTTTTTAGATGAGATTGAAATCAAAAATATAGATTTTTCAATTTAAATTCTTGCAAAAGCTTCAACAAATTACTCATTAATTTAATTAATTTAAAAATCAGGTAACAAATGTCCTATTTAATTTTAAAAACTGGTTTGAAAGATTTTACTATTATAAAAATATGATTAGGGACATTCTTATGGGACTTCTAAAAAATTGAAAAATTTATTGACTGTGCACGGAAGACAAAGTTTTATGCTATGCAACTATGTCTATATCTTATAATTAATTGAAAATTCTAATAACTAATAGGGAAGTTATTCAAATTATATGAATACTTTTTAGGATACTTATTCATTTCCTTTTAAAGATTATTAAATATTAGCAGGGTAAGCCTAAAATTATAGATTCTGAGACTTTTAAAACGCAATGCACAAATTTTGTATTTATTCTTTGGTTCTATTATGTAAAACTACATTAATTAAGAGTTATTAATTTGACTATAAGCTGGTTTGAACTCCAATTTATAGGTTGTCATCAGAATATAAAATGGATTTTTTAAGCAAACAGGATTACCTAAATTTGACTGTAAAAGCATCAGGAAGTATTGCAAAAATCTTTCCATCATAATCTACAAAGGGGGATGTTATTTCATTTGATCCTCTTGATTTAGGTTAAGAGAAGGATTTTGGAGAGTACATAGGGACTTTATATAGGGAGATATATAATTACCTTTATATTAAGTGGATGCTGTATTATAAGAGAGTACAGAATTGGTATGACCGGAGTGTAATAGAAATTTATCAAACTTAATCAATTGGTTTTATAACGCTTTGATGTACAGTTATTATCCAAGGACTTGTTGTCTTAATGATAATAACAAGGAGTTTTAAAATCCAGAATTTTTTTATTTTTTTGAAACCATGGTACCTGTTTAGCTTATGTTAGTCATAGTATTGGGTCGATATTCACTTAAACATTGTTGTGTTGATATAATAGGTTGTTTAGTATTTTATATAAGTCTCCTCTCCAAAACTAATAGTGTTTAATTTAAAGTTTTATTTTCTTCCTACAATTAATTTTTTTTTCTGATAGTTTCATCTAGTTTTTCATTTAATTCTTCGATTTTAAAATCAGATTTATATACAAGAGACTTCAATTTTTCTATTTCATAACTTTAATCGTAAATTCCAAAATGTAATTTCAATTTTGTAACCTAATTATAAAAATTAATTTTTACATCGGTTTGAAATAATTGACTATTCGATAAATCATTAGAAGTTAAAAATTAATTAATGTTGAGAGAAAATTGTTTTTATAATTGCTATATTTCATTTTGTAATTCATTTATTTTTTATTCTCTGTCTAATAGTTGTTTTTCTAAACTAACAACCTTATTTTGTAATTGAATAACTTAGGTTTGAAGTTCTGGAACCTTTATTGATAAGGCATTATATAGGTTTTGCAGACAGAGATTTTCAATCTACAATGTATCTGATGATATAGGATTATACTAGGGATCTTTTTTCATATTCTCTAGATTTTCAAATTCTTTTTCTAATAGAAATGTTGCCTTTCTTAAGACTTTTTTTCTTAAAACAGGATTTTTGTTTTTAATCTAATAAAAAAAATCACTATATGTAGTATATTTATGTTAATAAAACAAATGGGCAGGATTCATGGCCAGATAATTTCTAATTTATTTAGTTGAGAGATTAACTTGATTTTTGAGTAGTTCTCTTAACTGAATGATCATCGATAAAGGTATTAATTAATGAGGAATATTCTCCTGAATGTTTTCAAAATAAATGATTTTTGGAAATTTAACCCCTAGCTTTACTAGCTTTTCATAGACGATCTTAAAAGAACTTAAATAGTATGATTGGTAATCTAAAGGAAACCATCTACTCCAAACTCTTATGCATTCTAATACCACTCTAAAAAATTATTCTCCAGTAACTTGCAAATCTCTATTATCTAACAATATTTTGAGTAATGAAACCTGAATTCGGACATTCACCATTTAAAAAATAAGTTACTCCTCTATCTGGGTCATCTGATGTATATTTGTATTTTGCAATATCTTCAAATAAGGGCAATAACGTTTTTTAGAGTGCATAAATGTAATTGCTATTAAATGTTTCGACAAGTTCTTTGTTTAACTAATTTAAGGTTGAAATATACTTTCAAAGCCATGAGTTTTGTATTGGGACTTTCAAATGGATCTTTGATTATTTTCACTATAGAAGATTGAAGCTATTTAATAAAATATCTATAATTTATAAGTTGAAAATGTCACATATCAGAATATAGGATTTTGAGTTTGAATTCTTCAGTTTTTTAGTAAGTCTCATTTGAACTTAAATATTATCTCAAAATTTAGGTTTCCATTTAATTATTAATATTAAAAATAATATCATGCAATATCAAAACTTGAACTTTTTAAATGGTTTCATAAAAGGACCATAAGAGAATTTAGGATCAGTTACAGCAGGATAATCTCCTTTTTGTTTTCTAAATATCGTTTAGTTTTCCTTAAATTTATCTTAATATTCCCTATTGAAATTTGGGTAGCACAGACCACCCAAATCAGCTATTTCACCCATTCCACCCTTGGTTATCAATGCATAATGTTACTTTCTTCTTGTGCAAGATCTTCAATTCCTACTTTAGATCATGAAAGGGCTATTATTTTCCTTGAGTAAAGGAAATAAAATCGAATTTGACTGATGGTACATTCATCATTGACCCTGGCTGTACTTATTTTATATCTTATTGAGAATTGTTGGCTTTTGAGTATGATGTCTGTTGCATTTATGCTTGTTCTTGAGCTGACTCAAACTTGGCCTTTCTTGGGAAAGGGTGATCTTAAGCCTACCCCAATTTCCTTAATGGAGGTAGGGATTACTGTTGTCTATTAAAATCCACGCAAGTGATGATATTATAGTCTCTGTTTTCAATTTAGTATTTTGATGCTTTCATTATATATATATTTAATATTTATTTTATCTTAATAATGGCAGAAGTACCAGATGAAATAAGGGATTTATAGAGCAATGTCGCCCTCAGTATGCTCACCGATCTTTTTAAGTTTATACCCCATAATATATCATAGACAAGGGAAAATCAATTAAGAGCAGTGCGATTCATATAAGAAAAAATTTAATAAACTTCATGATACGGTTGTTTAAACCTTTAAGAATCATCACTTTTTATGGGAGAAATCCAAAAAGCTGAAAACACAATTGGCAACCGAGAAGTAAAATTTCGAAACTGCTATAAATGATCAAGTATTAAGTTTGAAAATACATTTCCTAGGCTAATGCACAGGAGAAGGCATAGAATTTAAATGCGAGTTTAAAAAAGACAGAGGCAGAATATGAAATGATGGAATAATTGATTGATGCCAAATAATTTTAATGTGAAGAAGTAGAACACGAAAAATCTATAATATTAACTAGAATATCTGAATAAGAGAAAATGGCCAAGAGTAAGGCATTACCTGAGATGCTCTAAAAAGATGCTGAAATAGAAAGAGAGAGAGATTTATTATTAGAATATAAATAAAAGATTGAGAGTGAATAAAAAAGTATTGATGAGAAAACAGAAAAGATTGAACAATTGAAGATTGAGAATGATGAGAAACTCAACAAAATAAGTAAATTGAATGATGAATATATTAAAATAAAGGACGATCCAAATCGTTTTAGTAAGAATGCAGAAATGTTGAAAAGTGCCAATAAAATTATGTTGAAGGATCTATAAGGATATAAGGATGATATAGGTAAAAAAAATAAATAGATTGATGATTTAAATATGGAATTTAAAAAGTTATAAACTAAATTATAAGAATATGAAACTTAAATAGAAGAGGAAAAAAAAGCAACAGAAACTAATTAGAGAGATCAAGCCATCTAAAATGATCTTTCGGCAAAACTAAAAGAAGAAATTAGTGATTTAAGCAGTTAAAAAGTGGCTAATGATATTGAAATTAGAAATTGTTAGTTAGAAATTAGAAGACATAGAGATACAGTCAGTTCTTTAAAAAAGGCAATCGATCTTGATAAAAAGGAATTAAAGAAATAATAAACCTAAATGCAGTAAATTAATGATACTCTTCATGAATAAAAGATGATTTTAGAAAATATAAAAAAAGAGATTGTGAATTTAAAGTATGAAATTGAAAAACAAAATGAAATTGGAGAAAATATTGCTGAAGAATACACAATGTTAGAAGGAAGAGTTAGAAAAGTAAAGGACAAAGCAGAAGAAAAAATGTAGGAATAAACTAAGGTAGATACTGAAATCAAGAAATTTGAAAAATAAATGATTGAATTACAAAACTTTGAGGCTGAAGGGTTAAAGAGAGTTAAAGCATTAACAGCAACTAGAGAAAGTATGGCTAGGAAAGCTTCAAGTGCATTGGCTGAAGTAAGAGAAACAAGAGAAGAACTCAAAATTAAAGAATTATTAATTATGGATCTTTAAAAAAAAGCATAAGAAACAGAAGCAAAAGAACATAATTATAAATCATTATACGAAGAAGTTAAATAGGCAAGAAATAAATACGTGAATATGATCCAGAATAGTTCTCAAGATTTAGCAGAATTAAAGGAAAGAATTAAGATATTATAAAATGAATTAGAAATTTTAAAAAATGAGTCTCAAGAGAAAGAAAGGACTTTATTAGAATATAGACATTGTTTACAGGTTGAAGTACATAAGAAAGATAGAAGTCATGCAAAATTAAATAAATTGGAATATTAAAGGAAAGCTAAAAAAGAAATCATTGATTAAAATATTAATGAAATTTAGAAATTAAATATGATCATATCTTCATTAGAAAAAGATATGTTAAATTTGAGAAAATAATATGAGTAGGTTTGTGAATCAAGAAATCACACAGGCATAGTATTGATTGATAGAAATGATGAATTATGCATTATGTATGAAAAATGTAACATATAAGATAACATCTTGAAATCTGGAGAACTAGAAATAAAAAGATTGGAGGATGATATAAGAATGATTAAGATTGAAATTTAGGAATAAAAACGAAAAATTGATGTAGCAAGAAAGGACATTCTATAAATACCTTAGTTATCATCGAAAGTCATTTAACTCAAAGATGAATTAGAATTAGAAAAAAAGAAAGAGTCTCAACTTTCAGAAGAACTGGAAAATCCAAATAATTAACAGAGATTTAGGGAATTAGGTGGTGAAGATCCAGATTAAGAGGCGTTGGATGCAAAAATACATGTATTAGAAGAAAGATTGAATAATAAAAAAGAATAGTTATTAGAGAAGGAATTAATCTTAGATGAAATTACTAATTTATCTGAAAAACTAAGAAAATAGGCGTTGGATGGAAGATTGTCAACACTTGAATTGTCTGAGAAGGTCAATGAATTTTAAGCAAAATTAAAGGACTTAACCAGGAAGATGATGGCTACTATAGCCGAGTTATCAATGTATTAGGCAACAGCCATAAAATTGCAATAAGAAAAGGATGAGTTAGAAAATGTTGTATAAGATGCAAGGCAAAGATTGGAAAAAAGTTTACCTCCTTTGCCAGAACATGAGGATGAATATTTAAGATAATAGAAGGCTTAAATTAGATATTTAGAAGACAGGTTAATTTTATATTTATTGTTAGACGATAAAGATTAGAAAAGGAATAATAGGAGAAAATGTTTGAACCATTTTCTTGTAAGACTATGGCTAAATAAAGAGTTCAGCAATACATTCCAGATGACAACATCGGGGCACCATTACCAAAGAATTATGGTAAACAGGCTCCATTTTATCCTCCTGAGTCGAATGCACAATTACGCTTTTACAAGAAGCCAAAGGTTAAGGAAATAGAAATATGAAAATTATTAAATTTATATGATTAACTCATAATCATAACCTAATCACTTAAATTAAAGTGCCTTTCCTATAAGCGAACCAACCTTGGAGCAGATCAATAGAAAGCAATATGGAGACACTCTCAGACAATAGATTGACTAAAAAAAAATGAGATAATAATAGGAAAAGATTTAGGAAAGACTTTTGGTAATGGATAACAATAATTTTAAAGGAATTGCAGTTGGCTAATGGTCAAACAAATTCTGGAAGAGGAGGTGGAGGAGCACCTTTACGAGATCCATATGGAAATATAACTGTAAATAATAATTAATACCATTATCACTAGACGACAAGGAAGAATCCCATGGATCCCAATTTATAGTCAGCCTAATTATTTGGTCCATCTAATTCTTCATTAACATCAAACCAATTTGATAATATGAGCATAAGTTAATTTCCTTCATAATAATAAAGACTTATTACTTCAAATCAAAGTATGTTTAATCTACCAGTTTCTAATAATGTATTAAATTGATTAACTTAGAGTATGAATTAAAGTTAATTGAGTTACATTGGGGAATAGATTGCTTTAAATGAGAAAAGATAAAAATAATTTATGTTACAAAGAGAATTAGTTTAATAAATGGAAGACGCAGATAGGAAAAAATAAGAAGAAAAATTGAGAATTAAAAGGGATAAAGAACTGGATGATTTGAGAGTAATAAGAGAGAGAGAGGAATTGGAAAGAAAAATGAGAGATGAATTTGGAATTGATAAACTAGAAAAAAGAAATTTATAAGAAACTAATTTTGATGTTGATGGCTTGAAAGCATTGAAAAGACTAGAAATGTTAAAATATTAAAATGAGTTAATTGAATAATAGAATAGAAAGAATGCCAAAACAGGGGTGCGTTAAAGAACTCCTGTGTAAGATGCAGAAAGAAACTATAAGGATTAATAAAATGATTTAATGAAATCAAGAATTGAATAAAGGATAATAAAAGAATTACCTATTGAAGTTGAAAAAACTGTCAGAGATACTATCAATGCTGAATTGTAAAGATTAAGATAAGAAATGAATCTACAAACTAATTAGGTTTCTGAATAAGTAGTGCAATTGAAAGGTTAATTACTAAAAGCAAACGAGAATAGACATTATAATGAAGATTAATTAAGAAGATTAAAAGAAGAATTAAGATAAACTTAAATTGTAGATGAAATTAGACAAAGAGAGCTTTACCAAGCCTTTTTGAGTTAGGATAAAACTAGATAAATAATTGATACCACATAAAGATTAATGACTCCTGAAAGTGTCAAATTTACATTTCCAAAAAGACCAAGACCTTATTACAATTTAGCAGATCCCTACTTAGGCACCAATGATGAGGCAAACAAAGATCTTAATTAAATATTTAATGATACTACATAGATGGTACCGGTTTCTTATGATTTTGGAAGCAATAATTATGATAAAGATAGAATAGAGGATAAGTTGCTTTATTCTAAAGAGGAAATGAAGGAAAATGGGAGACTAGGTGTAGAAATGAATCCAAATGATTTACAAATGCCTGAAGATTATCTCAATAGACAAAAACTCTATGTAGCTAAAAAGTATGTCGATACTCGTCCAGGGAATAATTATGATTTAGCAAGCTATGATAAAGCATCAATATCTCCATAAACAAATTACGTTTCTCTGATTAGTAGCACTCACCCTCATTATATAATGGAAGAAGATGAAGTCAAGGATGTAATACACAAATATTCTGGTAATGTATTTATACTATGAATAGATAAGTTGGATAAATTAGAGGAGATTGATGCTCATCAATAAAGAAAGAATTATAATTAAATGGATTCTGCATTATAAGATCTACTAGAATAACAATAGAATAAAATCAATCGAATAGATTAATACAAAGAACATTTTGAATACAATGACTATTATTCTCCTGATTACTAAGGTACTAAATTTTATAACAAAATGGCCAATATTTTATCAAATTGAAACGATAATTTATATATATATGAATCTGTAATATAGAAGTAATTTAAAATTAAATTAACATTCCTAAATAATCCAGAAATAATATAAATTTCTTTTTAGAGTTTATTATTTTAATATTATTGTAAATTTCTTATGGATATGTAAGAATAGCAATTGAATGTTTAAGTGGCTGTGAGAATTCGACCCTTAAATTAAAAAGAGATTATTGCTAAAGAATAAAGTTGTTTGAAATCTGATAGGAACAGTGTATTTTATTTTACAATCTTAGATCATTTTACCCTAAAATGGCAAATCCTTTTCATTTGATTAAGTGTTCAATCAGGACTCTAGTCAAGATTAAATATTCTAATGGTAACATCAATTGTAAATTATATGAAGTTGTGTTACTAATCTGATTTTGCGATGTTTTGAGGGATACAATAGTACTATATTGGCATATGGTCAAACAGGTTCAGGTAAGACTTACACGATGGGGACATCTTCTATAGATCAGTTTACGGGTTAGGATGCATATTCATTGTAAAATCAAAGTGATTGTGGAATGATTCCAAGAGTTGTTTACTTTTTATTTTAAGAAATAGAGAAAAGAAAGTAGGAATAGGACATTAATATTACATGTTCTTATGTAGAATTGTATAATGAATAAATAATTGATTTACTTAATGAATCAATAATTCAAACTAACGTGCAACCTACAATAAGAGAAGAAAAAGATCACACAATATCCATTTAGAATTTGACTACCATTCCAGTTACTAATGCACAGTATATGATTGAAATCTTAAATCGAGGAGGAGCACATAGAACAACATCTGCAACCTTGATGAATTTGAATAGTTCAAGATCTCATGCCATTTTCACTATTTATTTTGAAATAAACAGAGAATCTGAAGAAGGATCATTGAAGGCTAAATTTCATTTTGTTGATTTGGCTGGTAGTGAGAGGTTAAAAAAGACATAAGCAATAGGAAAACAAATGGAAGAAGGAATAAATATAAATTAGAGCTTGTTAGTATTGGGAAATGTGATTAAAACTTTGAGTGACTAGAAGAAATCTAGTCATGTGCCATACAGAGAAAGCAAATTAACCAGGTATTAATTCAATGTATGCTTAGAATCCTTTAAGATTCTTTGGGCGGAAATTCAAACACTTACATGATAGCCTGCATATCTCCAGCTGCAAGCAATTACGAAGAAACAATAAATACTTTGAAATACGCAAGCAGAGCTAGAGAGATAAAAAATAAGCCAACTCAAAATAGAGTAAATATAAGTCTTATGAAAGGATCCTCATGCAGCTCAGGTTATGGCATTGAAATAATCCATCAATTATTTGAGTGATTAAATTAAGCAATATTAGTAATTACTGGTAGAAAACAATATAAATACCGACAGTGTAAAAATTAATCAAATTGCAATTACTGATCTAATTTATTAAAACCAATAGTAATCTTGTACTTACCACACTGATTAAATTAATAAACTAAAGTCATAGAACTTATCACTGGATCAGAAGTTATCATAAATTTAAAAAGATTTTTTATTGCTTTAGAAAGATTATAGTGAGAGTGAAATTGAATGTTTTAAGGCTAAGAAATAGAGAGATTAGGTCTTGAAATGGTTTTAGGATGCTCGAAAGTATATAAAAGTGATATTCTAGATTGCTCATATAGAACAATATAACGTCAAATTTTGTTGAAGATACAAATTTGGATAGTTATTATAATGAAATTTTCAATTTGAAAAAAATAGTGTAGGAGTAGGAATAGAAAATACAGTAGCTACAATAAAGGAATGATACTTTAATAAAGGTAGTTCAATTTGATAAATATCTTAGTATAGGAGGCACATAGGGATTAAAAGTTACTACTTTTACAGTATCACAAATAAAACAAGTTATTAAATTTAGGAGAAACTAATGATGAATATGAGATGGATGAGACTGAGTTTTTGGAGAATGATCAAAAGATTGAGGAACAAGAAAATCATCTGATAGAGATGGATAAACAATAGACTGAAATTAAGTTATAATTATAAAATGAAATCAAATAGGATTATCATAAATAAATAGCTAATTTGGAGTTAGAAAAATTTAATTTGCAAAGATAAATAATCACTAAATAGGATTCAGCTTAAATTAACGTTTTAAAACAGAAAATTTAAGAGTATGAAACCAAAATTTAAGAGATGAAACAAAAGGAGACAATGTCTAAACAATTAAATAAAAAATTAGAGGAACAAGAATCCTAAGTGACTCATTTGAAAAATAACATTGAATCTATGAAAAAATAAAAGGTAGATTTATTAAAGAAAATGAAATAAGAAAACTAAAAATATATGAAAGAAAAAGATGAATAGCAGAAAGAGTTAATTAAAACGAAAAAGCTTAAGATATAATAAGATACCATTCTTTGTAAATTAAGAAATGAGAATACAAAAAAAGATATTTAATTAAAAAGAAAGGATGATGAACTATTAAAATAAAAGAACGAGAAACTTGTCATTAAATAGCATAATAGGTATAATCCAAATTAATCAGCAGTACAATATGATACTTTTGAAAAGTAAATTGACGATTTATTTAATGAACTCATTATGGGTTAGTAAGCCGAGGAGTAAATTACTTAAGAGTATAAAAAATTGGAAGAAATTTAGGAAGAATTACAAATAATTCAAAATAAAATATGTGCCATTTAAATCAAGATTGATTAATTAGAATTTGACATTGCATAAAGCAAAAACTAATTAAACTAGGAGACATAAAAATAATTAGAGATTGAGTTGGGTGATTTCTAAGAAAAAAGAGAGAATATCAAGGAAACAATAGAATTTTAAGTTTAAAAAATTAATGAATTTAGAGCAGTAACTTAAAAATCTAATGAATATTACACGACGATGATGACTAATCAATATTTTAAGGATCTACCTAATTGGTGCATAAGATCTTTTAGATATGTAATTGATAATTGGGTTAAAGATCATATTTTGATGAGTGACTATGCATAACAGATTGAAGATTTGAGTTAAGCAAATTAACTTTTAATGAGCTCACGACCGAGTCAAATGAGGAAGTCAATAAGATCAAGTACTCCTAATGATGATTTGAAAAGACAATTAAATGAATACAAAAGAAAACTATAAGCTTCTTAGAATACTTTTAGGACAACTAGTTTGGAATTAGATTATTATAAAAACTTTTACAATGAATAGATAAATAAATAATAAAAAGATAAGTCAATAGGATTAAAAGCTTAGTTGTAACATTCGAATTCAAATTATATTGCACGTAACTATTACCCAAAAGATGTTAAGAATGAGTAAGAACCTTAGACTTTGTCTCGTAATAAATCAATAGGTCCAATTAGTTCAAGTGCAAGAGTAAGGAGTTCATGTTCAATGGCTGATTATATAAATTGTTCTTAAGAATTTGGAGGTTATGAGTAAGTAGTTTACTATTACCCATTTTTAGATTAATAAAGACTTTTTATGGACATGATCAACCAATTTTATCCCTGTGCCATAAAGAGAACCTTCTATTCTCTGGGTAGTATAAATAAGTTAAGGTTTGGGATATTGAGACATCACAATCGTTAAGTACAATAGAGCAAAGTAGTCATTGTAGAGCAATCCATTATTGGGCTGAGAGAGATTCAATAGCAATATCTCATGGCTCATAAATCACTTTGTATGATCCTCAAACCTTTACTTCACAAGGATTGTTAAAGTCAACAATTGAGGAAGTGAAAGCAATGACAACAATAAATGGATTATTTGTAGCAGTAGGTAAATCTACGAATTCCAGTGCTTTGAATATTTGGGATCATAGGCAGAACAAGTATAAGATATTATCAATTATTTTAGTATTTTATATGAGTTTGAAAAAGGATCAGATATTCTGAGTGCATATGGGTCTAATGAGAATAGAGAATTGATTTATGGAACATTAAAACATTACACAAAGAGAATTCCTTTTAGTAAGAACAAATACGGATAGATTCAACAATTGTCACCTCCTTAGTTAGATAAAGTGACTGGAGTGGCATCCTTTAGTAATTTTATTGTTAGTTGGTATTAATGTGTTTGTAAATATTAGTTCTTTAAGTAAGAGAATGTTGCTATGGAATTAATAAACAGGTTTAGAGATGTAGACAAATGATAGTATTCATAAGGATTTGATAATGACATTAGCAGGTAAGTGATCAATTCTATGTAATAGTTGATAAATCATTGAAGTTGATATACACAGGGTCAAAGGATGGGTAAATAAAGGCAATTAAAATAAATGAGGAGGGCAAATTTCAACTTGTGAATGAGATGAATGCTTCCACACAACCAGTGAATGTTGTGAATGTGATCTAATCAAATAATTATGTTGTAAGTGGTGGATAAGATAAATTAATCAAAATATGGAAACCATCTAAATAATTATTACAGTAACAAAATCTTATAGGGGAATTTACTATAGATGACAAAGTGTGAATTAATTTAAGTATTTTAGTGTTAAAAAAGTTAAATAATTGTAATTTAAAAGAACTATACGATAATGTTATTAATCATTTCAATATTGTCACCAAAGATTGGACTAACATTCTATCATATTAACCACCTGCTTGATGATTCATTTATATCCATTTGTGTATAGCCATTTAATCTAATCTAAGTCTTTGTTATGGATCTTTTCTCAAACAGCATTTAGTAAAATCCTATAATTCATTTGAGACATATTTTGGAAAGTCTACTCTGCCTTCTATAATTTTTCTCATTGTGTCTTCTTTGGATGATTGATAAAATGGAGTAGTTCCAGTGGTTAATTCATATGCCAAAATTCCTATAGACCACAAATCAACAGAGTGATCATAATCCTACCCTGAAGCTATTTCTGGACACATATAATCTATAGTTCCACAGAAGGATTACCTTGGTTTTGATTCAGGAGAATAAGTTGCTAAACCAAAATCTGCAATTTTTAAGAATTACTAAAATTGAATAAGAATTAGATACTAGACTAATTAGAATGTTTTCAGGTTTGATATCTCTATGAATAACTTTCATTTTATGCATGTATGAAATGCCTTCAACAATTTATGCTATGTAATTTCCAGCTTTATTCTCAGTGAACCTACGATTTGGCTGTTTTTTTAATAATTTATATAGTTCTCCATCTGGTGCATATTCAAGTATTAAAACAATCTAGTTGTAATTAAAGCACAATTACTTTAGTTTATTCTTAGAATACTCCATAGAGTTTTAAGATGTTAGGATGACTCAAATAGCTTTGTATTTTGATCTCATGAGCCAATTGAGCTTCCATTTTATACTTACTAATAACAGTCTTCTGGATCACTTTCAGAGCAACCAAGACTTTCGAAGTCTTCTCTCTATGATAGTGTAAAGATATACTATGCTTAAAAGACATCACTGAATTTTCCTTTGCCCAAGAACTTGCCAATGTGAAATCTATCAGATATATTTTAATATTTGGGACTGAGGAGTTCCACTTACTTTAATTGCATTCTGATAGCTGAACCATTTGAAAAGGGAGAAATTGGAGACGGACATTCGGCTGTATCTGGAGTGCGAATAGGGGATTTAGATGCGCATTGTCTTAAGGCGGGTTTGTCCTTCTTCTCTATTGATCTACTGTTATGTGGAATTATTAAGGGAGGATTCGATTTTTGAATGATTGGATTGGGATTAGAAATTTTGTTTTGCTCCTCTGATTGTATGATGAGTTGAGTAAGTGCTGATTGCAATCTCAGTTTGATATTCTTTATTTATTGATCAATCCTTGTCGTAGTCTAGACTACTTTCTACCAATCATTATCCTCGCTTTGCATTATTATAAATAAATAATTTCTTATTTCAATTCCATAACAAGGAAGTAAAGGAAAAATTATGATTAAATAATTATCCAATAAATGAATTAATAGGCAGATAAGTTACGCTCATATGCCTAAGATAATGTGGTATTCCTATTATAGAGACTGATGGAAGACATTTTGTCACAATAGCCAAAGAATGTGGTAAGGTGAATTGATGATATTGAGATTGATTGGTCAATTGCATGGTTAGACAAGAAAGGCAGAGACATAGTCAAATCAAGACAGAGACCAAATGCCTAATCTTCGTCCTCGGATGAAGAGGTAATTGAATTGCCTAAAAGGCCTGCTGCAGCTCGTAAATAGAGAGCTTCAATTTCTGCTGAAGCATATGGATAGTACAATAGAAAAGAGGTGTATAAATAATTATAGAATTTCAGTCTTTTCAACCTAGAGTGATTGTCAAGTCCCAATAATAGAAAGAGATTATCAGCAAGAGATTATCATAATCATTTATGTTTGCCTCTTTGGATAGCAGAGAAAAAGATATAGTAATAGATGCTATGGAAGAACGAAGTTATAAGTATGAACATTTGCTAGCTCTCTATATAGTGTGGACGATTGGGTAATCAAATAAGGAGATAATGGGGATAATTTATATGTTGTTGATTAAGGGGAATTGAATTGCTTTAAGAGATTCACTAAGGATGGCGAGAATAAATTCTTGAAAGTGTATTATCCTGGAGAGTCATTTGGAGAGTTGGCTTTACTCTATAATGCTCCCAGGGCAGCATCCATTTAAAGCAAAACCAATAGTGTGTTATTTGCTTTGGATAGGTAAACCTTCAATCACATTGTCAAAGATGCAGCTATGAAGTATACTAATTTACAATTCATTTTAGAAAAAGAGAAAAATACGTCAATGTTCTTAAATAAATTGAGCTTCTCTCCATGATGGATCCATATGAACGATCTCATGTTGCTGATGCTATCAAGAGTGCCTCCTTCTAAAAAGGAGAATATGTCATAAGAGAAGGTGAATAAGGAGATATCTTTTATATGATTGAAGAAGGCAATTTGATTGCAACCAAGACTTTAGTTTAAGGATAAGATCCAGTCAAAGTGTTTCAATATAAAGAGGGGGATTATTTTGGAGAATTAGCTTTACTTAAGGATATACCTAGACAAGCTAATATAGTTGCTGAAGTAATTTGAATACTAATTAATAGACTGAAGTGAAATTAATATACCTGGATAGACATAGCTTTAAAAGAATGTTAGGGCCCTTGGAAGACATTTTAAGAAGAAACACAGACAAGTACCAGAAATATGAGTAATATTGGATCACTTAAGGTAAATGAAAATGTATCATTTATTTATCATTCAATGCTTTCTTTTTCTTTTTTGTTCTTTATTTTATTTCTTGTTTCTCTTTAAAGGTTGAGTCTAAACAAAGCTGGTTGAATAAGTGTCTTAGAGTGAGATCACTCTTGCTCCACATCCATTAGCAACTTCTACTATTTCTTCTTGTTTCTTTTTAAAAATATCATAGGCTTCTTATTGATATTGCTTTAAATAGTTAAATATTGAATACATAGTCATTCATAACTTTTTCTAAGAATTCAATCATGTTGATTAACTCATCCAAGATCAAATCGCAGAGTTCTAATTTACGATTTTTTCTTTCTTATAAATCTTATGTTCCCATGTCAGTATCCAATGAAGTAGCCATAGCAACAATTCTCTTGATTTTCTATGATAGATGAAAATGAATACGCTTTTATATTTAAGTGATTTGCTCTAATTCATAACCTCCAACAAGACTTTAGCATGTCCCTTAAGATTTTTATTATGTTTTTTCTTGCTATCAACCAATAAATGTTATGGGATTTCACCTGCTCCCCAACCAAATGGATCATCATTCTCTTCTTCTTCATCATCCTCTTAAACTTCTTATGCTGGTTAAACTGGTTATGGTTCAGATTATCCAGTAGGTTGTTAGGTAGACTATTAGGTAGGTTATTGTGTAGGTTATTCAACAACATTGTTATTATTGTTGGTTTAGTCCTTCTCGAGTTCTAAATTGAGATGATTAAATTACCTTCATCCAAATCTTAAATATATTCTCTGACTAATTTAATTTTATCTCTGGCTTAAGTAAGTACACTGTGATCCTCTTACATTTCAATTTCACCTTCTTCAAGTAATTAAATCCATGGTAAGAACCTGAACATATGAATAAGAGATACGCCTCATATTATTATGTGAACTAATCATCATTTCCACAGTGGTCTCCTGACAATGTTTATGGATCAAACTCTAAGGCTTGCTAGAATGATTCAAAATCAGTTGCAGCCACAGTCAGAATTAGTATGCATACAAGAGATGCTTTCATAATTTGTATATTAATAATAATACATAAATTCGTTTTTAGAATCCATAATTGTTCACTCCTCAAATAATAGTTTCTGCTTTTGTATTTATATTAATATATTGATCATTCATGATACTTGGTAAAATCATAGACAGTGATTCTTTCCTCCTCTTGTCCCCAAACAAAGCAAACGTAGAAATTCTTATTCTTGAGACTTGAGTGCAACTCATGAATTCTCACTCTCTTGATATAAGCACCATTGGCAGCATTATCGATTTGATCAATTTATTAGAACTACAATAAAATCGTAGCATTTCGGTTATAAACATGTACGTTTCGATCAGCAGCTACTACCAGAATGTTTTCATTTACTGCAGCTGCACTGATATTTTGAAGTTCAACCTTAGTTAATAACTTAGCATCCTCTTTAAGCTTTCTCTCAGTGTTCAATCTATACACTCTGCACTATGACTTATTACACAAAGTAGCCAAAGTTCCATGTTCATTAAGACTTGCATCCAATACACTAGTCTTCTCACCTCTCAAGACTTCTTCTTTTTCCAGAGTCCTAAATGTGTGATCCTTATTGAACTTAATCTCATAGATACTTGTGTCCACACTCCAAGAACTCACTACCAAAAATCCCTTCATAAAACAAGAACTATAATGTTCACCATATGATGTATTTATTTCCTTCAACAATTCTCCCTTCATATTCCATACCTTGATGTGAGTATCTGAACTTGTAGAAATGAGAATTTTATCATTTTCATCAACATGTAAACTATTAATATCACTTTTATGGCAATTTTTAGTTTTAGGAATTACCTTGAAATATTATTTATCCTCTGCTTTTGGGTAGAATTCTAGATTGAATAATTGGTTGTTTGCTGAGAAATAAGCAATTTCCTCTTTTTTAGATATACAGATTGCTGTTGCATGTGTGTCATTCAAAGTATGGAATAAATATTTGGGTTACTCTGGATTCTTGAAAAATTGTTCCATCTCAAATAATTTGATGCTATTATCAAATCCCGTTGCTATCAAATATCTGTTATTGTATGCAAAATCGGTTATGTAATCAGAGAATCCTTTTACTGAAGATAAATACAGTGGATGAGTAACTAAAATAATAATTATTATTTACTTTTGCTTGAAGATTTCTATTTTTCCTTATTTTATAAGGACTTATTATGCTTCTCCTATTTGAGCAATTCCTTATATGATATATGAGAATGATTCTCTTATTTTTACTGTTAGCTCTCCTATTTGATTTATTGTTTTTAGCCATCTTTAGACTATTATTATTATTCTTTTTCAGAATTCTTTCGCTTTCCTTATTTTTGGTTTTTCTCCTATTTATCCTATTTTTCTTATGTCTTTTATTTTTGTTTTTTGACTTCTTCTTCATTGTTGGTCTTTTCAATTCTAGTAATTTTGGTATATGCTCTAGAATTCACATACTTGCAAACACTTGCCTTGTAGACAGAGTACAGTATGTATATGGCTGAAAATTCAATCAATATTTTCAAATAATCATACTCTGGCCATATAATTTTACTTGTGTATTCAAACAAACCTATTTCCATTATAATTAATATAAAAATGATAATTTGTTTTGATTTCTAAGTATTTAAGTTTTATGGATGTGAGAATGTATCTAATTTAAAATAAATATCTCAATTTTTCTCAATATAATGTCTCAATCATTATCAATTCACGTAGAATCGAGAAAAATGTTTGTTTTACAGCAAGTTAATCAACTTGAAGCACTCCTTAATAAATGGATCAGCTCAAACAACCTCAATGAAGAAAATACTCATTCATCTCATATGGAAGAATAAGTGACACAAAGTCAAACAGCAACTCATATTTCTCACTTCTAAGGATTCCTCACTTATTTACGATCACTCAGTATTGATGAACTAGCTTGCCATACAATTAAATCTCTCCAATAACACTTTGATTATATGTAGTAAGTTCTAGAGAATGAAGTCAAGCTCTATCAATAACGACAATTTCTCAAAGATCAAGAAAAATAAGATGAGAAAAAGGGTCATAAATTTTCTAAGAAATCAAACCTAATTCTAAAAAACTGGTTATATAAACATTTCTCCTATCCATACCCAACAAAGGAATAAACTTTGTAACTAGCCGAGAAATGTAATTTGACATACAAACAGGTATTATTAACTTAAGTTCTTAGATTCAAATATGGTTTATAAATGCAAGAGGAAGAATAAACAACAAGACGTATGAAGAGAAGAAATTTAAAAATATTGTTAAATACAAATATTTGTCAATCAATAAAGTTTAATAGAAGCCAACAGAATGAATTATTATTATTAATAAAATTATTAATCAAAGTGCGTATGTAAGCACTCTAATTTACACCATCAATATACTTTAATAAATCAATTCATACAGAGACCCTTACCAATTCATTAAATTAAACACCCTTAAAAGATTCTAAAAATAGATATCCAATTCCTCTTTATTCCTACTATCTTATGTTCAACTGAAACTAGATATTTTTTGATGGAGTTGCCCTATTTTAAAATATGATTAAAATAAAAGAACATAAAATCATAGTAAGGGTGATCTACGTGGAATGTCTGTTGACTCTTCATTTTCTCAATTGAAATATCAAAAATAGATTGGATTACGAGAGATAGAGTTCCTTTTGATTTCAAATTATCTTCGGTATTTTACATCCATATTTAAGGAAATTTCTGAAAAATCTGAAGTAATAATACATGATCCTAAAGACCCATATTTGGTTCAGCATTAAGAGAAAAATTCATAATCGAAGGAAAAGGAGTCCTCAGATAATATTCCATTTATGATCTACCTAAGATTTCAAGGAAGCTTTAGAAATAAACTGGGTTATTACTTTTAGTTTAAGTATTTAAAATCATAGAAGAATTTGAATAATTAACTTATAAAACAAACAAAATGATTAATATTGAGATCTATTGAGTTATATTGCTTTCTTTCTTTTTATCGGTTATCATTAATCTTGGGATTATTTAAAACTTTTAAATAATATTAATATAATTATAATTTCTTAATAAATCAAATAAGTCATAATGATTATTTTCCTTATTTATAATCATATAAAAAATTGATAGTTCTTGACATCCTCGTTTGTAAACTCTTTTATACTCTTCTCATTATGATAGCAGCTAAAATATTAAAATCAAATACCCTATCAATGATACACAAGTTGATGTCAATTTCATACAATACAGTTCATCAATAATGTTAAGAATATCCATGTCCGTCAATTCAAATGTATGATTAAAATTGAGTTCTAAATGCAATAAGCTATAGTTCATTCTTAAAACCTCTAATAATTCTGCCCAAATTTATCTTGTGTATTTGATCCCACTTTATTCGAAATTCAGACTTAAACTTGATAAATTCAATTCCTTCAAAGTCTAAAACAATTCTGATAAGCTCTCTCTGTTTATTGCATGTCTAGTCACAATATAATATCTATTTACCTTTGAAAACTTAAGTTAACCTACTTTAATGATTCAATATCTGACATATATTTAAATAGACTGGAAAATATGGATTGATCATATGTCACTGTGTCGTTGGATGAAAAACTAAATCTCTATAGCTTCATATTTTTGATTCCTTCAAATACAGTTGATGCCAAAAACAGATCTTCGTCTACAAATTATAGCTCGCAACTAATTATTATTATATAAGATTTACTCATCCAAACTGATAGAAAGTGATTTAAGAGAGTCTAAATTAGAAAGACTTATAAACATATTTTTTAAAGTCAAAAGTGAGATATTTTTCATACTAAAATATCAATAATCAATTATTACCTTTGGAATCCAAGATGAAAATGCTGCAAACTTTATAAGTTTAATAAACTATTATGAAACAATTAAAGTGATTTATCTTAAATAACTTTGAATTGATAAAGTTGCAAGGACATTGATTTGATAAAGTCTTAATTTTTATTAAGTAATAAAGACAGAGTTTTAAAGATGAATTTGAATGTTTAAATATAATGAGCACGTATGGTTAATTTAAAGGACTTAATTTATTCCAATTACATCCAAAGTGTTGGTAAGTGTTGCAATTCTTATATCACATGATTAGTTTCAGTTACATTAATACTATTTTTATTATAAAAAATACATTTCAATATTTAATTTTCCTCCATTTAGGTAAAGAAGTTAAGGAAAATACTGTAAGTGTTCTAGAGTTTAATATAAATTTTCAAAAATGGTTCCTCTAAAATCTATATTAATCAAAGTTTCTGAAAGCTTCTATAAGTAGATTAAACTTTTAAAGGTTAGCTTTTTACATTTCTTAATATTGATTTCAGTTAAAATCAAATTTTAACAAATGCCTAGTATATCCTTATCTATAATTTCAGTTTTTTTAAAGCATATTTTAGTAATTGACTAAAAATTGAACATCAATTTAATAAATTTTATTTCAGAGTTATTAATCAATACCTGCTGATTCTATTTTAGTAACCTTTCATAAAACTAATTAGCAGTAAGTTAGTTCTACTATTCAGATTTATCTTAAGTATCCAATTAAAGTGGTCTATTATTCAAAAGTAACCGTTCACCTCCAATACAACTTTTAAATAAATCATAGGTTTCTGGTTCTAAAATAATTTAATCTGTAGTTACGATTTTAGTAAGAATTTAAGTTTACAATAAATTTAAAACTGCTGTTGATATATTTTTAATATTTTTTGTTGATGTATAAATTTCTATTAATTAAATTTCAGATAAGTGATTTCTGATATAATATGTGCACAATTCTGGTATGCTAAATTTAAATATATCCGCTTATCCTCCACTTTCACTTGTGCCACTAATTCCTAGATATTTTAGTTGGTTAAATTTGCCTGTATCAAAGGCCTTCTTCAAATGCTCAGCTTAAATCTAAGTAGAATATGCCAGATTCAAATCTGATAAATTCTTCAACGGTTTGTTTGTTAAATACTCCAAAGAGGATTCAGTTATCTAAGGTAAATTGGATATGTCTAAGCTTTTCAATTGACAAGTTAATGTGTAATGGGCATCACACAATAGATAAATGGATTTGTCAGATATATATCTGCATCCAGATAGGGAAATTGCTCTAAGATTTTTAAGTAATTTCCCAGCTTCAACCATCTAATGAATCAATTTGTCATTTATCAAACAGTTAGCAAGATCCAACTTGTTTATTTTAGTTTTGCTTGCTCCTAACAATGCATACCCGTTTTTTTTAAAGATGCTTTCCTCAACATCTGTAATAGAACCTTAAAAACTCAATAGATCCAACTATTTTACATGTTTTGAATCGTGAATATGATGAAATACAGATAAGGATAGTTTACATTCATTAGCAATAAGAGATCTTAATTCTTTGTAATGACAACTAAAAATCACCTATATTAGTTTATCAGATGCCAATCCACTAATATTAATAGATATGAGATTGACCAATGATTTATCTCTAAATAGTTATAACAATGTCTCTTCTTTGAATTTGCTGTAAGAAATATTTAAAATTTATAGATTTTAAGGCACTGTTAAATAGATCTAAGTATGAGATAAATCTAATTTTTAAACTCCAAAATTTTACAAGAGAGAAATACCCTCATCAGTGATATTTGGGCATCCCTTAAAACTTAATTCTTTAATGGATTTCAAATTGTTTCCTTGTATAAGACCAGAGAGAATAGCATCCTTAAATAAAGAGCCATCAAGTATTAAGGATTCTAAATGGGGATTCAGATTGCATTGATCTAAAATTAGATTAAAATCTTCCTCTTTAAGATCTGCTTGTATTTCTACTTATGTAATGGGAATCTTTTAATTTAGTTTGCATAATGTTCTCAAATACAATTTTTAATCTTAATAAATTGCATTCTATATGTTAACTTATAGAATAGTAAGTATAGTTTTCAAAGCAATGAACCAAATTTATCTTTTAATTTACTTATTTATTTTTATAACCTTGTTCTTCACATCACCTTTGAGAGAACAATTTAAAAATATTAAAGAACTTAGACAATTATTAAAATGAATACCCTCTTTGATCAAACTCATAATGGTTAAAATAACTCAGGATGCCGTCATCTATGGGAGTAAACAAATTTTTGGGAAGCTGCTCAAATGACTATCCATCTATTCTTTAATTCTCATTAATCATAAATAAATTACAATCAACTCTTTCATATTGTTCCACTCTGCTGTGAGTGTATAGCATTATTATTTTATCTTAATATTCAACTGAATGTTTCCCTTCTCTCCAACATCACCTATTGCTATGGTCTCCCCCTCTTAGTTTAAGTAATGTATTTTATCATTTATAACATTTGACCTGCTTTTCTTTATCAAATCGCATATTTTTACACCAGAAGTCAACTCCAGGTATTTTAAAATGTGTATGTCTTGCATTTCACTTAATTATTTGAATTAAACAAGTTGATCATTATATATTATTACAATTATAGATTACTTTGAGAAATGAGCTCCATTGCCATTCTGATTTATTATACTATTTTATTCAGCTTGGGGTAGGTTAGCTATTAATTCTTAGTTATCCTCATTCAAAATACCCTCCATATATGTAAAGGGCATAATTTTATTCATCCCCAGATCATCAATATGCATAACAATCTGTTATCGAACTCCCTTTAGATCGAGGCCTGTGTAAAATTCAAGGCAATTTGCTAAACCTAAATTCACCAACCCTTTCTACTTTGACATTCTCATAGTTTTGCAGATTATCAACACCTCATCATCAATATTAATAATCTCATATTTTATAATATCGACTAGAATTCCCATCAAACCAAGATCTCTCAACCTTTAATTGATCTTCTTCTAATGTTTTACTAATTATTCAGCCATTTCGATTCTTTAATCTAAAGCTCCATCAAAATTAGTTTTAACCACTAAGAGTGAATATTTGTCATTTGTTAATATTTGAATATATTCATAATCCACAAGATCATAAATTTATCCAGCATTACTTAAAGTGCCAAAAAATTCTTCAATCAATGGACTTTTGATGTTGATATTAAAATTCATAAATAATTTATTTGATTAATTAATAATTAAATTATTGAATCTTAATAAAATTAAGCTCTGGGATATATTTATTAGTTTGATGGATAGATGCTAAGAATCCGCGTTAGTATAGTGGTTAGTATTCAAGCCTGTCACGTTTGAGGCCCGGGTTCAATTCCCGGACGCGGAGCTTTTTTTTATTTTTTTTTATTCCTTTAAATTATCAATTATTATCAATCAATATTTATTTTAAGAACCAATAGCTGCTTGTAATAGTGTGGAAATTGTTTCACATTAAACTTTTACAGTTGAACCTCAAGAAATCATATGTTAAATGGATACAGTATTACCATTCTATTAAACCAGTTAAATTTTAAGCCTTAATAATAATCTCGACTTAATTATATCAGATGTAATAAATGATATTTTTATGATCAAATACAACATTTTATAATGTTTTATAAAGTAAGCTGAATAATAATCTTTAAAATACAGTAATAATAAAATTAAGTTAAATCATCATAACATATGTTTCAGTCTCTTAATTTCTATCCGATTTAAAACCTATGCTTCTTATTTGATTTTCTCATAATATAAATTATATCCCTCAATAATTTAGGATATAATTTTTTGTACCAGTTTATTCACCCCATTCACTATTTCAATTATTAACTATGGTTGCATAGATTATCATCGATAATAGCAGGTGTATTACAAAATAAATCTGATGTTTGATGTATATTTGATAATACAGAAATGATGAATAAAAATATATTCACTTAAAGCTTAGTTTATACAACTTTTTAGGACAAATAGGCAAAATACTAAAATGAAGTTTGCAATTGTGCTAATTAACTTCGATTAAGAGAATTATTTTATGATTCAATCCTGTATAAACCCTTATTCATGAAATTTTAATTAGCGTTTTTCCATCGCTGCTAATATTTAATATTTAAAAATTTTCACTCGTTTATGGGATTTCATTACTTTTGATTTAATAGGATTTTGTCTAGGGAATCACAATTACCAATATTATTTCAATTAATTAAGATTCCACTTAAACTCTTACTATTATAAGGTGAAAAACTTTAGAAAGCATTATTAATTTATTAATTATAATGAATGATACGAGGGAAAATGAAATTTGCGAACAAGCAATGAACCAAGTGGAGTCTAGTATTCTCAAATATCTTTGTGATGAATTAAAACTGGAATAATTCACTGATCCACAATTGAAATAATTTATCTATGAAGACTCGAAGAAAAAATAGATATTCTCTTTACGTTCCCTAGACTCTGATACTGAGACTTAAGATAGCTTATCTTGCTCTTCCAGCAATAGATGCTCCCTCTAATTAACTCGATCTCCACTCATTCTCAAAAGGTTAAGTGTTCCCATAACAGAACAAATTTGATGTTGATTTTGTGTGTTTAAGTTTGTTTAAAATCCATTATATATACTATTCTTATCGCTATTATTCTGATAGTGGGTCAAAATGGCAGAACATCATCGAACTGATTTTTCTGTGAACGCGCTGAGTTACTACGTTAAAACTTACTCCTAATTCCAGAATTATAGGAAAAGATTATGATTGATAAGTTAAATAATTCGTTATAGGAAGATTTTCATAAAAATAATTTGCTTGCATATCATAAGTCAAGTTTTTTGAAAACAAAAATTATTACTTTAGTGATTAATTATTTAATTAATCAAATATGTTTCTAATTATTTCTTTAGGACTTCTTCTGTGGTATATAATTGGTTGTATTGCATGGCACAATCGTAATATTAAATAACAAGGGGGAAAAAGAAGGTAAGTCAAAAAAAATTTAATTTTCTTGAACGTGTAAATATTTCTAGATCAATTTCAACTGAATTCATTTTTAACTCCATTTTTTGTTCTTGTTTTAATGGATTTTATCTCTAAGAACCTCCTTAATAGAATAGATTTCAATATCAACGTAATTTTATTATTATTAGAGAAAAATACATAAACAAAGCAATTTGTTTAATACTGCTTGAAGTTTACTTCAATATCAATACTTAACATAATTATATATAGATTGGAAAATGGTGCTTTAATTCTGAGAACATAAATAATTATTTTGTAAAAATAGTATAAATATTAAGAACTGCATTTTTAAGATTACACATCCTTATTTAATCAGAATTTAGATTTTAATTTAGTTAAACAAACCTCAAGTGTATTATTAAAATTCTCTTTTTATACTATTTTAAATAGATGGTATAAATACGTTAATGCTCTAATTCAGCATTTCTTAAATCTTTATATTTCTTAATTTATGAAGTCATAAAGTTTTATAATTAAGCTCTGCAATCTAAATTATTATTATTGCTAAATTAAACTAGACATTCAAATTGTAATTTAAATCCTTCAGTTTTAATTAATTAATGTAATTCTTCATTTGTTATATTGTTTATATTAAATTAACTGCATAATTAGACAATCCTATGTGTATTCTACAAAGCCATTTATATTCTATTCTTTTTTGGTTAACTTTTTGGGAGGAGGATCAATTACTAATGAGATAGTTCTTTTTTTTCTTGATTCTTCAGGAGGTTTGATGATGTCTTTACTTTCTTTTTTTTGAATGGGTTTAGGTTTAGGCAATTAATGAAATTGAGGTTTCAAGCTAAATTTATGAGTGGTAGTTTCATTTTCGGAACTTTTAGTAGTTTCAAAACTTTAAAAATTCTATTTCAATTGTAGAGGAGGAAAAATAGTTTTAGGACTGTTTTGCCTATTTTTATTAGAACTTGGTTAAATTTGCAAGGATCGAATATGTAAAAGTCTATCGTTTTTTAGAATGTCAATCATCTCATCGATGGAATATTTGTTTATATCTACATTCTGTTGAAGGGTTTCCTTTTCTTATTTTTATTTGAGTTTCTCCACAATTCTTTCGATTTATTCTTATAATGTTGTTGAACTAGGACTTTTTGTTAAAGATTATTAATAGCAGGAAACAGTGCTTTAATATCTATTTGTGATTCCTTGATTAAAATGATTTTTGGGTAAAATCCCATTCAATTTGAGTTGTTCCTATTAATTGACAATCAGAAGTGGGTTTAGATTCTCTTTATTAACCTTAGATTATTAATTCACAAGCATTGTGTTTTGTTTCCGTTAACAAATTTTATTAATAATATTTTCTGGAATTAATTCTGATAGAATAATTAGAAGACATTGAGCAATTAAATCCAATATAAAACATGTAAATGAATTGGAATAGAATTACAAAAGTTTTAATTTGTAAATGATATTAAAATAAATAGACAGTTATCTAGATTATCTAAACTAAGAATTATAAATTATAATTGAGATTGATGAATCTTGGATGAGAATGAAAATCTTCAAAGAAATAACATGGATAAAGGATGAATAGATATTGATTTTAAATATATTTTTAAGTTTAATTAATGAATCACTAGGATAATGCATTGAAGGGAGTTCTTAAATAATAATTGATTGTCGATTCAGAAAGTGGACCCTATAAATCAATTTAAGAAGCAATCGATAAGGCTGAGCCCAATACTGTAATAAAAATAGCACCAGGACTTTATTCTTCAAACATAGTTATAAATAAGCCAGGCCTTCGTTTAGAGCCTAAAGAAAAGGTTGGAGATATAATTTTGGTTGTCCCATCGCAGCCTACTGTATTAGTGGATTTGGTAGGTGACCAAGTATGCACATTGATTGGATTAAAAATTTCTCATAGCGGTACAAGTGAAGAAGTAGAGGAATTGGAAAAATTGATTGAAGGGTAGGAAATTGCAAAGAATTTATTTGGAGGTCATGAGGATGGAGGACCCGGAATGGAATCAAATCCAGATGAAGAATTTGTAAGTAAAGTGCCTATAGAAACAAGTATGAATTGTGTTGTATTACTTAATGGTGGTAAGTTGATTATGGAAGATTGTTTCATAGCTTTAAAGTAAGTGATTAATTACTGATTTAGTTTTATTGTTAAATCTTTCAAAGGTATATTACCTGGAGTTGCAATAAATAATGGAGCAGAAGCCACTTTGACTAGATGCGAAATAAAAGGAACTTCATCCAAAAGTTAAGATGCTAAAACTATTGGTATTTTAATAAAGTTGGGAGAACTATCAGTTATAGAAAGCAAAGTGCACAATCATACTTACGGAGGGATTCTGATTCAGCAATCACCCGGTAATAAAACTATTAAAATTTTCAAAACTAAAGTATTATAAAATAAGAAAGTTGGTATTCATGTGGTAGGTGCAGATGCGGTTCCTTTAATAGAGTAATGTAAAATTGAAAATAATGAAGGACCAGGCATCAAAGTAGGAATTGGCAATAAAGCCAAGATTTATTAGAATGATATTAAATCCAATGTTGTTGGAATTGAGGTAATGTCAGCAGAACCTTAGATTTTTTGTAATAAAATTGAAAAGAATTTTACTGATGGAATTTTGACAAAAATATTTGAACAATTAAGGTGTGATTGTAAAATTAGATCCAATCAAACCATTTCCGGAAACAAGGAAAATGGGATTCATTGTACTGGTCTGAACAATTATACAAGGATTGAAGACAATAGCTTTATAGGTTATAACAAAAAGGCAGGAATCAAAGCAGATACAGAATCACGCATAACTATATTTAAGAATAAAATCTTAAGAAATCTAGGCTAGGGAGTGTTGTTAGTTGAAACTTCATCAGCTGTCATAGAGAAAAATGAAATTACTGAGAATATTAAAGCGAATATAGCCTTGGGAGGATCAAATTCAGTAGATACATTTATTGTTGAAAATAAAATTATGGGTGGAAGATGTGAAGGAATATTCTTAATCGAAAGTGGTAAATGTTACATCTTTAGAAATACTATTGCTGAGAATGTATTAATTTATCCTATTTAAATAGAATGATGGTATTGTTTGTATAACAGCAGTTCCCAATATCAGACATAATAATATATAGAAGAATAAAAGTAATGGAATCATGATACTGAAGGATAGTCGACCTGAAATTATTAAAAATAATATTAATGATAATGATGGAATTGGATTGTTTATCAGAGACAAAAGTCATGGAAAAATCCTAAAGAATGTGATTAAATCAAATGAGATTGAATTAGTGGTTGAAAGGAGAAATCCATCTTTAGAATCTATTGTATAAGAAAATGAAATAAGCGGTGATATTAGAATACCTTAGACCTATGATTGCATATTATAATGAATTTATTAATAAGATTACAAATTTATTCAATTTTTCAATAGTAATAACAGTTAAAGTATTAATTAATATGAATATCCATAATTATATAATTTATCAAAGTATTTTTTTCGATTTGTTCTCTTCCATAGTCCTTTTCTTGTCAGCTAATTTAATTTGGGATTGAACAGATCTAAGTTCTTATTCTTATTATTGTATTCTATCTAATATCGGTATGTATTTTTGCGAATACTTTTCCACATACTTAATGTATTTCTCATTTCTTGGACTTTTTTATCCAATCAATTCTTTTCTAAAAGTTGAATTATTTCTTTCTATCTTCAATTTCTCTTTTCTTTAATTATCCGTGAAACTCTCATCATTTTAAGTCTTGAATAAATAGAAATGTATACTTAAGCGCGAACATTCAATAATTCTTATCGAACTACTTCATTACTTTTTTGAACATGATTCTTTAGATTTTATCTATTCAATAGGAACTCATCCTTCTTATTTTTAAATTCTAATCTACTTATATCTCTCTAAATCATCTCCAACTCTTTTTTTAAAGAAATAATATCATTGTATACACCTCCCCCATTTACGGCTTAACATTTTGGTTACTTTTAAGTGCTTTCCTTATTAAAATCTCCAAAAGATTTCTCCTAACTTTTACAGAAGGATAAGTTTAAAGGAGATTTTGGACTTGAATTTTCAAGAAATCTTCTTATATTGGATATAGATGAATTATGAGGGTGATTCATTGATATGTTATTTTTAGTTGACCTGGTTGGTGATTCTAACACATTTTAATTGACTTTGTCTGTTGTTCCTATTTCCATACTTTAATCATTTTATTTTTAAACTGTCGGTTGATCGGGCTATGTTTCTTAAGTTACCTATAATATGGCCACTTCATCAACCTCGTTTTCATCGTTATATTTCTTTATACAAGCATCTTTTAATTCTCTCATTAAGATTTAATGTTTCTCTTCCTCAACTTCTACAATTTTGCTCAGAATTCCCTTGGCAACATCTGCAAAAACTGTTATCTGATTGTCTTTATTTAATTTATCATATTCATCAAGCCAATATTGGCATCTTTCAATTTGCTTTTTGTTTAGTTCATTAACGTTCAATTAAGTTAACTAATTTACTGTCTATTCGTAATTATTCAATAATTTCTATATTCTAAACCACTAATCACTTTATTCGCCCAACAAGTTAAACAAAGCAAATATTTGATATTGTATTTGTTATGGTGGTCTGGACTAGTATTTAATTTTAGTTAGCAAAGGTTTAGAAATATTTGTCAACTTATTTCTAATTAGGTTTCTATCAATAGGAGATCTCTCCCTAAAAGAAATGTACTTTAGGTTTTTATGAGGTAGAGGTGGATATATACAAGGGCATTTCGGTCCCATACACATTTGCAAATAAATTTTTATTAATATTTATTAAGTTAATCAATAAGACTCATAAATTCCTGATAATTTTTATTGTGATTTGTAAATCCACATAAACTATAAGTTATGTTATGTCATCTTAAATCCTTTAATTTATGTATCATAAACATATAGATTAATATAAATTTAACTAATTCATTGATATGACTCTCCCCTCTATCTCTAATACTCTAGATAATCATAAATGTGATCAAATAAAGCATTTTGGCTTTAACAGGTCATAGAACTTACAGATGTTTCCCAATCACAGTTTTGATGGAATAAGGAATTAGCCTTAAAACTTAGATAATCTATATTCACAATTAATTATAGATTGGGTTGCTTGTTCATTTTTTCCATCCTGATACTTCAATTTTTAGATATTGATATTCAATTGTTTTATTCATAAATAAAAAAAACAGGATTCAAGTTGCTATGGAATGTATCGAGAAAATAGTTATTGTTAATTTTATGAATAGAAATTTTAATATAGATACAATTTAATTAAAAATAAAAAAGACTTAATTTAATGTAATGTAAATTTTAATGAAATTTCAAAAGTTGTAAATAATGACGTTGTGTATGCATAAATAAGCTGATTAAATTAAAAAATAATATTTATTATTAAATTTGTTTATAGAAAATGCAAGAAGAGGAGAATAACTAATAGCCATCTCGCAAGATAAAGTTTGCTTTACCCAAAGGGCATTTCCTCTTTACATCCGAGAGTGTAAGTGCAGGTCATCCAGACAAATTATGTGATTTTATTAGTGACAGCGTGCTTGATGCATGTTTAGAATAAGATCCAAACTCTAAAGTTGCTTGTGAATCTGCATGCAAAAACTCTCTTGTAATGATATTCGGAGAAATCACAACTCATGCTCAGGTTCCTTATGAAACCATCGTCAGAGAAGCCATAAAGTAGGTTGGTTATGATAACATAAGTAAATTAAGTATTCTAATATATTTAGGCAAGGGATTAGACTATAGAAATGCTTCAGTTATAGTGTCATTGGATTAATAATCATAAGAAATCAATTAAGCAGTCGTTGGATCCAAACATGAGGATGAAATTGGAGCTGGAGATTAAGGATTAATGATTGGATATGCTTCTGATGAAACCCCAGAATTAATGCCATTAACACATCATCTCTGCAATAAATTGATTTCAAGACTCTAAGAATGCAGAGTAAATGAAATCTGTCCTTGGATGAGACCAGATGCAAAGGTCTAAGTTACTGTAGAATACAAACGAGTAGATTCTTCATTTTATCCTGTTAGGATTCATAATGTACTCATCTCCCAATAACATGATGAGAAAATAACTCATAGTGAAATTGAGGCAGAATTACACAAGCATGTATTAAAGTAAGAAATATTTATTCTATTCATTATAGACACATTTTGCCAGAGAAATACGTTGATGAATAAACACAATACCATTTAAATCCTTCTAAGGCCTTCACTGTTGGAGGACCCTATGGAGATGCTGGATTAACAGGCCGTAAAATCATAGTGGATACATATGGTGGATGGGGTGGCCATGGAGGAGGTGCCTTCTCTGGTAAAGACCCTACCAAAGTGGATAGAAGTGCTGCTTATGCTGCAAGATGGGTGGCTAAATCATTAGTTGCATCAAAATTATGCAAGCGAGTGATGATTCAAGTCGCCTATGGAATTGGTATCAGTGAGCCTCTCTCTATCTGTGTTAATTCGTATGGTACACATGCTGAAGGACTTGATGATGATGCTTTGTCTGAGATTGTCCAAAATCATTTCGATCTCAGGCCAGGAGTTATCATTAGAGAATTGAAATTAAGAAGACCCATTTATGCTAAAACTGCCTCTGGAGGACATTTCGGTAGAAACGAGCCAGAATTTACTTGGGAACACCCTAAGATTATAGACTTAAATGCTTGGAAAACCCACAAGGCAGAATAATAATAACAAAATTAATGATAAAACCCAAATGAATTTATTAACAAAATAAAATAAACAAGCATAATTTTCATTTTTTCTAATACCTTTATTATTTTATCATATTGATTTTTATCTGTATTTAATAATATGTTCAATAATACTTTAATTATTTGTTATGAGAAAAGTATTATTGTTTTATAAAATATAATAAAAATATTAAGATTATTTAGATTACAAGTATGTTGAATAGGATGATTAATTTAAAACTATCAATATTTATCAAACTTCTATTTCATTCAATTAAAAAACTCTGTTATTTTAACTTAATAATAAATTTTATCAATAATGCTGTTGCAATAATCAAGAAAGAGTGTGGCTCAAGCATAATAATAAACTGCCTCGTCTCATACAATAAAGATGATTTCTGAAAAATGGAAAAGAATATCGTCCGAGGTTGATAATCAAAAAGCAAGCAGACTCTAATAGCTATAAGAGAAAATGAAGGAGATTGAAAAACAAGCATTAACGGTTAATAATCACGAAATCAAATAATTATAAGATTCAATAAATACTCTCAACCAAAATGTTTAAGATCATTTGACTCAAGACTATAATCACAAAACCCAAAAAGCATATGAAAATAGCAAAATTTCTTTAGATAAGAGTTTACAACAACAAAGCCAATAATCCATAGACATGGACAAAAGAATTTCTCATCTCCTTGATTGGAGCAATCTACAAGACCAGCTCTCAAGAAACGAATCACAATATGATTTTGCTCTCCAGAATAAATTATAAACGATAGCAGATTCAGTTAATTAGATTGAAGACATCCTTGAAAGCGAAAGAGAATAAAGGTAACTCAATATTTAAAATGATAGATTGCAATCCTTCGAGTAAATTGAGGGGGAATTAGAACAAAATCTTTTTCAACTTAAAAACTACATTACTTCAGAATCTACTCTAAGAAGACAAAAGGAAAACAAAATATTCGATATGATCAATGATGTGCATCAGAACTTGTAATTGATGTTGCAGGATGAAAAGAAAGAAAGATAGATCATGACAAACAATTTGATGCAATTAATGGATGATGCCTGTATTAGAATTGATAGAAGTCTAAGTTCATTTTGATAATTTTATATTTTAATTAATGGCATAATCTTTAAGTTCTTAATTGGGCTAATTACAACATCAATAAAAACAATATGCATCGCTTCTCTACACATAATAAGTGAGTGCTAAAACAGATTTGGATACAATCTATTATCAAGGTTGTAAAGGAATGAATAAATTGACTCAAATAGACACTCGATTCTCCAGATTCCAGGAGTCATTATTCAACGTCTAAAACAAAGGTACGTCTCTTAATTTCATTATTTGTAGGCATCACAAGATAATTGTAAACTAAATAGCAAAATGCTGATTTGGATAAAGAAATTAGATAATGCTTATTATTGATGTCATAATATTGGACATTTGAGGGCACACATTCTGCCATGGAATACCTGCTAAGAAATTACAGAGTTCATGAATATTTGGTTGACGAAGTTATAATCTACTTCTTAGTTTATCATAACACTAAGTTATATGTTAGATTATTGCAAAATTTAGTAGATTAACAAAGGTATTTCTTAAGTAATATATTTTGAAGGAATTCTATGTGGGCATTCCTCTATGAACCAATCAGCAGAGGACAAACTATCCCAAGAGATTTGTTAATCAGACAAATGCAATTGGATTACAGAATATTGAAGAAGATTATTGATTATCAATGCTTATTACTATAGAAAGTAGAAGTATAGGAAGAAATCGTATTTACAGTCTAAGATTACTTATATACAGAACAAGAGATTCAAAATATTAAATTAAGATAACCAAATTAATTAGCTTTTCTTTATTCTATTTTATAAGACTTAAAAGTCACAACCGGTTACATGGATTAATTGAGAGGTTCATTTGGCAAACTATTGGCTTTATGTATTGAAAATTGCACTGATGAAAATAAGTCATTTGCATATCTCATATTTAATCTATAATTGTTTGATCCCACTAAAATTTTGTTGACTGAAAACCAAATTGAAAATACAGCTTAATGGATATACTCTTAAGTCTAACATAATGACAATCTTTTGGATCTCGCTATTTTATTCTATTAATTCGGTATCAAAACCACATATGAAACCTCTTTAATTTTACTTAGCAAAGATCTCTCCAAATTCTTCAATAATGGTTTGCTTTTAATCGAAATCATTAAATAATTGAAGGATATCCAAATACCAGAAAAACAATTACATTAACTAATTTTCTATTTGAAACATTAATTATCAAAGAATGATACTCACTTCTTAGATTCTATTGTATCCATAATGCATGATTAAATAATCACCGTTGTTAGACCTTATTTATAAGATACCTAATACAAGCACCTATTTCCAAAATCAAATCAAATTCATTTAACATTTAACAATTCAGAACAAGTGATCAAACAATTAAATTAGAAGGACGCTGACCTTTCCATTGGAACCTTGGTTAATTTAATTGAGGATTCATATAACTATTTCATCAAGTCCAAAAAGATTTAGTTTATTAAAATCTTGAATCAATCATTATAGATTGCTGAAACACAATTCCCACAAACAGTCATGTTTAATACTAATAAACTTTATGCATTAATCAACAACATTTCTGATCAAACTGATAATAGAGATCTCATTTAAAGTCTTTTACCAATTTTTACTTACACTCATACAAAACAAGTAGATGCCAATTATTATGAATCATTGCTCTTGTTAAATGTTCATTTTTAGATTGAAACAATCAATGAATTTTCAAAATCAAATAAAATCTTAAAGCAAGTTTCAAACAAAGAATAACTTATTAAATTAATTTAACAACAAGATGAAAAGTTGATAGAATCACTTTTGTATAATAATCAAGTTTAAAAATTGTTAATCTATAAGCAATTATAGATTTAATTAAGTTACATTTTGTAAGATGAATAAAAATTATAGAAATTCATTAATGAATATACAGAGGATGATTAATTTATTGCTAAAACAATGTAATCATTATCAATCATATAACTACTAAATTTAGAGAACTCTCTCTGCATAAAATTTATAAAATCTATTGAAATTGATCCCCAATTATTTTTCAATACTGAGTTAAATCACTTAGGATCCTTAAAGATTCTATTACATAAATCTAGCAGAAATGTGAACTTCGCATTTAAGCTATTTTTAATCTATGACGATTTAACAGTCGAATAACAGGAACTTTACCTTTAAATTGCAGCAGAATTAAAAGAAAGTTTCAAAAGCGATTTGAAAATTTAGAAGATTCAGTTTTCATAATCTCTATTATAATAAACAATTGGATCATTGATTAAAAATAGAAAGGAGGCTAATTTCACTAAAACTCTTGGAAACTTAAAAGATTAAAATGCTCTTCTAGATTTGTAAACTCTGTATTTAGAAAATTTCAATGATTTAAGATATAGATAATTAAGATCAATTTGTAGTACATTTACAAAAACAAAACAAAGCATCAAATAAGATAAAGTTATTAGTCTTATAAAGTTTATTGAGACTAATTTTAAGTATGATCTACTTTAGAGTTATCTTAATATTTTAAAGTATTATGGTAGCATAAAGGATCAAAATGAAGAAATTGATTTCTCATTTTTGAAGAAAACTTTATTCAAACTGCCAAAAGATTATTGTGCTGTTATCAATGAATATATCAGTCAAGCAAATTTATTTAGTGCAGAAGTAAGAACTTAGATGATAATTTATGTATTCTCACATAATTTAAAAAATAAACAGATAGTTGTCTAAGATGATTTAGATTTTGATCTTATTATCAGCCTATTGGAAACTCCTAATTTAGACATCTTAACACATTTAGTAGATTTGTTGAGAGCCAACATATAACACATCACTGTGGAATCAATAAGAAAATGTTTCAAATTGAATATCAATTAGCCAGCACAAATCATATTGATCTCTCAAATACTTTATGATTATTTGGATCATCATTAGATAAACTTATTAGAGGAATGCTCTTCACTCTAAAAAAAGGTATTAGATTAAAATTTGGATTTGAGTTTACAAATTAACTATACTGCCACTACAAGTTGCATCAGATTAATTGCTAAACACACCCAGATCAATAAATGCAAATCAGCATTCAAGTCATTAACATATCCAGATATCGCAACTTATGGACAACATAATTCATTGTTATTTTACAGAATCATAATTGAATAGTTTTAGAATCACAATATAAAGTACTTCAACTCTTGCATATTTGCTTACTTTATTTCATAATTGATCTAAATAACCTCCACAATGGATGTAAACTAAGAAATCTTATAAAATTTTGGACTTTTCTCATTGGAATAATGGTGGGTAATAATGTATATTTTATCTACTTATTATTTCACAAGTGAGTACATAAAATTATTCAAAGAGTAAGTGAATAAGTTCTCCCCTTAGATTAAATTACATATATCAACAGCTCTTGCTGAATCATTATTTTATAGAACATAAAGACACCAAAAACTCTTATAGATTAAATTGAATCAAAAGCTAACCTAACTTCAAACACCAAATTTAGAATCTTGCATCAAGAAAGTAGGCTTTTCTTTGAGAGGACAAATAAAACCAATTAAAATTAAGCTTTCTCTTCTTAGAATATTAGAATTAGTTGAAGATTTACAAGCCTAGTTGTCTAATTACTTAATTCAAAGTGATTTGAATGCCAAATAAGCAGACTAATTGAAGAGTTTGATTGTTCACATTTCTAAATTCTCTAATGTTTTTGCTCATTCAAAATTAAAAGCTTTGAGTGAAAGAGTCAGAACTTCTTTAATTCATTCAATGAAAATAGAAACATTGGTTCCTCTGATCAAGAATTGTATATCCATTAAAAGTGTGTCCCATATCCTTTTACAAGCCTTTAATGACATATTAAGATTAGACTTAATAAAGATTTAAAAATAACAAATACAATTAATAAGAGATTTAATTTCTTAGATTATTATTGAAATTAGCTTACCAACACCCAATTTATCAACAGAAATGCTGCTATTACTAAATTATTTGTACTCAATATAATTTATTCAGAAACAATTATAATAACAAGGATAAGAAATCATGTCAGTATTGATCAAATTATTGGATTCTTAAAATGAATAAGATTAGTCTTTAATCTTAAATTTGTACTCATTGCTTTCATAGATAGATTCATATCCATATTTAAATGATTTAAATCAAGTTTTTAATATGCTTATCACTCTATTATGCAAGGAAGAGAATATTAAAAAATTAGATAACAATTAATTTACTTATAATACCGAATAGATCATTCACAAAGTTTCTAATAAACTTATTTTGTTGAATACATCTTATGCCTTAATCAAATCATTCAAAGGATTGATAAGCAAATAGCATTTGACAGATATTTCAGTGCTATATTTGATAGAAAGTGATAAGCAAGGCTTCTAATGCATTTTGGATAACATTGAAAACAGAGTTCATCTGGATGTGTACATAAATAGCATTTTAAATTAAGCAAGAAAACTAAAACCATTCGTCGTGTTTAATTGTGTAGAGTACATTGCATAATTAATATCAAAATGTGAATCAGAGTTGGTATCAGAATAGTTGATGCAATTAAATAAAGAAGTTTAATCTATTTTTGATTATTCTAGAGAATAATATATTGATTCTGAATTAAAGAATGGAATATTCGAGGCTGATAAATTGGAATATCAAATAAATCAAGTGTATATTGAAATTGTTATGAAAATTAATGATGTTTCATTTAAGAAATTATATAGTAATTTGATTGCATGGTCTAGAAAATAAATATAAGAGGTTGGATATAATTTCAATAAATATAGAAGAATCTAATTTTTCAGATTATCCACTTAGACTAGTGATAAGTTGGGTAAGTATTTCACTAAATATTATTCTTACATTTGGGATGCCATCGTAAATGAATTGCAAACATTCCATAATATATTTTATGAGACACCTAAATAAACAAGTATATATTTCATCTATAAATTTAGAACTTTAAAAAAGAACAAATGATGAATGCGATATGTATTATAGGTTAGAACTTCTATTAAACAGACATATTTTGTAATCAATATCTTCATTGTGTCAAAACGATTGTGAGTAATTTGTTGACACAGAGAAATTTGAAAAATTAAGTGATCCTTTAGCATTAACATTGGATTGTCCTAAGGTTTAACAATATGAATCAATTCTATAATATATTGACGAGTGGATCACTCCAACTATTTTAGCCTTATTCTAATTAATTAATGATGACTATAAATGGAAGGATCTCCATTTAAAAATATTATAAGTGATAAGCAGACATTCCAATAAAAAGAATGAAACAAGTTCTTTTATCATAATTGCAATTATTAAATTAATTCACAGATTGATAGATTAATTAGATGAAAGATATTTAGTATTGATGAATGATTTGATTCCATATTTGCATCAATTAACATCAACTAATTTAAATTCAGAAGAGGTACATTTTATGTCATATTAATTTAGTTGGAAAAAAGAGTTAAACAATTAATTGTTAGATTATCATAATTAAGTGGGGAAGATATAGTAACAGCTCTAAAATGATATAATCATTATATTTTGTTTATAAATGCATTTTATTATCATATTATAATCATATAATTGTAGATGAAGAACAAGAAAAAATTAAGTTATTTAATAAATATGTAGAAAATTAACAAAATGAAATTCTTGATAATAAAACTTTAGTATTTAATATGAATAAAAAATACTTTCATACAAAGATATTATGAAAATCAAAGATTTTAATAGTTTAAACTATTCGCCTATTCATAATAGATTAATTAAATAAATTATAAACTTGAATAAATGCTTAGTTACAATAATATTCATTCTAATTGTTCAATCACTTTGTTTTAATACATTATTAACTATAACTCAGGTAATAACTCGAATAAACATTGATTTGTCTCATAACTATTGTATATGAACAATAAATACTTTTATAACACTCTTTGTGATTCTTCATTTAACAATTTAAAACTCACCCATAATGTTGTTTACTTATCTTTCTCTTAATTTTTAATTTGATTTTCTAACTCTTAGAATGTATGACGAACCTTTTAAAACTTTTTAGCTCTTAAAAATCTAATAAGGAATAGTAAAATCTTATATACCTATATTTTATATTAGATTTTTCCTTTTCCCATTTATTTTTTAATTCTTCGCTACCTTCACTATACTTTAAGACATGTTCTTTCTAAAATATTCCTAGTTCGATTGACATTTCAGTAAATCTTGGTAAGGTCAGCATTTTGTCTCCATTTTCATCTTAAAAATCTGCGTTATTTGTAAAAATTTAGAGCAATTAAGTTTTTGATAATTTATCTTAATGAAGGGCCCTATGAAGTGTTTTAAACTATTTATTAATTATGCTATACTTCTGAAAACTCAATTAATTTGTTTCCATCTAAATCTGCGGCATTGAATAAAGACTCTAACGTTGTTTATTAATCTTTTTTGTTACTATAATAGCATTCCAATATTTTTAATAACAAACTATCATGATTGATATAGTATCTTTAATTATTTTATTATTAATTTCGATATTAATGTAACATCTATTAGATTTGTTATTAAGATAGCCATCTTTATGATTTTTCACTTAAAAATTCACTTACTTATTCATAATTTAATAGTAATTCTACTTTTCCATAATTTAAGTCATTTTTTTATGAAAAGAATTGATAACTTTCAGTCAATAGTTTTTAACCTATTTCATCCATTTCCCCAATCAAATAACAAAATTAGGCAAGTAGTTTTACTTTAATATGACTGTCTTTTTCGTAATAAATAAATTAATAGACCTATTTAATTTTCTTCTCAGCTACTTGTTTAAATCCATATTTATTCTTAAAATAATCATAAATGCAAACATGAAAAGGAATTTTATACCCCTCTGCTTATTTGCATATGTCACTTAGTATTTATAATACTAATTTTTATAATTACAGAATTGAAAATTAGATTTTTTTATTCTATTTCTTTCTTGATTTTAAGTCATTCAGTAAGTTATTAGCAACATCTGTGTTTTAACTGTAGATTCTACGAAATCTCTTTTGATTTTTAGGTTCAAGGACAATCAGATTATACTTATTCTTTATTTTAGGTTTTTAATCCTTATATTGATTTACTACTTATTTTATCCTTTCCCCTTGTGGATTATTCTAAATAATTTAAGATGATTCAAGGTCTAAGTCTTCAGAAAGAGATTCATCATTTTGAGTCATAGTTATGCTTTTTTCTTAATTATGTACTTTTGAATTTCTTTTTTTAGAGAATTAGGGATTTTAATTGATTGAATAATTTTAATCTTTTTATTCTTTATTCTAAACTTAAAGTTATTATTCTCCTTAATTTAGATCGTTACTTGAATTTTTCTCATTTGTTCTTTCTTTTTCTTATTTTTAAATATTTGAATTTGAATAATGCTATTTTTCCTGGGAGGAAACTTATTTCTTTTGTTAATTTTACTTTGAGTTTGATTATGATTATTACTAGGTGTCTTGTTTAGTATGTTAAGAAAATGACTTTTCAGGTTTTTCATTTTATTTCATTTGTGAAGACGAATTTTAGTAATTATTTTTTTCGATGTTTTTCTTATCAACAGAATTTTAATTTTATTCATTTATCTATGATTTTTTATCTATTTCTGTTTTGTTTAATTAATTTTTCGATATAAGTGGAGGAACATTTTTCTACTTTTTATTCTTATCATTATTTTGTGGATTTGATAATTAATTTTTTTAGTTTTTATTGGTGGTTTTATCATTATTTTAATTAATTTTGATTTAATCTACTGCTTATAGCTCATCATTCTATTGACTAGTCTAAGTATTTTAACGAAGAGATTGATCCAAATTATTTTGGTATTAATTAAATTATTATTAACTTCCTGTTTCAAAATCTAATTATTATTATTATTAATTACCTTCATTATTTCTAATTTGATTATTATTCTATTATATTTTATTTTCTTATTCATTTTCTTAAATTTTGGTTCTATCTGTAAATTAATATTCCAATTCATCTTATTCATCTATTTTGATATCATCATTATCTTAATCTAAATTCTGAGATTGCTCAAATTCCTGGAAATTTTCTTGTGATTCTTCTTAATCTTTCTGTTACGACATATCCATTTCATCATTAAATTCAGGTAAATTTATTTGTATATTATATGAGGATGATACCTAATTCAATGTATCCAGTAATGTGGATTTCTATTTTAATAATGTATTAATTTGCTTCTTTTTTTTTTTTATGATATCAATAAAATCAGCAACTGCTTAACTTAATTTAGATTCTAATTCTTGATTGAAATCTTCCTTTTCCAATAATTCTATTTTGTATCTGGTGTCTTCTCTTTCTAAAGTAGCAATTCGTTACGATAACTATTAACTTTGAGAGATAGATTGATTAAGAATTTCACAAATCAATTGCTTTGAATCTATTGATGAATCTTATATAAGTTGTAAGGCTTATTGTATTTGAGCTTCTAGCAAATTCTATTTTTAGTCTGACTATTAATTTTCTCTTTATGAGGAATTTTCATGATTTTCTATCTCTTAATTAAGTTATTCCTTTTATTATTCTAAATTTTGAATTTACACTTCTTGTTCTTATAATTTCTATTCCTGGACCTCCAAAGCCATCATATCCAAGTCTGTTTAAATTTCTTCCTATTGATACTCTATGTCTGCTTGTACTTCCTAATCATTATATTCAATATCTGGTTCTAAGATTTATTAATCTATTAATTCAGATTTCAACTATAATTCTTACTGTCTTAGTTACTCAAACTTTTCAAAATTAGTATTCTTGACTCTACTCTTTTTGAATTTATATTCAGTGTTAGTTTCTTTAAAGTTTAATAGATGTGATACAATACTCTACCCTTGGGATAGATTAACATTGATTGTTTAATTTTCTTATTTTTTATCGCTTTAATCTTAAGTTCTCAGTAACATTATTTATAAAAGGAGAGAATCTATTTCCTTTTTTTGGGCTTCATTAGTTTACAATAATTGTCTCATATCGGCTGTTAATAACAACATTTTGGCCTTTGTCAAATTGAGTTCATCTACTGAATCAGAAGACTCATTTCTTATTTTTTAGATTTGATCCTAGTATTCCTAATACTTAACCTTTTAGGTTTCCATTTGAGTATCGTGGAATGCCTAAATTCTTTACATCTATTCAAGATATGACTTCTCTGATTCCTTGGATTATTCTGAGTAGCATTTAATTATTTAGCCGATCAATTCGACATAAAAATCCCAAACTACTTATAGCAATTCTCCTCTTTCAGTACACTCAATACTAACTTACCTATTTAATGATTATCAATTACTTAATCAATTCTCTTAAACAAGAGGCATAGATCAATTGTATTCTCTCAGCTAATTCTCTTGTATTTATATTGGGGGACTCTTGCTTGGTAAATGTGATCATCATAAAAAGCCATTCCTTTAAGTCTATGGCCTGTTGTCTATTTGGAGGAACCATTTCTTTTTCTGAATGGCTTTGTTGCATTTCGAGTTTTAAAATTTCGGAGAAGTATCTCTAAAGTCCTGTTGCTTTTTTGTTATCTGATAAAATTTCAGTGAAATCTAATAAGCGACCTGAGAAAGGCTCTTTTTCCAAATTTGTGTTGAAGGGTAATCTGGAAGAAGATTTCCGATACAGAGTACTATAAAATGATTACATGTTCTTATCATATTTCTACGATAGATGAAACATATTACAGTTTATTAGAGTTCAGGATCCTTATAAATGCTGGTTCCAAGCTTGGCAAAATTCCGCTTAGTTGATTTTAGATATGACACATCAGAAGAAGGCACTAATTTTGATAAATTAAGTGCGTTTGAAGCTTTTGGTAAAACTTGAATTTTAACAGAGTTTTGTATAGATGTGTTAATTAATTGATCCCATTCAATAGATGAGTTAGAAGATTAAATTTTCTGTTTGTATTTTGATTCTAAATGATGAGTTGAATGTGATTAATGAATTTCTGGTAAATAATTTTTATGCATAATAATAAGAAATTGATGTAAAATAACATCTTAAATAAGAATCATAAATATTTTAGATTTGATAGTAATTTTTTTATTAATTAATGGGAAGCTGTGGAGGAAAATCTGAAAACAAGCAACAATAAATGAGCAAAGAATAAAAATGTAAAAATGATCTTAATTTCAAAATAGCTCTTGCTATCAGTAAATTCGAAGTTGGTCCTGACATCTTCATTAACTTAAAGACAGGAGATATCACAGACAATTATATCATGAATAAAATCTTAGGAGAAGGTATATTAAATTTTTAGTTTCAAGGTTCGTATGGTCAAGTAAGATTGGTCTAACATAAGAAATCTGGCCAATAAAGAGCTATGAAACAGATTTCAAAGAAAAAAATACTCAAAGAATAAGAGGAGGCTATGTTTAGTGAGGTTTCTTTACTAAAAAACATGGATTACCCTAACATTGTCAAATTATTTGAGCTGTACCAAGACAGTCAAAATTACTACCTAGTAACAGAATATCTGAATGGGGGAGAACTACTTGAAAAGTTGACCAAATTACAAACATTTAATGAAAGAATGGCAGCGGAATACATGAAGTAAGTTTTATCAGCCCTTGCCTATTGTCATGCTTAGAATATCATCCATCGGTAATTAACTATTCAATTAGTTTAGCGATATGAAGCCGTCCAATATTATGTTAGCCTCTACAGACCCACAATCCAAGATCAAAGTTATAGATTTCGGAACTGCTAAAAGATTTGTTAATGGTCAAACCTAGACTTAAGTAATAGGAACTGTAATTTTAATGGTTATACTTAATTTAGCCGTTATATCTTGCTCCGGAGGTGATTGATAAAAATTACACAGAAAAATGTGATATTTGGTCTTGTGGAGTAATCTTATATCAAATCTTAACTGGGAAATTTCCATTTGAGTCTAAAGTTTCTAATTTACAGCAACTTTTCAGCAACATTAAATCTGGAAAATATAATTTTACATCTAAGGAATTTACTACATTATCATACGAGGCTTAAGAATTGATAAAATCAATGTTGCAATTCGATCCTAACAAAAGACCCTCGGCTTAAAAGATTTTAGACGATCCATGGATAAAAGAGAAGGCTCGGGAAGAGAAGATTAGTGTAGATGTCTTGAATGAATTGGGCAAATTCAGAGTAATACTTATAATTTAACTTATAGAATGAAAGCAATATGAGAGCAGCCATTTTATAGTTGATTGCAGGTTCAGTTATGTCTAATGAGGAGAAAGATTAACTTACATCTACATTCTAAAGCATGGATAAAAACAAGGATGGATAATTATCAAAAGAAGAATTAGTATTAGGTATTAAATTTTAATTATTCAATAGCATACACAAAGGTATTTAATGATGAATTAAAGGCCAAGCATTTAGTTAATTAAATCTTTGATTAAATAGATCAAAATAACTCTGGAAAAATAAGTTACACTGAATTCCTAGTAGCTTCTGCTAAACAAAATATTATTCTTTCTAAAACTAAAATTGATTAGGCTTTTAAATTGTTTGATAAGGTAATATCTGTTTAAAATTGATAGGATGGGAATGGAGTCATTTCGAAAGCAGAGATCTAAGAGATCATGTGTGGAATTAATATTGACAATGCTGAATGGAGTCAGATTATTTAATAATGTGATAAAAATAATGATGGAAATATCTAATATGAAGAATTTTCTTCTATGTTATTGGCAGTAGCCAAAATTTGAAGATCAATTAAATCTATATTAATTTATATTTCATTTAATCAATTTTTTCTGAATCTCTTTTATTTTCATATACTACAATATGTTTAAACAATTATCCTTGTCTTTTTTGAACTAATCGCAAACCATTTGTTCATCAAAATTTTGTTTCAAACATTCCAAATATTTCCTCTAAATTGGTCGACATGAAGTTCTCTAAATTTTATTTAATACATTGTAGTCATCTTCTTTTCCTGCTTACCACCACTCTTATTCTTAATCCTTAAGAATTTAATCAATACTCATTAATTTTTATTAATGTTATTTTTCTTATCAGTCGTAATAATAAATGGTTTGTAATTGAAACTCCAACCCTTTGATTATTAAAAGGGAGAAATAACTGATACAGCGTATTCAGTAAATTAAATAGGTATTAATATAGGTTTCATTGCAAATTGCTGGCTCAAACTATTAAATGGTAATTGACAATATTAATCCTTATTCCTGGATATATTCCAAGAATCCTTCCAATAACAATTAATGTAACAATTGCCCATAAACTGTCTAATAATTCGATTGTAAAGAAACACAAGGTTGTGAAAAGCTTTAGAATTCTGAACCAATTACATTATCAAATACAAATAAATGCATCTTAGCTAAAAACGTAAGCAAATTCACTATAAAAATAAGACTGTCATGTTGGATCAACGATCATTTGACAATTTTTAGATCTGTCTATCCTATGATATTTCTAATTAGTAATATAAATAAAATGGAGTGTTGAGCTTAACAAAATTAACAGAATCACCAAACAAATCAAATCTATTTTATTAGTAAGTAAAATTTGAATTAGATTAGAACAACACAGCTTGTAATAAATTTACCAAATCTCAACAAGTTAAGGATAAGAAAGAATCTTCATAAGCGAATAGAGTGAATATTAACTCAAAAAGACAATTACATATTAAAACCAAGCACAAGATTAATGGAAATTACAGTTCCAATTATTCTCTAAGGAGATTTAATTTCTGAAAAAAGAAGACAACCAATTTATTACATTTGATCTAACTACCAAATACAATTATTTTACATAAGACATCGTCAAAAAGATAATAACCTAAATAAAAAACTATTAGAGTTTAGTATGAAATTGTTCAATTTTAGTTTTGTTCTGTAGAAGACAAGAGACTTATGTGTTTATGTTCAAAGCCTGACTTTGTAGATAAGATTCCAAAAATTAAAATTGCATTTAATGGGTTACCAAACACATATATTCTCCCTCTGAACCCTAAATTTTTGGAGAATGAATAAAAATGTCAATTAGATATATTCCAACATAGCACTTCCTCATTTTTAGGAAACTAATTCTTCTAGTAAATGTTTCTTATCAAACATAGATAAAATGGAGCAATATTCAATTCAAAAGATAACACAATTCTGATTGGATAATCAAATTAAGACACTGAGGATTCATATTCATTTTCTAATCCTACTTTATATTGCTTATTGGCTAGTTTCTTAATGCTGTTTGGATTATTATCTTTAATATTCATACTAAAGTAACTCTTAATATAATTTAAAGTAAAATCTCATCAGAGCAATTATCAAAGCCAAAATATGAACAGCCATAACCAAAACCATTATATGTAGTATCAAACAATTTAAATAAATTTAAACCATATAATTTAGAGCTATCTACAAATCAATAGATGGTTTATTCAAGAAGATGAAATTATCATAAAATTATTTTTATCCTTTAATAATAAACATAATTTTGCTAACAAATATTTCATATCCTAATAATGACTTTGTTATTACTATTCAAATTATTATATAAAGGAAGTAGAGAGTTGAAGTTTATCTAGAAATTAAAAGAAATTGAACTTAATCTTTACTCACTATAGCAACGAAAAGAGTTCAAATTAACTTCAGGCAATTACTTACAATAATATATAAAGGGCGTTTTCTCTTTACATTATATTTCTTATTTCTATAAAGGATAATATAAATCATTTTTATTTTTTCAATGTCTTGAGAAGTTTATCCAATCATTCTAAGTTTGAATTGTGAAAACACATTTAATTACATAGAACTACTTATATACAGAGGACAATTTAATTTAACCTTATAAATTAAAAAAATATATTTTTGTTACTTTAATATTAATTTAACTGAAATAAAAAGAGAAACATGCTCTTAATTATGTATTATATATAATTTTTATTAATAATTTTTATGATGAGACGCCAAAGATTTTTAAGTCCTTAAGAGAGAGTGAAGTCTCCTCCTGCTCATGTTAATTTACAACTTCCAATAAAACGGTCTCTGCTGATGTAGGTAAGAATTTAAAATAATAAGACTGGTCCTTATGTATTTGATTGCTCTTAAGTTATTGGAAAGGGATAGTATTCAGTTGTGTACAAAGGATATGAGTAGAATAAACCTAATCAAATTGTAGCTGTTAAGGTTATTACAATCCAACCCAACAATCCAATTCAAATGTATATGATCGAAAATGAGATCAACACTCTAAAGCTTTTGGATTCTCCCCATATACTTAAACTACTGTATCATAACCAAAACAATAAATCAGTATTTCTAGTAACTGAATTTTGCAATAAAGGTAGTAAATCTATTCAATTGATAGGTGATCTTTTACAAAAATTATAACGATCTCTAATCTCAGAAGAAGAGGCACTTCAATATACTCTACAGATTGCAAAAGCATTGTAAACTATCCATTAACACAACATAAGTATGAATTCAAATATCCCTAGTGCATGGAGACATAAAATCTGCAAATATATTACTTTCTGATAGATGTGTTCTAGCAGACTTTGGATTTGCTTAGAAAATAGATCAAGCATAATAAACCTTTATCATTGGAACTCCTCTGTATATGGCACCTGAGGTACTCTTTGACAACGAGATAAATTGTTAAGCAGATATGTGGTCTTTGGGTTGTGTATTGTATGAGATGGTTTTTGGACAATCACCATTCTATTCCGAGAACAATGAAATTTTGAAGATGACTTTATCAAAGTTCAAAGAAAACGGTAAATTATCATTTCCAAACACTGGGGTTTCTAAAAAGATTTAAGCTCTAATCCTGTATTTAATCAAGATTGACCCAAATCAAAGACTGACAGCTTATGATACAGTTGTATTGCTTGAACCAAGGAGTGTAGACGAATAGATCAAATTAAATGAAAATCAATTAAAAATCAAACAAGAACTATTGAACAGAGAAGACAAAGATGCTTAAGTCTAAATGCCTCAATAATAATCTATCAACTTTAATGATAGCAATGCAAATTCTAACTCTTAATCAAACTAGACTCCTATTTAAGATATCCAATCTACTCCTGATAATTAAAAGAATTAGAATGGTGGTAACAATTCTTAAGATGAACATAGAAGAAGTACAAAAAATAGTAATTCAAGTGCTAAGAGAAAAAAACTATTATAATAATTAAATAACATTAATTAAAGGAAAGTTAATTCATATATTAATAACACCCCAACTTAATAAACATAATAATAAAATACTCAAATTTCTGAAGTAAAGAAAGTGCTTCATAAGAATAATTAAAATCCATAGTAAATTAATGCTAATAGCAATAGTGCGAATAATAACATTACTAGTAATAATGATAATAATAATAATAATAATAATAATAATAATAATAATAATAATAATAATAATAATAGCAATAACAATAATAATAATAATAATAATTCAAATAATAATTCAAATAATAAAACTATTTCTTTATTAGATTTAGTCAATTATTTTTACAAAGTATATTAATTAATACTAAATGGAAAAGAACTTAAACTAGCATTTATTTATCTTAAACTTGTAAAACATTTATTATTTGGCGTATTTGGAAGAACAATCAAAATAATAGAAAAAAGTAATTTTTGTTAGTTGCTAGAATGATTATTTTGAATTAGAAAGGGAAATTAAGAATAAGTATCCTCAATGGTTAAAGGAGGAGGAGTTTCAAAAGATTTTTCATAGCAAATTTGTCCTTACATAAGATTTTTTGAAATATTCACTGAATTATTTGAATAAAGCAGCTGAGGATCCATAATAAGATGAAAAAATAACAGAAAAAATAAAAAAAACACTTCAAATAATATCTATTCTTGTGTCTAATGAAAAAAGCAGCTCACTTTAGTTAGATTAATAAATTATACGGCTTCATAGACTTAATTCCAAAGTTTGATATATATATATAATTTCTCATATTTTAAGTTCGTCACATTAAAATTAATTATTAAATTTCAAAGTTGTGATTTAATTATTAATGATACACAGTTTATTTCCTTAATCTGTGAAAATATTAATAGCGAAATCGAAATGCACACCAAAATAATTAATACAGAAATGTAATATACATAACAATACAACCACATATATATATATAAATTAATTAAATTAAAAATGTTAAAGCATGCCTTAAGGGTGATGTAAGTCTTCAGACCTAAGTTATTGCATTGTGTTCCTTTATAAACATTGTCAATAAGAGGACCATTATTTACAAGCATTCCTGTTAGCTATTTCAGCACAACATTGCCAAAACATAAGAAATTAGAAATGCCTGCTCTGTATATGACTAACATTAAATAATAGATCACCAACAATGGAGACAGGAAACATTTAGAAGTACTTGAAGAAAGTAGGTGACCCCATTACAGCAGGTGATGTACTTTGCGAGGTTGAGACTGATAAAGCAACTGTGGGATTCGAAATGCAAGATGAGGGATTCTTAGCCCAAATCCTTGTTCCTGAAGGTAAATAAATTGTATAATTAAATTAGGTTCAAAGGGAGTCAAAGTTGGATAATTAGTTGCAGTAATTGTTCCAAAGCAATCAGATGTGGCATCATTTGCTAATTACAAAGATTCTTCATCTTAGTAATGTTCTGCGGCATCAAAACCAGCAGCTCAACCCTAATAATCTTCAACTCCTTAAAGAGCACAACCAGCAGCAACAGGAGGAGCATTCCCCAAACACTCAAAATTAGGTCTTCCTGCTTTATCACCCACAATGGAGAAAGGAAATTTAATGAAATGGTTGGTTAAAGAGGGAGACAGGATTAGTCCTGGAGATGTGATTTGTGAGATTGAAACAGACAAAGCCACTGTTGGATTTGAAGTCCAAGAAGATGGTTACATCGCAAAATTAATGGTACCTGCAGGATCTAAAGATATTAAATTAGGAACTGTAATTAATAAAATTTATTTAAGATATTGGCTATTTCAACTCCAAAGAAGGATAACGTGCCTAGTTTTACTAATTACACTCTTGAGGGTGCTGCAGCAGCTGCTTAAACTACATAAGCATAGCCACCATAATAATAATAGTAATAATAATAGACAATAACTAATGAAACACCAGTATAAACAGTGTCTTAATCTGGACAAAGGATATTCGCTTCACCACTAGCAAAGGAATTCGCTAAGATTAATAATGTCCCATTGGAATATGTAAAAGGAACTGGTATAGATGGTAGCATTGTCAAAAAGGATGTCGAGAGATTTCTTTCATCTGGATCAAAGCCTGAGGTTTAATAATAATAATAAGTTATTACCCCTCCTTAATAATAATAAACTTAGGCCCCATCTTAAGAATAACCAGCTTAATAAACACCCCCTCCTGCTCAAGCTAAATAATAAACTAAACCAGCAGCTGCTTCAAAACCTGTTGCAATCGAAGGCAATCCTTATGTAGACACAGAACTCACTAATATGAGATTAACAATTGCTGCCAGATTATTAGAATCAAAAACCACTATCCCTCACTATTATTTAACTATGACAGTTACCATGGATAAAGTATTGAAGTAATAATTTATTTCATTATTTAAAGAGTACGAGAAGAATTAAATAAATTATAGAAGGTTAAAATTTCTGTGAATGATTTCATTATCAAGGCAAGCGCATTGGCATTAAAGGATGTTCCATAAGCCAATTCTTAATGGCATGGAACTTATATTAGAAAGTTTGCTAATGCTGATATATCAATTGCAGTTGCCACTGATGCAGGTCTAATAACTCCTATCGTTTTTAATGCAGGCAGTAAGGGTCTTGGAACCATTGCCTCCACCGTGAAAGAATTAGCTGACAAGGCTAAAGCAAATAAACTTAAACCTTAAGAATTTATCGGTGGCACATTCACCATTTCCAATCTAGGAATGTTCGGTATTGATTAATTTATTGCTGTCATTAATCCACCACAATCAGCCATCTTAGCAGTAGGAAAAACAAGCAAAAGATTTGTTCCTGATGAGCATGGATAACCTAAGTAATTTATTAATTAAATCAATAAGGGTTGAAAGCTAAATGGATGTTACATTGTCATGTGATCATAGAGTTGTTGATGGAGCTGTCGGCGCATAATGGTTATAAAGATTTAAGTATTATATTGAAGATCCTAATACATTATTGCTTTGAGCTTTATTAAAGTTTATAAATAAAACATGTATTTATATAAAAATTATTTTATTGTAATAAATGTAGATAATATTACATTACATTCAGAGGATTTAATGTAATCTTAAATCATATTAATGTAATTCATCTATGACAAAGATGTATTATGAAGCATAGCACCGATTATAGGTTGTCGATGCTTCAAGAATTCGGTAAAGTTTGAGAGTTTTAGACTATTTTTTAGAATATTTATTAAATAAGCATAATTGATTGTCTAAATATGAAACTTTATGAAATAAGTAAAAATAATTTAATATTTCTAAAATTGTTTGAGATCATTGAATTTTAATTCTTAGTATTACTATTTAATAGAGTATTTGATATTTTTATTGAATAAACAATATGTGCTTTGGTTATCTATCTGTATATTTAATTAATATAAATATGTCTTCTAAACCAAAATATTTGCTAAAAAAGGTAACAAAAACCAATGATTAACAAAACAATATGTTTATGACATAAACACTAGATTAGGATGAGGCTTAATTTTACAAAGATGGAAAGATTTGTTCTTATTATATAGTTGGTAATCCAGATCTATTTAAAAAAAAAACTTTCATTCTAAAATAATCAGAATAGTCAAATATACCTTCTAAACCTTCTTAGAGAGTTATCTAGAAACACTAACGTCATAAGTAGGACTCTGATTTCATCTATGAAGACATGGAAGCAAGTGATGTAGAAAGGGAAGTAGAAAGAGTATTCCAGTAATAAAAATAGCCAGAGCAAGGAGTGAAGATGGCTCTTACCAAACCAGATCAAATATATGCTAACAGGGAAAGCAAAATAATGATGGCCTTTGAGTAGTAATAACAAAAATGGCAATAAAGAGTTGTATAATCTGCCAAAGCATGTGGTAGAGATCCAAAGCAATCACTTTTCCATCATATTGATGCTGCTAGACAACGCTATGAAGATCGTAAACTATTGGACTTAATTTAATCAGACTCGGAGAAATACGGAAATCATTTATGGGTATTAGTATAAATTCTATTCTAAGGAAATGCAACTCAGAGCAGCTCCTGGGGAATTGAATAATAAAAATGAAAAAGCTGTGTTTGAAATTGTTAAAAAAAATAAGGCTGAACAAGTTTATGAAAGACCCGAAGGATTTAAGAAAAGATTTGAAGAAAAAAAAGTGGTAATTGAAAAGATAATTCCTAATTTATCTGTGAAAGAATTAGAAGTAGTTGGATAAAATAAATTAATCAAAGAGTCAATATCCATGTTGAATTTAGCTAAAAATTAGAAGAACGTCAAATTCAATAATGAAATACCACTTAGTTCTAAGAGAAAGATTATTTTATCTGCCCCTTTTGAAAAAAAGAAATAAAAAGAAGAACCTTTATACTATTAAGATGTGCTTGCAATGAATTACAACAAAAGAGATTTGCGTTAATAAGGATAATTGGATATATGCAAGTAAATTTTTTGAATGATCTTAATTATTAATATTTAATTTATGGATTTTTTATTTTACTATTGATTTAAAAATCAACTATTTCATTTATAATAATTTGTTATCTCTTGATTTCTATGTTCATGTTTTATTAAATCACACCAAAAATATTAATACAGAATTTAGATCAAAGAGTTGGTTATAATTTAAGAATGTCAAAAAGTAAACTAAGAAATTAAGAACTACATGATAAAAATATATATGGATTGAAATAATTGTAATAAATATTTATAGAATTATTTTGAAATAATCGTCAAAATTTATGATGATTAATTTAACAATTTTATGATAAAATTATGTATAGAGAATATCCATGATTCCTTTAGAATTCTAGTCACATATCAAATTTATGTATTCATTACATAATATTTAGATTGTTTATAAAAGTTCATTATTAGGATATGTAGCACCTTAAACAATCTAGTCAATAGTTTATAATTGATGTTTTATAATTCAATGTAAAACATCTCTTTTATGTATTTATCAATTTTAGAAATCCTACTCTATGTATTAAATAGGAGGATCCTCATCAGGATATAGCCTTTTGGTTAGGATATAACAATGAGGAGGCTCAATGTTCGTATAATAATTTTTCATGTATTTGGTCTTTTCAAACCCATGACTTAAGTAAAATTAGAAACCAACATCATTATTCGACCAAATATGTAGATAGATTCTTCTAATCTCTTTATAAGAGTTAATTCTATTGATGAGTTCATATAATAGCTGTGAGCCAAATCCCAACCGACGATATGCATCTAGCACACCAAATGTCATTATATATGCGGTTTTAACCTCATCCTGGTCTTCTATTCTTGCTGTAATAGCTCCCACTGCAATATCATTATAAATATCCTGTAATGAGGCTAATATTTACCTAATGCAGAAAAGTCTTAATAAGTGAGAATCCTCTGATAAAACTTATCGCTATAAGAAACTGGTAATGTCTTTGTGTTATGATTTTAAATTGCTCTAAATTCTTAGAATTTATTTCCCCAAATGTAAGCTTCGGTTTTTGTTCCATTAATAAAACTACTTTTTAAGGAAAATAAATGATACTAAAAGTTCTTTAAATTTTTAACTTGAATATAAATAATATTAATAATCTCCTATTTAAAATCTTAATCAATTCGTAAAATTCTTTTCAATTATAAGAAAATTCGTTATTTTTTATTCTTTTATCAACAAATTATACTATATGTTCTTTAACAATCAGGAGGATACGCATTTCTGATTCTATAAAAAATGATTCTTATTAGATAATGGCAGTAAAAGTCACTTAAATAAATTGATATTGCACATTTTAATTTTGAAGTTGAGTAATTCAATAAGATCTGTTTGTTTGATCTAAGAATTCGCTTTAAGATAAAAAGATTGTTAGATAATTAATATAAAATTAGAGTAAAAATAAGTCTAATTAATGGATAAGTATTAGATGGATTTATATGAATTTATTGTTTTGTTAAAAAAATTAATGAGAAATGATTACAATAGTCTGTAGAGGAGTTTAATAACAGTTTTCTTCATCTTTAAGAGTGTAATGGTTAGCAGGAATATAAAATAATTAAATTAATGACTAAAAGAAAACCATAATTTGACATAGGGAAGGAAGAGGATGATGATGAAGCCTTACCTGTTGTCGGAGTTAACAATACTCCAGAAGAAATTCAGGAGAGAAAGTATTTAGTGTGAATAAAATAGAATTTTGAAGATCAGAGGACCAAAAGGAAAAAATGATAACCAAAATACAAAAATAGTAATAACTGCCCCACCGCCATCATTTGAACAAGCAGAATCTGATTAAAAACTGTCCACACCTCCTAAAAAGTTCTAACCTACGAACATCTTCAATTCTCAACAAGAAAAATTGTTTTTCAATACTCAGCCATTGAATAGTTTATAATTACCTAAGCAATAAAACAATAATATGGGGTTAGTGAGTCCAATAATTGAATTTAAATCAATTCGAAAGAGTGACAAATCAATTACTTCTCCAAATTAGGAGACTAATAAAAAAATAGAAATTTTAGATGTAATTTTAAGATTAAGACATAGAATAAATTGAAGAAAATAAAAATAGATGATAAAGAGCATGAAAATAAAGAAATCACATTCACAATAGAAAAAGTAGGAGATGATCACAAAATAAGAGTTGAGTATTATTATTAATTTGATATAGGCCTGACATATTTGAAGGACTGATTGAGAAGGAGAAAACAAAGAAGGAGAATAATATAGTGAGATTAGAATGTAAAAAGGAAAAAGAAGTGCATGCATTACAACTAGAATTTGTTAATGAAAAAGACTATGAATAATTTAATCTATGATTTATTTTCAACCAAAGAAATCATCAACTAATTCGTCCTTTTCTTCTTCTTATTGCTTTAATTTTTGGGTAGCTTTCCTTTCCAAATAAGTCTATTTTCTCTCTTCCTTCTCTTTTAATCTTTACTCTTCTTCCTACCTTTTTCTCTCTTCCTCCAATCTCTTTTTTTCTTCAATTGGATCTTAAACATTATTTGCTTCTTGAACATTACTTGAAACACTTATGATATCCTAATCTTTCGGTTGTTTCTCAGGAACTATTTGTGCAATCCCCACATCTGGAGGATTCTCATAACCTTCAGGCACTATTTATGCATTGTTTTAGCCATCTTCAGGAGGTATGTAACCCATAGGCACGATTTGATTGTTTTTGAATTTTGGCTCTTCTTCAAATTCGAAATCATCCAACAAATAATTAGGGGATTTGACCTTAACAAATATTAGCACAATATTCCAAAGTGTATAATTGATGATTGTAATAAGGATTGCCATCATCATATACCACCCATCAGATACTTTAATCTATTTAGAATCGTCAATGTTTAAATACAATATACCACTAACTAAACACAAAGTATCAAATATGGCCTAAATAGTCTGCCTATATAATAGGATTCTGGAAATAAAAGGATTGAATTTGTAAAGTGGAAAATAAATGACAATTCTAAGTGCACACAAAACTATAATCTAGATGAACTGAGAAGGTAATAGGAATAGGCAAGCATATATTAGTTTTCTAACATATGGAACATATATGAAGAGTCTTCCAAACCTTGTTCTGATTTCATATCCATCATATAAATTGCCAAGATATATGTGCAGCCATTCAAACGTATAAGCATCATTATGTCTGAGTATAAATCTGTATGTCAAAACAAAAGCAACGATAGATAAAACAATGAATATAGCAGCAAGAACCAAATTGATGATGTCAAAGGTAGTAGAGTAATTCTGAAAGGTCTAAATACAGGAGACCATTAAATCAAGAAACATCATTTCATACATTCTAACAAATGCTTAGAATTTCATATATTCATCAATATCTTCTAGTCTATTTAGAATGGGTTCCCAATGAATTAGTTTAATTAGTATTTTAACACCAATCCAAAGTACTAAGGCATAAATGATAAAGCTTATGTATCTTCCACCAGCATTCAATAAGAATTGTGAAGGGTAGTCTTCAATTTAAAATTTAATTGTGTTTTATTTTGGCACATCAATCATTAGGAGGAATAAATTAGGAATGAATGAAAAATTACAATAGTTTAACACATCAAATACTTTATCAATATGTAAAGAATATCTCAATTTTATTAATCTCAATAAAGAAATCAATTATAATGATTCTATTATTTGCCACACTTAACCATTTCCAATCTTATAAGAATAACTAAAGGCTGATATCAAACTTAGGATAAGAAATGATAAGGTAATATAACTGAGAGTGTCACTGAAGTAGACTTCATCATCAGTATAATAAATGAAATAATTGAGTTCAGTTTTGATCAATCCGTATTTGGCTATCTTACTATTTGAATCATTAGCCTAGCCAACAAGTGACCAACCAAATTTATCTTCAATATTGTTGGGTTGAGTAAAGTTGAGAGATGCATATATGTGTTAGACAGTGTCATAATAAGTAAAGGTAATTTCAATGATATACAGGTCTAATTATTTGATTTCATACTAGTAATCAGGCAGATCAGGAATGTTGATTAATAGTAATTCAGTGTAATTGTACATTTAAGATAAAGGTCGATTGAATTCTAAATAGAGTTTATCAAAGTGGATTTCATCTATGTATGCTGACACTTCAACAGGCTTTAATTCATAACAAATATCAGGACCTTCATTTTGTTCTAAAATGCAATTGTATCCACTTTTAATCTTACAATTGACACATCCACCTGAGAGATCAGCATCATCGCATTGTTCTGAGAGTGCATGCAAACCATCTCCACAATCTGGATCTATTTTAATACATTCTTATCCGTCAGGTTGATATCCAATTTCACACTCAAGACAATCGTCAACGTCACATTTAATACAATTCTTATCAAAATTACAAGAAACACATGAACCATCTTCTATTCTGTATCCATCATCACATTCATCACAGACAACTTCATTTTGACAGATATTGCATGGAGCATAACATTTGATACAACTATTGCCCAATACACCATTTTATTATTCAAAATATCCATCTGTGCATTGTTGGATGCATTATTCCTTAAATAAATAAGTACTCATGCTGCATTGAGTACAAACATTAGCATAACATTCTAGGCAATTTTCAGGACAGGCTAAACAAATATCATTATAATAATAGCTCTAGGGACATTAGGAATAACACTCATAATTATAAAGAGCATATCCATTAAAACAATATAAACATTGTTGACCATCAGAAGTGCAAGAATCACAATTGTCTGGACATTTATTGCATTTATCAACAGTACCTCCTTCAATCAGATTACAACTGTAACCAGGATCAGGAATACAATTAGTACAGCCATCCATATCAATTTAATTACCATCATCACAAAATTCATTTGATTCTCTGATTGAATTACCACATTTTGTTTCTATCTTACAAATTCTGCTGCATCCATCTCCATCCTTTAGATTTCCATCATCACATTCTTCCTTGTCCTTTTTAATCCCATCTCCACATGTTGGTTAGCATATGCTCAAAGAGTACCTGTACAATCCTTAGACACAAGTAAAGCCAGGCTCAATTAAACATGTCTCAGAACAACCATCACCAACTTCAAGATTTCCATCTTCACATTACTCACTTAAACTCTTATAGGAATCTCCACATGTAACTGTAAGAGAATCACATTAGGTCAATGTTTGATCACATTTGTATCCATAATCAATCAAACAATAAGAACATCCATCACCCAATAAAGAATTATTATCATCACATTATTCTAGATCATCAATCAAACCATTTCCACATAGACTTATACATACATTATTTGTACACTAATATCCAAGTTGAATTCTACAATATCCGCATCCATCATTATTATTTGAGTTGTTGTCATCACACTATTCAGTCTAATCTAGGATCCCATTTGAACACTACTTTGAACATGTATCCTTATTCGTTGATGATCCTCCATTACATTGATATCCAAAATCTACTTTGCATTATGAACAACCATCATTGCTGACAGAATTATTATCATCACAATCCTCATTTACTCTCTTTCCATCTCCACAGAGTAATTTACATGTAGTGCCAGAGCAATAATATCCAGCTTCTAATTAACAATTGATGCAACCATTAATAAACAATTAACCAATATCACATTATTCACCAGTATCCAAAACAGAATTACCACATTTCGATTGACAATGACTAGGAGCTCCACTGCAAGAATAGTTAGTATCAATATTGCAATTTGTGCATCCATCATCATTTATAAAATTACCATCATCGCATTATTCAGCTCCTTATAAAACACCATCGCCACATTAGGTACATTTTTTTGATACAGGATCTGCCAAATATCCAACATTGCAATTTGATGCCAACACGCAATTTGAGGTTTACAAGTAGTATCCATTGTTACAACTTGTACAAACAGCAGCACTTGAACACTCCTTACATTGATAAATACAAGATCTACAAAGTGGCAATATAGCTGATGGATATCCAGTAGGACCAGCAACACAACTAGCAACACAGGAACCACTCTATAAGAAATTAGAACATTTATAACATTGCTATTGAGTATAAGAATTGATAGAATGCAGACAGTTAGTCTTGCATTTAACCGTACTAGCACTATAATAATTTACATAGCCAGATCTAATATCTAAGTGAGCCAATCTCATGGTTCCAGATGTAAAAGCATTCTTTAAATCTCCAACAAATATAACATCATTAGCACTCTCATCAAACTTAATGGCAAGTGAAGACTGAGTGTGGGTCTAAATGGCTCCATTGACATAAGCACTGAAATAGATTTTACTAATTCCAAGATTAGCATCAACATATGCTGAAGCAATCGAAATGTAAGTCCAAGTGGAGCCAGTGACAGTAGGAGTGAGAGATATTGGTGATTTGACTGATCCGTAATTCAACTTGATTGTATAGGGAGCAGTGGCTGTCGACAAAATCTGAAATTAATCTTGAGAACCTCCATAGACTCTTCTGATGATGATGGCTTCTTTGGTTGTATCACCTACTGGTTCCACAAAGGCATCGGTGTTCACAACTATATTAGACCAATACCAGAAGCTAATAGATTAGTGAGTGCTACTAAGAAGGGCACTGGGAAGAGTGACATATTGGGATGAAGAGAGCTGAATGTATTAGCCAGGGGTTGGGTCGCCAATGTCAACTCCTCTTGTCGATCCTAGATAACCGTTATTTTGGGATCCTTTTACTTTTTGCCCAATTTAGTCTTCAAATGTGAAGTGATAGATGTTTTCGATGGAATTTCCAAGGAATGCTAAATTGATCCAATTGTAATTATTGTCATTTTCATAATAACCATCATAAAATAGTACATTATTGGCTCGCTAATTTTAAGATCAATATACCCCACAAAAAATAGTATTTGTATTGAAATACATGAGATTCAATTTGGCATCACTGGTTATTGGTGTATTAAAATTAACCCCCACTGATGTCGGAGCCTGGGTTATTCTTATGTCGTTCATTGGTAACCATACGTAAAAGTTGACGTAGCCAGTGCTGTAACTAAGTGTGGCTACTGCGAGAAACCATCTCTTCACTGTGTAGACAAAAGGCTTAGACACAGTTTGAGTTTCGTAGAGGAAGTCGACGATTTCATCATGCACAACCATTCCGATTCTCATTCCATTCTATTAAACACTGAATAATCCTTGCTTATCAGTCCCTTTATTATCCAATTGGAACCAGCCACTACGATCCTATCTCATACATACCTGACTGTAAATTCATTGCCACTCGAGATGGTTAAAGGGTAAGAGTAGGTATCAACCGAGTTGTCTGGTGAGCAGACTCCGATTATAGTGCTAGTAATAAATGACTAGGGAGCTGAACATGGTTAAGTTCGTGTGAGTACAAGTAATAAAAAAAGAGTTATCATTAATATTTATTATTATATATTTGTTTGTCCCACCTCTACAATTTATAATTCTTTAAATTCAGTAATATTCATCATGCTCATCCTCGATTTATTCGAGATATTTCCCCATTATCATTCTGCTTCGGAATCAATATAATTTATAAATGCAAGATAAAGTTAAAATTCTCATGCTCGGTGAAAGAAGTGTCGGAAAATCCTCTCTCTTAAATCGCTATATCGATGACAAGTTTTACGACACCATTCAAGCCACTCTCGGAGTCGAATACAAATAAAAAGTGATTACTAATGGCGAATCGTAACTTACTGTTTAAGTATGGGATACTGCAGGTCATCATATAGCTTTTCATTTCTAGGCTAAGAGAGATTCAGATACATCGCTCCTATTTATTATCGAAATGCTCAAGGGGTTCCCATGGTCTATAGCGTCGTCGATCGAGATTCGTTCAATCAAGTGCAAACCTGGATGGACTATCTCAAGGATCAGGTCGATAATCAACTGATATCCATTATTCTGGTTGCCAATAAATGTGATCTTGAAAACAGACATGTCTCCACATCTGAAGGTTAAGAATTGGCATAACTCGTAATTATTTATTCTAGAAATAGTACTCAGTCAGATATTTTGAATGCTCAGCCAAAACAGGAGCCCAAGTCAAAGAAATGTATTCAGAATTAATTTAATAAATTCTCTCTAAAAGAATACAAAATAATGAAGAATCCCAAAGACTCAGAAATTTCCCTCAAGATTAAGTAGATAATACATAACCATAAAAGTGCTGTTGAATAAAATCTAATCATTATCCCATTGATGAATTCATCTTTCGAAATCCATCAGATTGCATCCGCTTTCTCTTCTCATAATCCAACATAAACAATTTCCTCTTCTCCTCTGCTTCCTTCCTTATTTAGTCTGCCAATTTGCCAACCTGCTCCCTATCCTTTTTCATCTATTAACACTTCTCCTCCTCCTTTGTCATCTTCTGCTCCAATTTCACTCTCCTATATCCATTCAACTATTCCATTCTCCTAAGATTATCCTCAGTATCAATCTCCTTTATTATTTATTACGTAGTTCTAGTCTTATTCTATATACTTCTACCTGTACTTATTCTCCAAATCCTTCTTGCTATTCAAACTGCCCAACTTCTCTTGAGTTCTATTCAGTTTTTATTGCAACTCATTCCTCTATTGCTCTTGCATGAATTCATTATTAAATAATATTAGCTTTATCTTCTTTTCCTTCTCCTCATACTTTCTGATCTTTTCTTCCATCTATTACCTTTAAAACTCATCCATCAACTCCTTCTTTTTGAAATATTCCTATTACTTAATCTCATATTTTTTTCTCTTCTCCTCCTCTTTAGTGAAATTCAATTACTTAAAATTATACTATTTTTTACCATAATCTTATTTATTTGCTATTACTTATCAACATTTTATTTTTACTTCTGTTACTTCACATAATCTAAGAACTATTCAAAGTCCTTTCTTTTCGCTTCTACCTAAGCCTCCCTTTTTAAGTAATCCAGTCTCTTTCTTTCCATTATTTCTTCATTATATTTTCTGACTTTCTCCAATTTTTACTCGAATTCCTTTCTCTCCATATCTGCAAATTTCTTCCTCTCTTCATTCTTGAATTCAATTAATTACAATCTCTTTCTCTCCTTATCTTCTATTTGCAATTTCTTTTATTCCTATAATTTCTATTATTCAAACTAAAATTGTTCCTACTCCCTTAAAATTGAATCCTACTTCTGTTTTCTATCCTTCTCTTTGAATTCTGCCTCCAATTTTGTTCTTAATAAATTTTCAATTTCTCTTTATTTTCTTTTTTGCTCCTTAACTTCATTTTCCTTTAGCTTTTAGTCTTATATCTACTTCTCTTTTTATTCTTTTTTCAGCTTTTCCATTTCCAATTACTATTTTTTCATTTCATTATACTCTCTCTTCCTTTTTAATTCTTCTTAAAACTGTTACTCTTTTTATTGCTATTTAAGCAATTTAAATTGCATATCTTTTTCTTGCTATTCTTTGAGTTATTCTTACTCAATCATTTTATCTATTTCTATCTGTTGTCTTCTCTTAATATTTTCTAATAATTTTGATTATTTTTCTGCATAACTTATTGAACTAAAATTTAATTAGGATTAATTATGCGTGCTTTTACTTCTTGTTCCATTTTCTTAAAGTATTTTCTATCTCTATGCTCTTACCAAATCGATCTTTTGTTTCCTTTTATCCTCCAAATGTTTTTCAATTTCACATATAAATTCATCAGTAAGTGATGCATCTTTTGATTTTACCATTTATGTAACTTGAGCCTTAGACTTTTTAATTAATTCGTTCTCATGAATTCCTTCTCTTCTACATGCCTCCAAAAACCTTGGAGTTAATATATCTGGAGTAATATCATATGTATGCATTATTTTTTTATTGTTATATTAATTTAAATTATTGTTATTTGATTTATTTTGGAATTCAAAATAATCTCAACACTTGCTATATTCCAAATTATATTTTAAATATTCAAAAAGAACTTAATAAAGGATAAAAATTCATTCATTATTAATTTCCATCACCACAATTTTAAATACTTAAAAATCAAATTCATAAATAAGGAAATTATTTCATAAAAATCATGCTTTTATGGTGAACATTTTTTTGTTTCGAATTATGTGATTAAATTATTGGAGATAAAGATCTTGTGTTTTTATTGTTAATGTTGATCTGTGAAAGTTTGAACGTCACTGAATGTTTACCACTTCTATTCGAAAGATTGCTGAAGGAGGATGGACTTGGTGTACGTTATTTTAGAATGCCTTTCAATTCCACCTTCTTCTGAACTAGCTTTTTAAATTATTTTTTTTTTTTCTGTTAAGACCTCCTCTCCTATTTTTTTTCCTACATGAAAGCCTAATTTAGAGGATCCTCCTAACTTGTGTTTAAATTAATCTGATATTGAAATTGAATTTAGGCATCCCCAAAGAAATTTAATGACGGACATTACATGTCGTTCTGTTCCTCATCCTGTATTCTTTCTAATTATTATTTACTGGAACAGTGATTTGTAATGTTATCGTTTGTGAAATCAAAAATAAATTCACTTTTAAAAAAGTCCTCTTCAAAAGTATCTAAATTTTATTAAATATTCTAAATTGATTAGTGCAAAATTTGTTTGCTAGGATACTTCAGATCAGGATACACATTTATGCGAATCACTTTTTCCTTTTAATTTATGGTCTGATTTTATTACAAACAATTATTGCCCATAAAATTAATCAAAGATAAAAAAAAATTAAAGAACTTTCACTATATAATCATTAAGAATTTATAAAAATTCTTAACAAAATTTTGTTTTGAGATATAAATTACAATCAAATAAATTAAAATTACCTAATGCCTTTTTGCTTTTTCTTTAATTAAAAAATGCGACATAATAATAAACAAACGAAAGTAATATTAGCACATTCTTTGGAATACTAAAATTATACTGCCAATAAGTTATAGTATTATAATAATTATTATATATAAATCAATCATCGATTAATAACTTAATCATTTTGTTATAAGTTAGTTTTTCATTATCATTAACTACTTATTGAGCTAATTCGTAAGAATTCTTGAAACAACTAGGATTCAACACTGTTATTGTTTTTTAAATGTCTTCTGTACCAATTAGACCATCTCTGTCCTAATCCATTATTTTCGTCAATAATGTATTTTTGTCCCCGAATTAGATGGCATTTAGCAATCTCACTAATGATATGAAATCAATTTCTTGTTATTTCCTTCCTATCAACTACTAAATCAACAATGGACTATATTTGTGATGTTGAATGATTTTAATGAAATCTGTTGCACTAACAAATCCTTTGTTGTTGGTATCAAGCTATTAGAATTTCTTATGTATTCTTCTTATTTGAGCTGGAGTGACTTTTATAATAAAATAAGGCATTTACATTGTGTTTCATTCTTGTATAAAAGAATCTATTGATCCGTTAATTAAGTGTTTCCCATTTTTTAATATTAAATTACTTTAATTATTATATTATTTCCAAACTCCCGCATATTTTTACCATGAGATTTATGTTTTTATTAGAATTGGAGCTATTCAATACGGATTAAAAAGAAACTTAAATCATTTATATAATAATGAAGAATTTCACTCAATTGAATCTAATTATTTATATTGCTATTGAATTTATAGAATTTCCTAAGGCAGCAATTCAGAAAGACACTATTTAGTCTAATATCTTGAAATATGTTGAAATTTTACTTAAGATAGACTCTCAAAGATTATTCATTAAGAAGTTTATAACTCACCCATAATACATCTAAAATAAGAATAAGTGCTTACGTTAAATTTCTTTTTTATCATTATTAATCAAATTGTCCAACTCCTCAAATGTATGCTTGACTTTTGAATATTATTTAGCTTCTAAAAACCTAAGCTTTATTGAGTTTTTTTCATTTTTCCAATGATCTTTTATCTTCTCACATCCTTCCCCATATTTTATGACTGAATCTTTTGGAAATATGGCTAATTCAATTGCCATCTCAGTAAATCTAGGCAAGGTTAGATACTTGTCCCCTTAATCATCAGCAAAGTCTGCATTTTTTAAAAACATCTATAATAAGTTTTGCCCCTCTTCTTATTAAGTGTGGATTGCTCTATAAAGGGTTTTAAACTACGATTTACTAGATATTGTTTACTTCCTAATACTCAATGAGTTTATTCCCATCTAGATCGGCAGCTTTAAATAATTTTTCCAATATATTTTAATAGTCCTTTTTATTAAAGATATAGAAATCTAAGATCTTCATTATAAATTAATCATAATTAATGCAATATTTGTTGATTCCAAATTGCTAACTTTAGACCTTATACTGATTTTGTAACTGCTAGATTTAATTTGCTTATAACCAGAGTTAAGATTTATCATTTAAAAATTCATTTGCTGATTCATATGTTATTAAAAATTCATTTTTACTGGATTCTATCTTATTATTAAAAAACACAAAAGTTTCTATTAAAAGTTTTTGAGCAACTTCATCAATTTCATCTTTAAAATTACAATATTTTGAAATTAACAAAACTTTTGTATTTTTTTCTTTCTCAATTATGATAAATTCATAAATCTTCATAATAGTTAATTAATTACTTATTTTATTTTTTTTTCAGCCACTTATTTAAATCCATATTTATTTTTTATAAAATCATAAATACATACATGAACTGGGATTTTATATCCTTCACTCTATTTAGAAACTTCAGATAGTATTTAATTAATTATTTTGTTGAATTAAAGAAACGATAAAGTCTTATTTATATTTTTACTATTCATAACATGTTTAAGTAAATTATTAGCTACATCAGTATTTTAACTATAAACTCTTCTAAATCTTTTTGGTTGTTTAGTTTCCTAAAGTAGATTAAAATTGATAGTTTTATGAGCAGAGGAATCTATATATTATTGATTTCATATTACATTTAGTTAATTATTTATCTTTATATTGTGATATGACATCTTTAATTCTCTAAGCGCAATTTTTATCTTAATCTAATTCCATTTTCTCTGATTCGATTTAGCTTCTTTGACTTTGTTTCATTTGAGAAACTTCATCTTTTTCTGTTATGGTATTATTACTGATGCTATGTTTTGAATTTCTGTTTTCAAACTTAATGTCTAATTAATTCTTACTATTTCTAGTATGATATTGTTATTGATTAATAAATTTTTGATCTCCTTACTATTATTAATGTTGTTAAATAGACTTTATTTTTTGATTATTTATTTAAGTTTTGTTTACAGTAGAGGATTTCAATGTCTTGTTTTCTTCTGATAATTGATTCTTTTAATTAAAATTAATCAGATAATCTGACTTTGAATTTTCAGATTATATTTATTCTTTAGTATCTTTGTAAATCTCTTCATTTTTAATATTCACATATTCTGATTATTTTTTACGATGTCCCTTATTCTTATGATCTTATACTTCTTCTTTTGAATTAATTTAATTATTAGAACTATTCTCAAATTATTCCAGTTTGTCATTTAAATTAGTATCTGATATAGCTTTCTTAAAGTCTTAAATTGGTCGTTTTTAAAGTTGAATCGAATCTATCATATGAACTGAACTTTTGATAGATTCCTCATCATAAATTTATAGAGATTTGTCATCATTCTAGTTTTAAGATTCTTTGCCAAGACTGAAAGCATTCTCATCTCCATCTACTTCATTAATTAAATTCATAAGATGGCTTTCCTCCTCCTCTATTGGTTTCACATCATTAATTACTATCTCATACTTGCTTTCTATTTCTTTTAAAGTCCCAACCAATTAAGTATTTTTTGAAACCAAATTACGTAATTTCCTTTTGCTATTTTAGATTATTGAAATAAAATCTTATACAGTTTATTATAGTTTAATCTCCAACTCTTAACATAGTTCCTCTTTTTCCAATAATTCCATCTTTTTCCTTGAATCCATCTTTTTCATAGAAATCAATCTCTATGATAATGATTTATTTTATTCACATACATCCTTAGTTTCACTTAAAGTTTTGTAAAATAATTATTTTTAATTCTCATCTAATTTTTATTCCTCCAGCAGTTTAAAAACCTTGGTTATTCTTAATTCTAAATCGTCTTATTGAGGTTTTCTATTCTCATCAATTGAAATATTTGAGTCATTTTGTAAATCTTTTTCTTTTTTTTTTGTGTTATCTTAGGAATCCAAAACTAGATCTTCAGTCTGAATAGCCTTATCATCTGTGCCACTTATTTACACTATTTTGCTTTGGGAGGGCTGATAATCTTTATCGAAATCTAAGTATTTAAGTGATATGATCTATGATTTCAATTAATTTTCTTATAGCCTAAGTTACTCCCATCTATCAAAGATCATGCTATTTTTCTTGGGTGATCTGCCAGGAGATTAGCTTCCTTTAGATTTAAAGGGAGATTTGATTCTATACTTTTGATTAGTGTCTATTTTAGCTTAAAAATTCATTAAATGCGAAACTATGGATTGGCCCTATTGAACTTAGATATTTATTTTCTCGCTTTCTTTTTTGGTCTCAGCCTATTCAGTTTTCAACATAAGAATTTATAATTGCAAATCATCTATTTGTTTTCTGTGTGAATCAATAATTTCAAGTGCTTCTCTGTATTCCGAAGTTAATTCCAATATCTACTCTTTTTGCTATTAATCAATATCTAAAGCCCTATCATAATCGAATTATAGTTATTTGATTTGGTTCTTGCTTTCATTATAAATGAGTTCCTAAAATTAAAGTTGTTCATTGTAATAATTTTGTTACTCAGTCACTTTATTTTTCATTTCTTATTCAAAACCTTGCATTTATTAATTTGAACTTTTAATAACTTAATCAATCAATTGGATGTAGAAGTCCCATATAATTTAGAGTAATTCACCTCTTTCTACACATTCAATTTTAACTTAACTAGAGTATAGGTCATGTTTACTTAATGATTTCTTTCAAACATGTAGTATAAATTAGTTGGATTTCCTCAGCAATCTAAACTGCACTCAAGTTTTTGCTATTGTCTTTTGTTCTTTAAATCATGAGGAACAGCCATTCCTTCAAATCTAAGGCTTGTTGTCTGTTGGGAGGGATGGCTGATTGATTTGAGGATTGCTTGATTTCATGTTTTAGAATATCATAGAAGTATTTTTACAACCCATTCTCCATGAAATTCTTATCCTTTAACAAGTCTTCAAAGTCTAACCATTAGCTCTTGATAGTAGTTTTATCAATTTTATTATTGAACTGTAATTTGTTTTATGATTTTCTATACATCGTACTATAGAAGCTGTGTAAAGATTTATCGTATTTCTATAGTTATTAAATATTGTTAATACTGTTTAGGAGAGTTCTGGATCTTTGTAGATTATGCTTTCAATTGATTGAATTTTTTTATGTTTTGTTTTGAGATAGGAAACATCAGAGTTCGATGAAAAGTTTTTATTGGTGAAATCGGTTTTCATTCGGTGCGATGACATTTCTGCTCTAATTGAGAGAGGAATACTGGAATTAATGCTCTGATCCCAATCTGTCTTTATTAAAAGTTTTGCCTATTTTAATTCAAAATTCCTTACTGTTGATTAGGCTTTTTGGATTTTAGGAAAGCAATTTGTTTTATTCATAATAAAATAATAATTATATTATAACCTGTCTAGTAATTTTTATTACAGACTAATTTAACTTTATTCATATAATATTAATATTAAAGAATCACAATAACAATTTAATGACCCATTATTCTTTACATATTTAGCCATCCTTATCTAGCAATGAAACACAGGCATCAATATTATTGAACTTCAGCATCCTCTAAAAATAGTAGATTTTTCCATTCAATTTTATATCTACCCAATCTAAAGACAAAGATTTCATCCCTTTGAAAATTTAGATTTCCCATCAATAATTTTTAATTAATAGAGAAAACCTTCTATTTGAAGTTTTAATAAATCTTTTCTTAATATCCTCTGAGATATTAAATTAAGATTTTTAATTATTAAATTTGTTATGATCAATCATATTATTCAAATTCAGTTGTATTGAATTTCATCACCATTTTTGGCATTTAAGGCAATTAGGGCACAATATCATTGGTTACAAAAGACCCTTTATAATCTGGCTTTTCTTCAGGAGATGAAAAATCCACTGTTAAAGTTGCAGATCTGGTTTAGGCAAAAAACATCTTTTTATGAGCATTTGAAGGTTTCTCTGTCAAAGTGAAAAAATCATGGTTCAAACACTCTTATGCAGTTGGTCTCAATTTAGGATCTTTAGAAAGCATTTTTTATACAAGTTCCCTCAATATAGACTAATATTACTATCACATTGAGTGGTATTTTCTTTAATGTCAACGGTGAAAAGTCAATGTGACACTTTTTATTTAATTGTAAAACAAAGTTGAATCCAGTCCCTGGAAATAAGTCTCTACCTGTCAATAACTTAAAAAAGACGGATCCTGCACTAAAGATATCACATGCAGGACCATAAGTTGTATCCTTATCAGTTAAATTAGCTATTTCCGGTGCAACATAGCCAGGAGTTCCACATTTCGGATATTTAAATCTATAATTAAATTAGTATAATACTTTTTTAAATTACAATAGGTAGCTAGACCGAAATCAACTAGTTTGAGTGTTGTAAGGTTGTTGGTCTTTTGCAACACAATATTCTCAGGCTTGATGTCTCTATGGATAATGCTTTTTGAATGCATATATTCAATTCCACTTAATAAAGCCTATTTAACAATTAATTTACATGCATAATCTTTGAGGATTATTCCAAAGTTAAGCCTCCATGTTAATTCTTTATTAATTATTATAAATTCTTTCCTGATAACAGATCCATAACAATATAATAACTTGTTTCACCTTAAAATACCTCTTTTATTTTGACAAAGGCGGGATGGTCTAATTAGTTATTGATCTCGATTTCTTAATACATCAACTCATTCTTTTCTACGCATTTAGCTGCAAAATACTGATCTCCTAACTTTGATTTCACTAATAGCACTTTGGCTGAACTGCCTTATCCTAAGATTTACAAGGGAGTATAGAAGTCTTGGATTCTCGAAAAGAATAGTCTTCCATTTAATAATTCTTTTAATTTGTATGCTTAATCTGTTAAGTAGGTCGTATTATTAATTTTGAATCCCACCAAGCTTTTATTGTAAACCCAATGGATTAGATTAGGAAATGAAATCGGCAGTGAGAATTTGGGTTCATCATCTTGGTAAATGTGTAAGAAGTCCTTCTTTAGAAAGGCTTTAAAGGGAGGTTAGAGATTAAGGGATAAGAGAATTTCATTGTCGATGAAATTTATCTGGGTTTTAAGCACCATGGAATACACATTAGGACAACAGGTTAAAAACATTTTTAGTATTAATAAATTTAATTATGATTATCAAACAATATTATACTCAATGATAATAGTTTTTTATATATTTTAATTGTTAAATATTTAAAATGAGTTTGATATAATTTAAGAGAGAAAAATATGGAATCAAGTTGAGAAGGGATGCTCTGGAGAAAATATTTAGTTTAAAAAGAGTAATCAATTCTCCAGACATAGTTCAAGTTTTTCAAAAACAATTAGAATCGTATGAGACTGATATTTTAGAAGCTATTGAAATTTTAAAATAGTACTAAAATATTAAGCCTGAATATGTTTAACTCTGGCTTTTCTTGTTGTACGATTGTTTTATCTATTTGGATTAACAGTACAAGGGAAATGAAATCCTAGACTTATTGCTATTTAGTGTAATTTAATACCCGTAAGTAATATAAATAAATAAATCAAAAGGGCATAATTCAGTTCATCGAGTATCAACTTTTCGAAATCCTACTCAGATATCAAGACATCCAAGCACTTCAAATTATTGAAACAATTCTGAAGTCCCAAATCATTCGATCTCGAGATGTTTAGATTGAACCCCTTGTTAATTACATCTGTTCCTATATACCAGAACTTACAAACAATATTTTAAACATCCTTATTTTGCTATCTCATAATATTGAATGCAAAGCAGTAATTATAGCAAATGATCCAATCATGAATATGTTGCTTATGGAGAATAATCAATTTCAGGATGAACGAAGTAGAATTCTGAGTCATTTATCAAGAGGAAATGTTAAAATGGTTTATTATTTTTATAATTCTAAAGATAAATTGTAATCTTTATTTTATCTAAATACCAAACATTGTCTTAAAATAATAATGCGTTTGATTTGCTATGATGAAACAAAAAAGATTTTATCAATCATGAGAGAGTAAAGAATCAACATTCAAATTGAGAAAATATCCTCTTAAAATTATATCACCTATAAAAATGAAATAGAGGACATTCTATAAGAATTTTAATAGTGATAATTTATAATTATATATATATTATACACTTTATTAATTTTAATGGACTAAAAGTTTGAAAATTGGTTGCCCTTAGAATCCAATACAATTTTATTAAATAAATATTTAGCCAATTTAGGAGTGAATACAGATTTTGCAAATTTTGTAGATATTGTTAGTTTTGAACCAGAATTCCTAATACCAGGTAGTCTAGGAGCATTATTTGTTTACCCTGATTCTCCAGCTATCAATAATTACTTTTTTGAACAAGGAGATAAGATGTTTGAAAAACCAATACCACATTCTCTTTATTACATGAAGTAAATTGCAGAAAATGCATGTGGCACCATAGCCCTTTTGCATATACTGGCCAATATTCCGAAGGAATATTAATTCATTATTAATGAAGAGAGCTTTTGCCCATAATTCATATAGAATACAATTAATATGACACCTGAAGAAAGGGCAGAATATTTGAAAAACTGCAAATTAGAAGTCAAAAAAAAAGATGGTTCAGTAAAATCATTATAAGATGCCCATAAAGAAGTGGCTCAGGAAAATCTAGAGGATCCAAATATTGAACTGAAAGCTGGCCATCATTTCATTGCATTTGTGTGGCACAATGGAAGTGTTATAGAATTAGATGGAAGAAAAAAAGCACCAATTATTTATGCTGATTGTTAATAGGAATTGTTTTTGGAAAAAGTCATAGAAATCTGTCAAAAACATTACATTGAAAAGGATTTGAAAGAAATTGGATTTAATTTAATGGCCTTTTAGATAGGATTTGAATGATCGTTTTATTTACATTTACATTTATAAATTGAATTACACAATCTATTAATTTAATATCATTTACTTTAAACATTTTTAAGAATTATTGTAGATTAAAATACCCTCTTCATAAATTAAGTTATTTTCAATTAAAAGTTTAAAATAAAACTCGAATAAGCTAACTATTGTAATATCATTAAAATTTATAATAATGTTTAGTAAGAAAGGACTCTTGATTGCGATATGGAATGAAAGTTAAACAGTATAAACATACTAAAAAATGGCTATAATTTTTATTCAAATGATAATAATTTTAATTAATCCAAACCTTTTAGAGCAATAAAACCATAAATAACATTCTTTAAAGAAGCAACTCTTTATTGAAAAAGAATCAATATAAAAATAACAGATACCGATTTAAAAAGGATAATTCATAATGCAATAGATTGGAGAGATTTTAAGATACATAGTGTCAGGAAAATCAGAGATGAATTTCTGCCAATTTAGAAATAGAAATAAATATATTTAATGAAACTAAATAACTAAAAAATCGAATAGAGGAATAATGTACTGTAATAATATGGAGTTAACAATATTTGCAAATAGCGAGGATGAAGAATATATAAAAATATTTAATTATATAATCTTCTTAGAATTTTTATGCCAAAATCTATCAAGCTATTAAACAAAAGATTGGTCTAGTTCAAGGTACTGAAATTAATCTGAAAGCAGTAATAGCAGCAATAAAGAAGATCTAATGGTAGTTAAAAAGTACTATAGGTGATAGTAATCAAATAAATAATTGAAAATATATGTTATAAATTTAATCTTTATTATTACAGTTCTCTTTACAAAAATGTTTAATCCTCTTGAAATCGATAACTTTAACAAGATAAACACGCTTTCTAGATTACCTAATATTCTTAAATCCATATTTAGAATTTAAAATATAAAATTTTATAATTATTCAATTTATTCAATAATGACAGTATATTTGCGTATTATAACATAAAAAAAAATAAACTGGAATATAAACTATTAAAAATAAAACAATAATTGAAATGGGGAATATAATCAATACATGATACTCTAAGTGGTTATTGACTATGAAAACAACTAAGCAGCCTCAAGGTTGACTTTCAGATTACTTTCATAATATGATTTTTCAAAAGATTTATTCATTGAGTTCTTTTATTCTATTAGCGACTTTCTTAGAGCTAATGCCTTTGTAATGTCTATTGATCCTAATTACAAATTCAACCCCAAGATGCACGATTCGAGATTTTCTAATTTAATAGAAATATTTATTTTACCTATTTTTGAGTTTAAGCTGACTAATTACCAGTTATTCATTTCTCTAATGAATGATTCGAGTTTAATTTTGCTCAATTAGTTTAAGAACTCTTAATTTCTATTATCTTTAGAACTTATTTCTACGTTGAATTTTCTATTTAATTAAGCTATTAGAGGTTCGAATGTTTGTGATTCCTTTTAAAGTAATTTATCTTGGCTTTAATGTCTTTTGAGAATGACATCATTTTCAAAATTACCTATAAAGCTCATTTCCATTATATCTCTACTTGAAGCATCGAAGTCTAAATCAACAGCATGACTGGCAAGCAAAAACAATTGCATGCTTAGAAGTGACATATTTTTATTTTGATTGTTGAATTCTGAAGCAATATAAGATGCTAATTGAGGGGATGGAACAGCTAAAATGTTTCTTTTTTAAGTCTTTATACTTTTTCCATCGAGCTAAAAATAATATAGTTAAAACTAACCTTGATAATCCATTAGTGGAAAGGGTTGGCAGGATTAGAGGCCATTTCTATGCTAGCTTCTTTATAACATCTTTTAATTGAGATTTAAGATTATATGGAGACTTATTCTGTGAACATAAATTGTTTGACAAAAGCCCTCATTATTCGTAATATTTTTTATATTATGATTTCATATGAGGATACTTTAATAAAATTTATACTGTTCCAATGACGTATTATAATAAATAAATATAATTTTAATAATCTAAAGGTTACTAAAATTTATGAAGAGAAAAAATAAACTATTTATAATTTAAAATTCTTAGGATTCCAATTCTATGTTGAAAAATGATTGCTAATCATCCAATTCTCTATCTATAAAAATATAGTTGAGTAATGTCATTTACAATAATATTCAATACAACATTTTATGATTCATAAAAATAGAAATTTAAGTCTAATTGTAAACTAATTGATTTCTGAATTTTCAAGTGCTAAATCAATTTAGTAAGTGTAATAAAATTGAATAAAAATAGTATATACCTATATTTGATTTGGTAATTAGCTGTTATAAATGCTAGAAATAATATTTTGATCAAAATCTTTGAATTTCTTAAAAAGTTGTTGTTACTAGGGTGGCAACACTTCAGAAATTCTTTGATTGGAATTTGGAAGCTTTTTTATATTTCTATAAATATAAAGACGTAAAAGAAAATAATAAATTATTTTTAGAATTTTTATGGATTTAGACTTTATCTTTTTCCCAGCCCCAAAAGATATATAGAATGATCACTAACATGGTCAAATATTGTGGATTCCTAAATATCCTAAACTTTATCCTGCTTTTCAAAATTATGTACCTAGAACAAATAAGAAGAGGGGAGTCTTCTTCAAATAAAGTGAATTGGATTTTGAAGATGATCATTTTTTAATAGATGAGCCCACGTATCAATTAAAGTCCTATATAATAGAGAAACTTAGTTACAGCCCATACCAAATTTCTAATGGAAACCAATAACAAGCAGATTAAGAAAACGATAGCCTACTGACGCAAACTCTCCAACATTTGATTCTAATGAAGGCAGTCCAGATGTTCAACAAAAATTGCAAAAATTAAATATGCAGTCTGTTTAAATCATCACGAAGAAACCTTAATTGTGTAGGATGTCATCAAATCTTTACCCAATTAAAAAGACAAGAATTGATTAGAGCATTTGTTTTAGTTAACCATTGATTAAATTGCCTCAAGAATTGATTGATCTCAAATAAAAAAATCAAGATTAATCTAATGATGAACAACCTCCACCAAGATCAAACTCAAGGGAATCCCATCAAATCAATGGCCATATTCCCTGCATGTATGTAAATTCAAATAAACATTCCCCCAACATTTTGTTATATTTTCATGCGAATTGTGAAGATATAACATAATCCTATAATTTTTTAGTTCATCTTCGTGAAAATTTATAAGTATTCAAACACAATATTGTTTTAAGGTCTCTGCTATAGCTGTGGAATATCCTGGATACGGCAAGTATAAAAATGAACAACCTTCAGCTGAAGCAATACTAAACGATGCCGAATATGTCTTTAATTACATTACCAAAAGATTGGGATATGCTGAAAACAGAATTATTATATTTGGTAGAAGCATTGGGAGTGGACCTGCTACTTATTTGGCAAATAAATATAAACCTGCATGTCTAGTTTTAATGTCACCATTTACATCACTTAAAGCAGCTGTAAGGGATTACATTGGTTCGTGGGCCTAGTTCTTAATAAGATAGAGATTCGATAATTTAGATCAGATAAAGAAAGTGAAAGTACCAACATTTATATTACATGGTAAGGCAGACAATATCATACCTTACTCATAAGCATTAGAATTATATAGTATAACGTTATTTTAACATAGAATCATGTAAATCTGATAAATGTATATTACATTTGGCAGATGATATGGATCACGTCAGTTATAGATTATACAAAGACTTAATTAATCCATTGACTGAATTCTTACTTTAAATTAAATATTATCAGAATAGTTCTTAAGGACCAAAAATGCCAACTGTTCTCTTTTATGACCCTACGATTGAATGAATTTAAAAATAAACTCCCTTTAAGTTTATTATTAATCAAAACTGTTAATACTTTTAAAATTAATATTAATTAATTTAAATTTATTTAAATTTCAAATAATATGGGTTGGATACAAACTAAACCAAGATCTATGATGTTATAAATGATTCAACTTTCAACTTTATGAAAGAGAGGATATAAAAACAAATGTAACCATAACAAACTCCCAAAAAATGGATTGTTAAATTGTCTTTTATACTATAATTGCAAAATTTTCTTAATAATAAATTTATCCTGATTAATATGTATGAAACACTATTATTATAAGAAGACAAACTTTAAGAAGTTGAAACTGATTTATTTTAAATCTATTCTATATTATTTAACTAAATAATTTATACATTTTCCATTTAATAAATGTAATTATATATTAAATGTGAGCTATTCAGTCTTGAAGGAATATAATTTAAATGATTCTTAAAGAGAGTGAGAGTTTAACAAAGTAAATTAAACAAAAGTAGAGATGAATTGTTTAAGTGAAATATAAACATTGAACATATTTACATCAAAACTAATAGAGTGTAGTAAGTTATTCTTTGGCCAATTCATACGCATAAAACCCGATAGCATTAGCGTAAAATGACCTAAAGACACAGACCGAATATCCCTTCCAAACAGACCCAAAACCTTCAGTTGATATTTTTTGGGTTAAACAATCATAAAATCCACCGTCAAAGCATCTCACTTTATAAATTCTCTAATCAGTGCAAGTTTAACATTGGAGAATTGTTTTAATTGTCTTGATTTTAGTTATTTTATTTTACATCTTAAGGATATCCTATCGTCCAGCATGAAACTCCTGCTAAACCTCCTGATATCAATAAGTTTGCAGTCGAAGGTTCTGCCTTTTATGATAAATCACATAGTATATCCTTTATGCATTCATATACTGCAAATTAGGCAGAATACCCCAGAATTTCTCTTTATTAGGTGGCATGCATACCTCTAAAAATATATTTAAAACCCTCTTTTTTGTAAATCTACGAAATATTCCATAACAAATTACTTAGAGAACGCAATCAATCGGGTTTTTGTAAATTTTTTCAATTTCTTACATTTATAATTTGCATTTTGTCAATTCAATTGGGCAAGAGAGGAAAGCAGCTGAACTTCCTGCAATGCTTCCACAAAATGCACTTAGATTTACATACAAATATATACGTTTGGAAATATGTGAGTTATTTATTCGAATTTCCAATGAAAAATTTCCTCCAGAATTCATAAACCGAGAACACAACTGCATTGGTTATTGGTATGGAAAGTATGGGAAATGACATTCCTTTATAAAAACCTTTTAATCCTTCGTTGTTTATTATTTTTTATAGAGTTTTTAGTACTCCATCATCTGACATTTGCATTCTGACTTTAACTGTGTCTAATGGATGACTTGAAATACAATTAGCTCTAATCTCTAAAAAATGAATAGTACATTCCACTAATAGATCCAGCTGCTAGATCAATAGAGATTTAAAATCTATTTTCATATGTCCATCGAATAAAATCTGTCATTTTAAAAAAAAAGTATATTTACAAGAATCAATTCATGTAATTCATATATTACACACGTCATTATTAATTAATCTTATTTATCATATTACTTATTTCATTGAAATGAAACTTATATACTATTATAAATGTTTAATTATTGTTTTTCATATTGAGCAAAAATTACGTATTATATATAATATTTTAAAATAAAAATGAATTAAATTAAATTAAAATATTTATTGGGAATGATCATGCTGCATTAGAATGTAAAATATTATATTAGTACATTGCAAAAAAAAGAACTATTAAATTGATGATAAAGGAACATTCTCAAACCAAAGTTGTGATTACAATGATTACGCAGTTAATGTATGCGATGAAGTTATAAAATCTAATGGAATTGGAATATTAACATGTGGTAGTGGAGTTGGAATTTCAATGATGGCGAATAAAGTTAAGGGAATCAGATGTGGATAAGTGAATGATTATGATTCAACATTAAAAGCAATAGAAATAGGATGCAATGTAATTTCATTTGGTGCAAGAATTGTTGGTATTGAAATTGCTAAGCAAATTATTGACACTTTTCTTTCTAATTATCACAAAATTGAAAACAATGAAGTTGAAAAGGAAATTTCAAGAATTAAAGAAGAAAACTATAAAAAATGATTAATAAATTAAATTATCGCATTCAAAATTATATCCCGAATGAATTCATTTCTATGTAACTGATGTAAAGAAAACCATCTAAGTCTTTAAATTATTGATATAATTCTTTTAAAGTTTAATCTTTAATGATAATTTAACATACCTATTCTCAACAATATTTTGCCGCAGTATAAATTGATTGAATCGTATTAAGATAGTTTTATTTTGCTTTTAATGTATTATAGAACATTGATTATAGTCATTGTGTTTGGCATTTTGAATCTATTTAATAAATTTAGATTACTTTATAAAATTTTATCTTGGGAGTTTACTTGTGTTTAATTATTCAACAACTACCAAAATATCGTTAGGATAGAGATATTTACAATTATCAGATTCATTTTTTCTTTCATCAAATGATCTTGTATTTTAGAAACTCAATATTTATTTCATCTAAATAGAAAATATAAATAAAAATTACTCAAAAATTCATTTTATCTTTTTATTTCTTGTAATGATGATGATAATTTAATTAAATTGCATTTATTATTATTTTATTTCAACATAATAGGACACATAATCTTAGGAACTAAATAAATTCTGCAACTTGATTATAAAAAAGTAATTTTATTATACAAATATCAATATATTTATGAAAGTGAAATAAATTAAATATCATTTAAGTCATCAATTAAAGGTTTTAAAATGAATAGGAAATATCATAGATAATAAACTAAATGTCTATAGCCAAGAAATTAAAATAAATAAAGTTTTAATATGTAAAAATAGAAAAGATTTTGTTCTTATAAATTACGGACCAAATGCAAGATTTTATAATTACTATTGAGATATTCGCTTTGTATTATATGGATTTTCATCTTCTTTATAATTTACATTATTCACTTAAAATATACTAGATTACAGTTAAGCAATTTTTCATTTCTCCTCTCAATTTCAAAACCAACTCATCTCTGAATTCCTACAATATTAAAAAAGATAAATAATACCCTACTGCCAGCTTATATATGCACTCCTTCTTCTTTTCCTATACGATTTAATTTTTTCTAAATTTCTTCAATTAAATAGATTGGGACTACTATCTTCGTTTGAAATGGATTTTGCTTGATTTTTTGTTAATTTGAACTTTTCTATTGATTAGAAGTACCTAGTTGATCTAGATTTTCTTTATTTTTTATATCTTTTGTTTGATTCCGATCTGGATCTTGCTCTTCTAATAGAGCTGGAAGAAGAAGATTTCTATCTGAATAATTAGGAATAATACTAACCTTTTAGGTTTCATATCCTGTAGAGAAACTGAATTTTTGTATTATTATGCAAAGTTTTCATTAATGTACTTTCCGCTTTCAAGGATCTTTTTAATTATTTTAATACAGGTCCTCCATTTTTAAAACACTCTATCTATTCTAAAATTAACACTGTTGCTTCCAACTTATGCTCCACTGATCCAATTACTTAAACCAAACAATCTAGCTATATTATTTATATTACATTATCCTATATCGGAATCATCCTTATAGGACATTACTTTTATTTATGCTCCTTTGGCTTTGTTTGCAAGTTCTTTTATTTGGCAGCCCTCTTTAAAAAGATAATATAGGATGATTATTTACTGGCTCCTATTAATTTGGATGCAAAATTGGCAGGCATAACTACTCTGATATCAAAATCTAATTTCTTGAATTATGAGCTAATTCTGCGAACAATAGATTTAATAGCTTCTTATACATTTTTCAAGGTTCCAACTAACTATAAAATTTCTTCATCTTTTTTTAGTTTATTCTAAATTGAGATTCTAATAATATACTTTGATTGGGATTTCATTACTACTTTTAGCTTTCATTTTTAATTAATATTTTTTTTCTAAATCTTTATTCTTTAGAATGTAATCCACTATTATATTCAAAAAGACAAGTTAAACCTAGTTATTGATTAGAAATACCTTAGTAACAACTTTTCCTGGGTCTAATGGTTCTGCTCTCTTTATGTAATCATCTTCTGTAATTCCTCTTTAATGTAATTTATTTGTTATTAATTTAATGGCATTAAATATGCAATTAGCCTAACCTAAAGAATATACTAATATCTTTACCTACTATCTTAACTGATCTTAAAGAAAATTTATTGATGGCATTATTCACAACCACATCAGTTTTTGTTTCTTATTAAATATTTTTAATTTGCTTTCCTGATGTACCAATCAAGTATGAGACAGTTCCTAAAATCTATAGAATTTCCAACCTTCAGGTATTAGCATCATCATCTCAAAATTAGGGTTTTTTTTTTATTCAATTAATTAGAGTATTTTATTGATGGCTTCAAGTTATGAATTTAATTTGTTATCATCATAATCAATAATTGAGAATGCTGTTCCCTCCAGCCCAGGAATTTGATTATTTCGATTCAGTTGAATAGACTTGATATCATATTGTGACTAAACTATGTTATTTTTTGTACTTTCACATCCTCCAATATATTTTTCAATTCTTCTGATTTTATATATTTCCATTCAATAAAAAAATGAATTTAAAATTATCTTTTTCTTCTTGATTGCTCCTGAGGCGATGAGGACCTTGACGATTGGCCTGATAATCCTTGTTCATCCGCTATATCCTTAGACATGGTAATTAATTATTATTTAATTTAATTCAAATATTAATTGTTTTATTGCATATATTGATATTCTATGTAAAATATCCTTACTTTCCTTAAATAATATTTTAATTAGATTTATTTCTGAAGAGATGCTTGAGAAGCTTAGTTAGAAGATAAGCGGCGGTACAACATCAAAAAGTGATGCTTGTGAAATATGTGGAAAACAATTTGATTGGTACAATTCTTTATCAAGCACTAGGAAAACCAAGTAGAATTAGTGTAAGAGATGCTTTAGAGGTGTTTGTTCAAATTGTAGTCAAGACAAAGCCATTATAATTACTCATGATGCAAAAACTCCACATAGAATATGCAAAATTTGTAAGGACGATCAGTAGCAACAAAAATAAATAGTAGAAGGAGAGAATTGCAAAGTTGGATAATTATCTAATGTAGGTAGAAGATGGGTATCGATAATTTATGGAGACAAGTATTTTTTGATTATAGCTAGAATTGAAATCAAAAAGATTTAAGAAGAATATTAAAAAGCATTGCCAAGTTTTGTTTCCAATTCTAATTACGAAATTAAATAGTAAATTTAAACTAATCTGTTAAGAATCTTTAAGGAAGTATGAAAATTTTTTATATACTTTTTAGAACAGATAATCATTAAATTATTCTTTAGCTGATTGGCATTATCGTTGTTGTGCAAATGAATAAGACAACATACTTGTACAAAAAATAAGTAATATATTAACATGCTTTTTCTAATCTAAGCCGGTTAGACTCACAAAAGGCTTAGTCTTTTTGACAACTTATATTTTATATTTTTGTGATGAGCCTATTTCTTTGAAAGTGTTGTAATTTTTCCATGAAAAAATTATACCTCCAAGAATACAGTATCATAAGTTAGAGTAGGATGAAAGTAAACCAATTCTAGGCGAAGTTGATCTTTTGCTTGAAATGGTTAATGAATCTAGTAAGATGGAGAAGTCAGTTTAACAAAAAATTAAAGTGATTTTAGAATCCTATTCTACTTAAATGTTGACAACATTTATGATCAATTCATTTGAATTTTATCTTGGCTTTTTCATATTTAATTAATTAGTCATCAATCATAATGTAATTTATAAATGATTAATGTAGTTCTAAATGAGTGAGAAATTCTTAGCCTACATCTGTCGTGATTAATATAAAGCAATCTAAGAAATAAATGTTGATGAATTTCAGAGATTGATTCTTAGAAATATTTAACTAGATAAATTTACTGCTTTCTTATCTCAAGAAGATGAAAAAAAAATTAAATATAGGAATTCCATTGCATAAAAAGAATAATAATTATAATAATAATAATAATAAAATAATAAAATTGATGATAAAGAAGTTGAAAAACTGTTTGAAGCTTTGATTTAATTGGTTGATGAAGATCAAAGTAATAAATTAGAATCCATGTAAAATGCAAGTAAATTTGATTGGAATAAAACATAAATTAAGGAATTAGTCAAGTCTATTAAAAAAAGAAATTCAGTTTTATAAACTTAAACGCATTTAGAAGATTAATTGAAATAATATTAAGAAAAAAGCGCAGAGTAATTATAATAACAACAAATTGGATAAGGATTCATTTAAAGCGAAATCGAAGAGAAGAATTAATTGATAAAATAATTATAAGATAAAATTAGATAACAACAATAATTAATATCAAACTATATAGAACAAACTAAATTATTAGAAGAAACACATCAATAAAGCATGAAAAGTTAAGAAAGAGAATATTTAAAGATGATTGAAGAATTGAAAAACAATACTATTTTAAAATCTAATAAGGAGAGCTTTTATGAAGAAAAAATATCTTCGCTTTAACTAGAGATGGAACGCAAAATAAAAGAGAAAGAAGAATTCATTAAAAGTAAAGAGGAGCAATAAGAAAAAGAGATTTACTTAATTTCTGAATAATATGATAAAATTAAAAAGGATTTAGAGAATAAAGATATTCTGTATAAAAAATAATAAAAAGAATAGGAAAATTTATTTGAATAATAATTAAGATAAGAATGTTAAAAATATGAGAATACCATAAAGACTTTGGATGAAAAATATCAATATTAAATAGAAAATTTAGAAAAATAAGTAATAGAGATAAATTAGTAAAAAAATTAAATAGAATTGGAAACCCAAGAAAAGATAAAAAATTTGGAAAATTTACTTAAGAAAAATTAAGAAGAATCTTAAAATTTATTGAAACAAAATTTAGAGACCTATGAGGGAAAAATAGAATAAATGCAGATAAAATAATAAAATGAAATAGAAGGCATTCAAAACCGACTTTAAGATTAAAACTAAAAAGAAAATTAAAATAAAGAAAATATATACCAATAAGAAATAGAATAGATAAATTAAGATTATAAATAATAAATAAATGAAATTAGTTAGAATTTCAAAGAAATTATATAACGAAAAGATGAAAGTATTAAATAATAAGAATAGAAGATACAAGATTAAGATTCTAAACATTAAGAAAAATTATAATCTGTATTAGAATAGCATAGATTAGAATTAGAATCAAAAGAACAATCAATAAAATTATTAAAAGAAGAATCAAGTTAATATTTCACACAAGAAATATAACAAAATACAGAATCGTATGAAAAATAATTAGAATAAAAAGACTAAACATATCAATAAGAAATAAACGAAATTAATTAGAAATTTTAAGAAACTATGTTTTAAAAGGATGAATTAATCAAATAATAAGAATAGAAAATACAAGAATTAGATTAGCAATATTAAGGATAATTAAAAACTTTAGAAGAATATCATAAAAATAAATTCTAGTAAAAAGATGAAGAATATTAAAAATAATTAGAATAAAAAGACAAAGATTATAAATAATAAATAAATGAAGTTAACTAGAATTTCAAAGAAGTCCTTGAACAGAAAAATGAAATTATTAAATAATAAGAGTAGAAGATACACGATATAGAATTAAAACATTAAGAATAATTACAAATTTTAGCAGAATAACATAAAGTAGAATTAGAATCAAAAGAATAATCAATAAAATTACTAAAAGAAGAATCAAGTTAATATTTCACCTAAGAATTGTAATAAAAAGATGAAACACATAAAAAATAATTAGAATAAAAGGATTAAGATCACAATATATAAATAGATGAAATAAATTAGAAGTTCAAAGAAATTATATCCTAAAAGGATGATTAAATAAAATAATAAGAATAGAAAATACTAGATTTAGATTTAAATCAATAATAATAATTAAAATCCTTAGAAGAATAATATAAAAATGAATTATCATAAAAAGATGAGACAAATTAAAAATCATTAGAATAAAAAGATGAGGAATACAAAGAATAAATAAATGAAATTAATTAAAATTTCAAAGAAATTCTTTAACAAAAAGACGATTCCTTAAAACAATAAGAGTTGAAAATACAAGATTTAGATCTGAATCATTAATAAAAATTAAAAACTTTAGAGGAGTAGCATAAAAATTAATTAGAATAAAATGATGAAGCCTATTCGAAATTATTAGAATAAAAGGATTAGGAGAATATAAAATAAATAAATGAAATTAGTTAAAATTTCAAAGAGATTCTTGAAAAGAAAGATGAAACCATGAAATAATTAGAGTACAAAGTAAGTGATTTTGAATTAAAACTTTAAGAATAATAAAAATATTTAGAAGAATAGCATAAGCTAGAATTAGAATCAAAAGAATAATCAATACAACTATTAAAAGAAGAATCAAACTAATACTTCACTTAAGAATTGAAATAAAAAGACGAAACACATTAAAAATAACTAGATTAAAAGGATTAGGATCATATATAAGTAGTAAATGACATTAGTTATAAATTTAAAGAAGCTATATCTTAAAAAGATGATTAAATAAAATATTAAGAAGAGAAGATTTATAATTTGAATTTGAATTATTAGGAATAATTAAAATCCTTACAGGAATAGCATAATAATTTATTATCACAAAAAGATGAGACACATTAAGGATAATTAGAATAAATAGACTTAGATCATAAATAATAAATAAATGAAATTAGTTAGAATTTTAAAGAAATTATTTAATAGAAAGATGATTCCTTAAAACAATTGGAATAGAAAATACAAGATTTAGATTTAAATCATTAAGAATAACTAAAATCCATATTAGATTAGCATAAAGTAGAATTAGAATCAAAAGAATAATCGATAAAGCTATTAAAAGAAGAATCAAGTTAATATTTCACACAAGAATTATAACAAAAATCAGAATCATATGAAAAATAATTAGAATAAAAAGACTAAGATTATAAATAATAAATAAATGAAATTAACTAGAATTTCAAAGAAGTCCTAGAAGAGAAAGAGGAAAATCTTAAATAATAAGAGCAAAAGTTAAATGATATAGAATTAAAAAATTAAGAATAATTTAAATCCTTAGCTGAATAACATAAAGTAGAATTAGAATCAAAAGAGCAATCAATAAAATTATTAAAAGAAGAATCCAGTTAATATTTCACATAAGAATTGCAATAAAAAGATGAAACACATTAAAAATAATTAGAATAAATAGACTAAGATCACAAAAAATAAATAGATGAAATAAATTAGAATTTCAAAGAAATTATATCCTAAAAAGATGATTAAATAAAATAATCAGAATCGAAAATACTAGATTTAGATTTACATTATTAATAATAATTAAAATCCTTAGAAGAATAATATAAAAATGAAATATCATAAAAAGATTAGGACTTAAAATAATAAATAAATGAAATTTAAATTAATTATTAAAATTAAATTTCAAATGTTTCCCAAAAACTTTAAGAAGAACTTATTTAAAACGATTAATTAACAAATTAAATTTCATTACTTCAATAGATTTATGACAAGCAATTACTATAAAAAGATGATGAATATAAAAATCTAATTCTTGAAATAAGTGAAAATCATTTGAGGTAACTATAAAACATTAATCCTTCCTCTTAGGATGATAATAAACAAAATGAATCTAATAATAACTAACTTTAATAGTAATTTAATCTATAAATATGTTAAAAAGATGAATAAATCTTAAATTTAACCTTAGAGAATGAGTAATTAAGAGAATAGATTGTAACTGAAAATAAAGTGACTGCATAATAATAATAGATTTATATCAAAGATGATTTCAATCAGCAATAAGAATAATTATCTAATTAAAATCATAAACTAATTAATGAAGATAGTAATAATTAAACAAATACTGACTTTTAAATCATAGAAGAAAATTTGAAATCTTTAATAAATGAATAAAATGAATAAATATCTGAATTAAAGCAAAAAGATTTTGATAATTAAAATATTATAGAATCTCTAAAACAAAATTTTGAATCAAAATAGTAAGAACTATAGAGTAAATATTAAGGTTAAATTGATGCATGTATGAAAGATTATGAAGATGAAAAAGATAAAATGTAAAATTAATTTAAACAAGTCCAAAATGATTTGGAAGAAAAATATAAATTGGAAATATTTGAACTTCTTGAAACTATATCGAAATTAAGATTTTAGATATAAGATATTGAATCTAGTTTGTAAAATACAAATGCTGAATTATTTTCACAGTAGACAAAATTAAAATAAATAATTTAATTACAATTTGAAGAATAATTGAAGAAATAGGCATCAGAAAAAGATGAAATCATTTCAAATTTCGAGAAATTAAGATATTAATATAACTAAACTCTTTAGTTGAACTAACAAAAGGATTCAGAAATATAGGAATAAAAATCATTTATAGAGGATTTGAAGAAGAATATTGATGAAACCAATCAACTATTATCTTTAGTAAATTTATAAACTGAGAGCCTAAATCAACATATAATAATTTTAAATAATTAAATATTAAGTTTGAAAAGGAAAAAGTTGATTAAACTGGCTTAACCTAAAATACTGCAAAAGAGTTGCAAGATAATCTTTTACAATTAAGAAATCAACTAATTCTAAAGGAGAGTGAAATATACTCATTAAGATTGCAATTTATTGATGCAAATTCTTAAAGGCTTAATTATTTTTATTAAGTATAGAATTATATCAAAGAGATGAAATTAATGTCTGAAAAGCTATAGACTTATGATCAAAGCGATGTATAACAAATAACTTCATATTATGAAGAGAAAATTAAATTATTAGATTAATCTTATGAAGAATAGATGAATCGATTGTTTTAATAACTGAAATAGAACTAAGATAAAGAGCAAATTGCTTAATCTTAATCATCTTAGCAATCCTAAAAAGGAAATGCTTAATAAGGTGGTTCATCTTAATTAAAGGATACCAAAATTACAGGTAGAGTTTAAATGCTAGAAATTTAATAGGAATCAAAAAATGAGTAACCAGAAGATTGTACAGTTTTTTGACCTGATCTAAACGAAAGAATGAATTATAATATATTAGCAAATGACAAATATAATCTTAAATTTTATAAAATAATTTTATTATTTTTCTAAGAAGTCTTATTTAACTTTATCTAATTCGAAAAATTACTAATCTTTCTTTGAAATTAAAAAATACTATTCAGATCCTGAAGAAAAATATTAATTCTTGAGGATAATCATATCAAATAAAACCTTTTTTGTATCTACAAAATTCACTTATTTGTATCAATTTTATTTTAAAAAGTTATATATTTTTAGATTAAACTCGTAAAACTTATTTTAAAACTGGCATTAAAATAATTCTTTTTGTAGTGTTAATAATTATTGAACATTAACATAATATAATGATACAAATTAAAAGAATTATTAATTTTCTTATGTAATATTAAAATGAATCTGAACAACTAAATCGAAAACAGTAATTACTGAGGAGAGAAATATATGATAAAGGATATGATTGCTAAGCTTTCTAAGATTATATGGAATAACTAAAAGTTAATGGTATTATTAACTTATTTAAATTTAGGTGGATAGGATGTAAACATATGGACTTATCAAGAGCTTCAAGAAGCAATAAGTTTATTTTAAACAACAAATCAACCATAAATGGAAACCATTGAACTGGATGATGTATCATACAGATAATCAGAATTTGATGATCATGCATAATTCGAAGTGCCTTAGAATTTAGATGAATAATTGCCATAAGTAAAACAAGAGCAATAATTGCAGAATTAAAAATAATAAAATTAAATAGTATCAAATGGAATGCATGAAGAAATTGTAGCTAAACCATCTGTTGATAATGAAAGATTTTATTAAAAAGTCCATTTATGTAAATTATAGGATAAAAAAATGATACTTACTGCTAATGAAATTAATGTATAGATTACAAAATTTGAGAAAATTCAAGGAGGCTTGTTGTCAGCCTCTTATTATATATATATCATAAATACAGAACCTATTGGTTGGAATGTCTAAAGAAGATATAATGATTTCGTATGGCTAAGAGAAGTGCTAAATAAAATGTATCCTGGTAGATATGTATCATATTTTATTAATTGAATAGATTCCCCCATTACCAAAAAAAACTGTATTGAAAAATGATCAAGAACTTTACTTAATAAAGAGGATGAAATTTTTAGAGGTAATGTATCTCTTAATTATACTATAGAAATTTCTTTAAGGTTTGTTTCAAATTGAATTGATAAGACATGATAAATGGTTTTATGCATTTTTATCAATAAAAGAAGAAAAAGATTTTAAGCAGATATAAAAATTAAGTACTCAATTATCAAGAGTAACAAAATTGGAATAAATTATTTCTTTAGACGGATAAGTTTAATTGTAAATTAATGACAATTTAGTGACATATAATCAGGAATCTTCTTCATTAATAAATTCAATTGATTTAAGTTATAAAAAATTAAGAAAGGAGTCTAAACAATTATTGTTAGACTTTGATCAGCTATCAAATACTATTTACAATATGGGTTAAACCTGCACTGATCTATATTAGTTTTCAAACAAGTTCAACTAATCAATTTCATAAGGAAAAATTTCTAAATTGGATATTCTTTATATATCAATGAATAATATGTTAGTTTAATGGGGGAATAATTTAACAGCTTAGATAAAAATCGTTCAAGAGGAGCTGTGTTCCTTTTTCAAATTTCACCATCATTCAATAACCTCCTTAAAAGAAGTAACTAAATTTATCAAAATAGTTCATTAAATAAAAAGAGTAAGCACAATAGGAGTATGAAAAATTTAAATCAAAATTAGAGTTAAAGAAGCATAAACTATTTGCATCATAAGATTTTAATAGATGGGAAGTACCCTCTATATAAATCAAGGCCTTACAGGATAGCAACTTGACTTAAAACAGAGAAGTTTGTTTGGCTATAATGCTACCTTAAGAAACTACTCTATAGGAAGAACTTAAGAACATTTTTGCCTTTTATAATTATTAATAATTTTCAGAAATTAATAGTCATCTTGAAAATACAGTAACAGCATTTTCAGAACACTTTATAAAGTTTTGCAGTTTATAAAAAGAAATGCTTGCTGAAGTATTATTATAGATTAAATTAATTAGCAAAAATTAGTATGGGACAAGAGCATTGTTAATTTTAATAATTTACACTACCCACAATAAATTATATTAAAGAAAACTTGATTATATATAAATGATCCATTAATATAATATCAAATTTGTTTAAAATTGATATAATTTTCAATTCCAAATATCATCATCATTTAAAAAGTGAGTAACCATTTTTAATGATGCAATTGGCAAATTGTTTGGAGCCATGTGTCCTGCATTATATATTGTGGCATAATAGAAATTTTTATATTTTTTAATTGTTCCTGCTGTTTCTTCTACATCAAAGTCTTCTCTCTTGGCTTTAAATGAGTATTTTGTTTATTTTTTCCATTCATAAATATCTTTCCACTCCAATTAATTCAAGACATAATTTATAGAAGGAGTATTGCAAATAATATCTCTTGATCCTTGATATATCATAACTTTGTATCCTTGATTTAAAAGAAATTCTACATTAGTCTTTTGTGTAACTGAAATATCAACTTCAAAATTTTTTTCAACTTCAGGATTGCATGGTTAATAGATTAGATCATCTGGAGCACCAAATTATTTTCTGTGCTGATTAATGAATTCTGTGAACAAATCTTCGCCAAAACCTTCATTTAAATAATCTTAATAATCATAGGGACTTATTTATCCTGTGAATTTTGTGAGAATATAAAATATTCCTGCGAATCCATCAAAAGTGGATTTCAAGTATTATCCATTTAAGACATCGGCTTATGCTTTAGCCATTTAATTTTCAGTAAAGGTTTTCTTCTGTTCATTGAAAATACCTAGAGAATAAAGCATTGGTGCATAACTTTGGTATTATAAGAAAGCATCTGTCCAACCATTTCCAATAGCAACACCTTAAAAATTCATCTCTAAGTTTGATTTTGCTAATGCAGCTCCAACTGCTGGAACATAGTGACCGCCATAACTAACACCAAAGACATAGAATTTAGTTTGTTTAAATTGTGGCCTTTATTAAAAAAATATTCTAAAGAACTCCACCAGGTACAATCCAGCTAAATCTGAACTTCCAACATTTCGATGTGGGTTTGAATAACTCAGTCCTACTTCAAAAGGTTAATCAATAAAAATAACATGAGCTACTTTGTTCCAAGTGTTTAATCCTTTTTTGACTGAGTAATCTTTGTCTCCTTTTTTATAAGCATGATATGGCCCAACATTTTGGAAAATATGCATTAAGGATGCGCATCCTGGTCCACCATTCAACCATAAGATAAAATTATCATCCTTTTTAACATCAGACAATTTTGAAATGCCTTCCTTCAAAAACAAATGATAAAAGAATTAATTGTTTCCATTTTCTAGGTCATTTACACCTACATATCCAGTTTCGGAATAAAAATCTGTTAAGGGTTCTAATTGTTTGTAGAAATCTTAAATATAAATTTATTTTCATACTTGTTTAATCTATGAAGGTGAAGGATTACTACGATATGGCTATTAGTAGTGCCAAGATAATAAAATTTTTTCTCATCTTATAGATTAATTATTAAATTATATTTCGATGACTTCATCGTTTTTAGAATAAATAAAGAAATCGATCATTGAATATGTCATATTGTGCAATTTTATTTTAACAACTTTTACTTTATTAATTAAATTATATAATCAAATGCTTAAGATCAATTTTTAATAAGTACTTCCATATATATCACTTTAAACTAGTATGTTATTTTCCTTATCCAAACTATAAAAACAGCCATTCTGAGGCATTGTTTTCAAGATTGTACAGGATTGATAATCAAATAGCTTGATTTCGACATAATTAATGATTAGTATTACTCTATCATTAAAGCAAAATAAAGCATCCATAAATTCACCCTCCAATTAAAGTACTCTTAAAGTTTTTTATTTATTTAAACTAATGATCTTTATTTTATCATCTATTTATACCAGGATCTATTCATTTTTCATCAAATTTTATTTAACTCCACATATCTCTTAAACTTTTGATAGCACCCTATTAGTATGATAGAAAAGTTTTCTATTTTCCAAATTATAAAAACATATGTTTCCATCGGAACTTATGGTTGTAAGAAATTTTTAGTTATGAAATAATAGCTAATGCTAGATTTTTCCTTTCAACTAATTAATTTGATGGATCACTTAAAAGGTCTCCAAATTCCAAATAAATATCATTTCATCATGACTACAAGAAATTAACTTCTTCCCTTTTTCAAAAAATATCAAGCCTTTTATTCTATTAAAATGTGCAGGAAGGCTTTGAAATATTTTGATGATTTCATATTTATGAACTTGTAAAATCAAAATTGAATTATCCCCTTAATTTACAGCTATTTTAAAAGAAGCCTGATCAAAAGCTAATTCTTAAACACATAAATCTGTTTAAGAATATTTCATTTTAGCATTAGTTTATTCATCGTAAAGTAAAATCTCATTTTCATAACATACAATAATAAATTGATTTGATTAGGAGATGTAAGTCATTTCAGGTTAACAATCCATTTTTTATTAAAATAATAAATATAAAGTAATTCAAAATAAGAGGACCTTTATCAAAATTAAACTTTACAAATAATTATTATATATACACAAGAAGCTCTGTCTCTCAATTAATTTGACTAATACTAATCTTTAAATTAAGGTATCGTTTTGAAATCCATTATTTAATATTGTTGAGGTTTAGATAGATTCTAATAGAATTAAATCAATTAATAGAGAATTATTCTTAAGTGCAAGGAAAATCGTATGGTTAAGATAATTAGTGCAGTTTTATAAAAATAATTTTAGCAAAACAATTACAAATTAAATTATTATAAAAAAAACAAACCTCTGTTAAAAAAAAGAGTAGATATAAAAAAAAAATATAATTACGAAAAAGGTATCTAATTAATCGATATTTACATAGATTGTACTATATTAAAATAAATTAGGGCATAAAAATAAAGAAAAAAAAAGATAAAATCAAAAAATTAAAATAAAGGATTAAAATACGAGATAGATTGTAAATTAATCTAACTCTTATTCTTATGCTTAACTGTTATCAAAATTAATAAATTTTAACAATTCTTTCTTTTTAATTTATTATAAAATTGCAATTATTTAGTTATGAATTGTATATTGATGATATATCATTATTTCTTAGGCAACAACCCTACATATACACTTCTATAAAATTCGGAAGCCAAGGAAGCTCCAGAAAAAGGTCCGAAAATGTAAATCCATATGTTAATTAATCTATCCCAATTGCCATCTTATAAAGACTCAAAGATTCCCAAACCTACACCCATAGCTGGATTTAAACACCCTTTTATAATAGTAAAATTAACCTCCAGTGTGATATGTCAGAATTCTTCCAAAGTATAAAGCAGTGGCAATTATTCCTATACCAATTAGATTATTATCTGTCAATTAAGTTTATGGATGAACCTAGATGTGTATAAATAAGCAAAAGATGAAAGTTCCAAGAGCCTAGATAATCTATAAAGAGTGTTACTTCTCCACAAAAGTCGGCTATCATCCATTCTATGGGTTAGGTTGCTATGTATGGTGATGTAACTCTGCCAACAATAACAAATGCTGCCAAAGCTCCAGCTATTGCTCCACCTACTTAAGCTGCCCAATAGACTCTCATTGTGAAAGCGCTGATTTCATTAGAACTATAGAAGGACATTGAGACAGCTGGATTTACATGTCCCCCTGTGATTTTACCAATCAAAAATATTGCACCAAATAGATAAACACTTAGCATTACATCATTTCCTCTTGAGCATACAATTCCATATGCAAAAAATGCTGTTCCTAAAGCTTCCCAGATTAAGATTCTTATTAATTCACTGTAGGGTTTGTCATCGATTGTGTTTTTTAATCTTGTTTCCAAAATTTCAATCTTTTTCAATAATTCTTCCTTTTATGGATCTTTGGATTCGAATTATTCTTCTGATGGTGGAGGACTCTATTACTTTTATTTTTGATATTGTTAAGCATATGATTGAGGCTCATCTTCAATGTGTTACAATAGCTTCTCTTATGACATTTTATTAATAAATAAATTATTTATTGTTAAAATTATAACTCAAATCATGGTTTTAATATTTTCTGTGTCCAATTACTTTTATTCTCTGTTAGAATATTCTTCAATTTACTTTTCATCTTAATCACTTAATTTTTGATATAATCTCTTTCTGCATATTAATAGAGTAATAAATAATATCAAGATCATTGATACTAAAATTATTACAACTAAAATAAAATAGGATTAATGTTCTTCATACATCAAAACGCTAACTCCTTCAAAACTGAAATTTGCCTATACTTAACAATATTTAAATTGATTTTAAACTTAATCTTTTAATGATGGACAAACAGTAGAATTTAAAGTTAGCGAATAATACTATTGTTATTTGTGTAAATGATTACTTCTATTTTAGGTTCGAAAGCAGTGCAAAGTACCCAAGGAGGTATTAATCTGATTCTAAACAAACTCACTTCATTCTCTGAAATGCCAACCAAGAAGGTTTCTGTATAGGTCAAGTTTACTTTGCTCAATATTCCATCTTCAAAGGCTTTCCCATTGAACAATTATTATTTCCAAGGAGGATTCAATTCATCCACTTAGATCAAATCAATATCAGAGAAATAAAATTATTCATGTTAAGCATCAAAATCTTTGTAAACAGAGTGATATATAACTTAATGCAAGCGATCAGAACCAACGAATAAAACAAACAAATTTCCAACGTAAACGTCATATACATCCTATCCAAATTAATGAATTTAATTGAAGTAATATTATTCCAGTTTAAAATCAATAAATATCTCTAATGCATATTATAATGAGTCTTCAGTTTGAGCTAAAATGAACATGGTGTTTCTGTGAAAATCAAATGTATCTCCTCCTTTAATATAAATATACATATTGTTCTCTGAGAAAGATTAGGTTTATTTATTGAAATTATAGATATGAACTCCCAATCGTTCATTTAGAATGAAGAGATAATTGGAAGTTTCATCCATTTTGGCTTACTTTAAGTTTGTTAATCCGTTGGGTAATATATTTGTAATTAATTCTAAATCTCCATTCGGATTCATTTTATAGACATCAACTCCTGCTGTTGGATAAGTTATAAATAACAATTCATTTTCATCACTGAAAAATATGTGATTGATTGTTTCATTTTTCAGATTGAATAATTTAGAAATTGAAACCATGTTTTCACTACAATAATTTACATAACTTACTCGATTTAATTATAGGAGAATTATAAAACTCCGTGCTCACTTATTATAAAACAAAAAATTTGTCCTCCTTATTTCAAGTATTGACTACACAACAGTTCCGAGTTTAGTAATTAAGACTTTCCATTTATATTATCAAACTCCTTCTTCAATTCCACTATTTAATACTATGTAAAGTCTATAATATCATAATTTTATTTATCGTAATCTATCTTCATGATAAACAATTTAAAATCACTCCTCAAAATAAATACAAAATAATTTGCAGCATAAACTGAAGTGATTATTCCTTGAAGGGTTTCAGGGGTTTCAAATGGCAGACGAGGAGTTGTATTAAATAATTGTTATTATGCTATCTTTCTTGAGTATGGATGGCATCCTTAACTGAAATTGCCATCTATTGATTATGCTAAAGGAATCTCATTATTGCCTCCCGATTTCAATGACATAGAGTATGTGCCATAATAACTAATTATTCTTAATAATACTTAGCATATTGAAATAAAATGGACTAGTTTAAATTAGCCATGTAATTGTAATCTTATATGGTTTCTTTTATGACATCTGTTTTTGGATTGAGAAATCTGCTTGATTTAGCACCCGATGCAGAACACACCAGAAAAATAATATAAATCATAAAGATAAATAATAATGATTATAATTATTTAGTGAGGCCTTATCTTGATTCAACCAATACTTTCATATTTTATCATTTCATGACATTTCCGCCTTATCAAAAATGAGAAATTATTTTCTTAAAATTCATTCCATCAGTTCAAAAATCAAATAGAAATACCTATAATTGAAATATAATTAATCTTTATATATATATATAATGATAACTACTTTTATTCTGCTAATTCATATCATATGTGAATATAAAACATAAAATTGAGTATCAAATCATTTTAATATTACTTCATTATACTATCCAGACTAATTTTATTTGAAAGTGGAGATAACGGATATTCAAAATTTATTCATAATATTCATTAAAGAAAATTGTTTCAAAACTTTTGAATTTATTCTATTTTCAAATGTAAAATTAACAATTAGTATAATTGAGATATAACCATCGATTGCTGTGAGAATTATTAATATCTTTTATATTCATATTAATGGTTTCTCTTTCCTTAATTAAAAAGAAAGGAAGATAAAATTATAAAATAGAATTCGTTTGTTATGGTTATTCTAAGACTATTTTATTTTGAAATTCTAATTAATACATAAGTTAAATTTCTTTCATGTTAAATTAAACTTTTAATTCAATTAACGTATTTAGGGGTTCTTGGTCTAGCCTAAGGAACATTTTTTTTTTCTTAAGACTTTAGAATTTAGAATGAACACATCAATGTCTCATCAACACTCATTAATGCACCTATTCTTTTATCCCTTTTTATTACCTGAATTATCAAATTCACCACAATAATTGGGAGCTGAAAATAAGGTTACTAATTATCTTTTTGCGAAAAATTCATAACCTTCTTCGACTACTTAATGTGCTCGACAAACTAAATCCATGTCATTTTTCTTTAAGAAATTAGCTATTACATCTGGACCAAATATATAAGACACTCCTCTCTCATTGTCTATTGAAAATAAGCGAAGATAATACCTTGCCAACCCTGCATGTCTTTTTCTGGATCTGACCATAATAGATCGCAAAGGAGTCCAGTATCAGGTACTTCAATGGGTCTCATAATTCTATGAATTTATTCCAAGTTTGTTAATTCAGGCGATAACCCTCCATGCATACATATAATTTTTTCATCTATCACAGCACATACAGGCAAACAATTAAAACAATCAGTAAAGGTTTTCCATAATTTTATGTTATACCTTCTCTTACATTCATCATAAAACCCATAAATACGGTTGATTTATGAACACTCATGATTTCCACGTAATAAAAAGAAATTTTCAGGATATTTAATTTTGTAAGCAAGTAACAAACATATAGTTTCAAGAGACTATCTTCCCCTATCCACATAATCTCCCAAAAACAAATAATTTGCCTCTGGTGGAAACCCTCCATATTCAAACAGTCTCAATAAATCAGTGTATTACCCATGTATATCACCTACATAGTATATAAGATTTACCACATATCTTTATTGGAGCTTCCAATTCTAGCAACAT